GCCGCTTCGCCGTGCTACGCAGCACCTACCCTCGTACACGTACATTTCTCTTCTTCTTTGACATCTTTCATCACCTGTGAACATGCGAATCAGTGGTATAACCCTTGGAATTATTTAATTTGCCAGCAGTCTGATTCCCGCGAGGGACCATGTCATAACGTCCTCTGATCCACCGAGAAAAAAGGGGGCCTTCATCTACTCACTGATTCGATATGCTGGCCACAACCCTGCAGGTAGGTAACATGTTAGTAACCGCCGGTAAACTTAGGAGGCCTCAAGGCGAAAGACGTAAAGGAAAAGGCAAAACTGGGATCTCCGATGCAGGAGAGCACTGGAGATACTCACAGCGCACGTAGTCTTACCACTCTTCTCGCATTTGACCAGTCGGCATGAGTCTACTAGGACGTATTCCATGGTCTGGCGTGTTGCTATATTGATACGGTTTAGCCCATTGTTCGAGGCAGGCAGTGTAGTCACCGCCGCTTACCCTTGTGATAGCAGTGCTTTTATACGACTTTACATACCGCACGTGATCATGAGCTGCGAGACCGGAGCCGCACATACCAAGGTCCAAGGGTAGCCGTTCAAAGGATTCACCAAAAGGTTTACCGGAAAAAGCAAACTGCGCTCATGTCGGATGTAATCCTATTCATTCGGTCTTTACGGACTTTACTCTCGCATCTAAGATGGCATCCCGAAGCCTTTTGACAGCCTCTTCTGCGTCTTCTTCGTCAACTACGCTGAAGGATGCGCGTACGTATGCGGTTTTCCTGCCATTGGGAAGGAACACAGTTCCCGGCAGCGCGATGACACCTTTCTCGAATGCATGCGTACGGATTACCCTTTCTGAATCGCCTTCTTCGTGGTCAGACACGCCAAGGCGTAACTTGAACCTACAAACGCATGAGACCTTCACTTCCAATCCCTTCTATGACAAAACGTACCAAAAGAACAACCCTGCCTCGGGGGAATCCCATTCAGCCAAGTCCGAGAGATGCATCTTCAGAACTCGCTCAAATACGTCCCTTTTCTTCCGATAGAAAGAAGCAACATTGTTGGTGTGGGCCTTGAAACCACCGTAACCCCAGGAATCAAGCAGGGCAAAAGCTATGACTTGAGTCAGGGAAGACGCCTGGAGATTTGAAGTTGACGTCTAGAAAAAGAATGATTGACGGGACAATCATCAAGAGCCAATAAGTTTTAAGTAAATGAAAAAATTTCCGGGATCTAGGCCGGTACAATAAAGACGTACATGTCGATCCATGGCGTCGAGGAGTGGCTCGGGGCCGGAAGCAAACCCAATGCGGACGCCAGCCGATAGGATCTTGGAAAGACTGTCAAAGCGGAGTACTCTACCGACCTCCGGCTCTTCCAGCTCCAAGGAAAAGTAGGACGGGTATCTTGGAGCGTCACCAAAATATAGGTAGTAGTAAGGATCGTCTGCGCCGATGTAAGTAACAGGCACGCATATGCGATGCACAGTACTTGCCTTCTAGAATGATAAAATTGTGCTCTCGAGCAAGCTGTAGAACCTCCTTGCGCCGTTCTAAAGTAGCAGTCATCCCGGTAGGATTGCATCCATACTGTGCCACCGGAAATTCCATGAACCACTAAATGCTCAGATATAGTACGTGTACGTACAGGAACGGTATACAGGACTCTTGGTTTCGGTTTATTGGCTGGCCAGCTTTCTAGAATCGTGCGCAAGGAGCTGGCAAGTATACCATGTGAATCTGTCTCCACCTCTAGCGGAAGACAGCAACCATGCGAATCAATGATCTGGGAAGCGGATACATATTAAAACAATGCTGTGGGCGAACGTACCAATCTGATCACAGTGCAGACTCTGGAACATGGGAATCACACCCCTGCAGTAAGAAACGGAAGAAATTAATGAAGAGACTCGGCCAGGTCCATCCACAGGTGACGCACGCATAAACTGGGGACTCGACAAGAATAGGATCTCCAGGATTGATCATTGCCGTGACAGCCTGTTGGAATGGGTGTAAGCCTATCATGTATCGACATCGATAAAACGAAGCAAGGGGGACTCTTTACTTTGTAGATTAGGTCCTGCGATCCAGAACCTACACTGAGACGCCACCCTTCACCTTGTTGCCGACCATGGATGTTCTCTTGCAGGCCGGTAAGCCAGTTGCGCAGCTGCGGTACTCCAGCAGTTTCGCAGTATTGCAGGCCCTCGGCAAGCTCATCCTGGCTCAGATCCACCGGGACATCCCGACTGGGGTCGATAGGCGATCTAACTGTGAAACTAAGCGACGTGAAAGGGAAAGTGGCCGCGTTTGGTTTGCCGGCCAAAAGGGATATAATGCCTGGAGTCGCTTCCAAGGGCAGCAGACTCCGAACTGGACAAAAATGTATCAGTACCTGGTTGGCCTAGGAATCGTCAAAGACTGATTGACTGACTGGGGCTTGGCTTCCGATCCTTTGCCGCAAGGGAAAGAAAAGGAATATAAAAGTCTGCAGGGAGAGCCTTTACATGGAAATTATCAGGGTCTGTGGGGATTCGTTTGAGATCAGCCTAACACAAGACGCATCTGATGAACGGCTACTACCCACAAGAAGAACTTGTACTTACCACGTTCATCTTGCTCATCACGGCGGATTCGAGGGTGTTACACGACGCCTGTCTCAAATAGTCCCTCATTCCGTAATTTCAATTATTGTGCCCGTAAAGCGGCCACCCTATCCATGACTCTGATTGGTTCGACGACTAGGAATTTCGGATTCTTTTGTTGCAGTACTTTGTTGAATATTTTTCAGATTCCCTGAGGTTCGATTGGGGTCGCTGAAGCGCGTTTGACGGCCCCAATTTTCGTCTACATATTCTATTTTACGGCACCGGAGCATTCAGTCCCGGAGCCTTGGTCGGTGCATACCTCTCCTGCACGTCCAGTGGTAGCAGCTCCACAGCGGTCCAGACTACTCCGCCAGGTCACAGCGGCCGGTGCTTGGGAATCTCTCTCTGTTGAATCGAGTCAAGACTCGACTTGGCTGCTCGTGTTCCCCGATGCCTCGTTTGGATACGTCCCCCCAGACCATAGTCTAATAGCAAACCCCACATGATGTCAGGCTAGCCCGTCCTCGACCGCCCTACCCCAGATCCAGCGTCCGCCTCCTCACCACGACCAACTCCACCTCTGTTTCGTATATCTGCATTTCGTTAGGACCACGGTGGCCCATCAGAATGACTCAGCTGATGGTCAACGGGTTCCCTCTGAGATCTTGAGGCCCAGATTACTGTGACTGACAGATCTCTCTCTTCAGCGAGGACCCCGGCATCTCGCCACTTTCTCTTCATGTCTAAACTTGGAATCGCTGCCAGATAAATGCCCTGTTCGAAGGCTTCTTCGGGCGGATTGTCCTGGTTCTTAATGAATTTTTTATTCAATCCAAGTAGGTGAAGAAGCAACTACCCGCGATGTGCCTCACATGTTTATAAAGTCAAAACTCTGTTCCTAGGACATTCTGATGCACTGATGATTTGGAATGCAGGTGTTTTTTTTTAATTAATTTTTTCAACACCTCTATAAGGACTATCATGGCCCCGGGAAGAATTTGCGACTACTTGAAGTCTTTCTTCTGTCCAAGATGGCATCAAACCTGGTCGCAATATTCCGACCCCGACGCTACAGCGCGAGAAAACAGGGGGTTGAATGTTGAAGTGGTCCTTTCTCTCCTTCCATTTCGTAATGCCAATACTTCTCAGACCATATCGTTTATGTAGTAGATGAAGATATAATATTTATGTAAACATTATGGCATGGATAACAGTCACCGTTTCTCTTTAACGAAAATATGAAGCGTGATATAACTCGCCACGGTGAAGAAAGCGAAGAAGATACCGAGAAGTGCGATGTTAGGCCACCAGAATGCCTGGGCCTTCAGGCCAAAGACGGACAGGATCATTGAAGCAGGAACATCTAATTCCACCCCGTACTGGATAAAAGGCATCAGCATCATATTCTTGCCACCAGGTATAGAACCTACCTTGACTTCCTTTAATGATAGATAACGCAACTCGTTGACAGCAAGTGCTTCGAAGGCAGCGTGGAAGAATGAAATATAGTATAAGAATTCCAAAGCCGGGATGATGTGCTCTCTACTGATCAAGAGACCCGCAAACAGTAAGCTATAGAATTAATTCCTCTGAGCATTTTCAGAGTAGCCACACTTGCAAGCAACGTACTTGAACAACATCACCAATGTGCCAACCAGGCTAGCGACGCTGGTATTTGAATGGGCGATTGAGAGCAATAACACGACGCTGGCTGTTGTGAGATTGAACAGCACCAAAGTAAGCATGAACTTCCAAAAACCGGCAACAGTCGGGACCAGTCCGGCAAGTCCGTAGACAATCCCACCAAACATGAGGGGAGGGACCACACGTAAGGGCAGAATGTCGAATAACACCTGTTCAGTAAACGTTATGTGACGGTTTCCGGTGTTTTACGAACGCCAACGTGCCTTAGAAGAGAAGTAGGTAAATGTCGAGTAATATCCATTTGACCTGGAGATGTGAGTAAGGCGGTTTTCCAGTTACTCCATAGCGAAGACCAACCTTTCGCGCATAAACAAAATCCGCTCGTTGGCAAATAATCCCAAACTTGACAGACAGGAGAACCCAAAAAGGGACAGTGTGAAAAAGAACAACCCTATTGCCACGCATAAGTATTTGATAACTGTAGAAAAGTGCAGGGTACTGACCCAGTCTATTTTGAAATCCTGCAATATCATTCCTAAAGGAAATGAGTGAAGATGAAACCACAAAGATTCATCAACAGACTTACGTGACATTATGGAAGAACAAGCCACAGATCACTGGGATCACATTCAGTCAGAAATTTTTGGGGCGGCGCTATGGTGTTTTGGTACTCACAAGCTAAGGTAATCGAAGCCAAATAATGGGAAGCCAGAAGAGCAGGATCCCGGTACAGATTTTTAAACGCACGGCCGCTCAAGATCCTAAACTGAGTCCCCCAACTCGCGCGTTTCCGGCCTCTGAGTAGCGAAGTCTCAAACACGACATCAGGAAGTTCGTCTCCACTGCCGTTCGAGCTATTTCCGTTCTCTGCGCCCTGATGAACCTGATCAATTTCTGCTTTGATATCGGTGACAATGCTGCTCTGAGCATACGCGTCCACAAGGGCGAGAAGTTTGGGAGCCAATGGCTCATTACCAGGTTTAGGAGGTCCAGAGACAGCTTCAAAGAGCTGAGATGTCTTGCGCTTAATGTAAGCACCAGTAGAAGAGCTGATAGAATTTGGGCGAGTCTGTAACTCAGTCTCATCCCCGGGTGGAGAACTGGTAGAGGACGAGGGTTGAGAGCGGACAGATAACGGCACGGGTTGACGCCCTAGACCACGTTCCTCATCTCCCAAGTTGCTCGTGTCTTCTATCAAAGGGCTGGGTTCTAATGAAAGCGAGTCGCTTTTTGGACTACTACTCATGCTCGCATGCATGGTCAAGTCGACTAATGAATCAAAAATCAAGATCATAGTGAGCGGCACAACATAAACACGAACTGAGGAAGTCGGCTATGTTGAAACCAGGTGGACAAGGACGTCCAATACCGGCGAAGTAATCTTGACATTTGGAGAACTCGCCCGAGTAAACCAGTTTTCCCATAGCAAGAACGACCAGCTGATCGAAAATAGCTACAATGTTGCTGCGGGGCTGGTGGATCGTAAACACGACAGTGCGGTTATAGTCCTTGGCAAGGGAGACGAGACTCTCTACAACGTTGAAGGCATTGAAGGCATCCAAACCTGTAGAGGACCTCGCGTCACAGATTGTAAACACAAGACAGCAACACGTACTGACCACTAGTCGGTTCGTCCAAGAATAGAATCGAAGGGCTCGTAACCAATTCACAAGCAATCGAAACCCGCCTTTTCTCGCCTCCAGAGATAGATCGTCGACCTACCAACTAGTTCAATTAATGAAAAACTGAATGAATTCCAATACGCTTACCACTATCACCGATTCTCATATCTTTTATCTTGAGAATTCCAAGCTCGTTCAAGGTCTCTAGTGTTCTGAACTTCTTGGCCTCGAAACTCATGTCTCTGGGTAATCGCAACAGTGCGCTGTATAGCACTGTCTCATACACCGTCAGTGTGCTCATGAGCGTGTCTTCTTGGTCCACAAAACCGGTTACACTCTTGAATTCGGCATCAGCCACCTTCCTGCCATTCACGAGCGTGACACCCCCCACTGATCCCCGTTTATTCTTTCGGGCAAGAATATCAAGCAAGGTTGATTTTCCTGCACCAGAAGCGCCCATGATAGCCATGACCTGGCCAGGCCTTACGGAACCGATGATGTTGTCAAGGATGATACGGGATCCGATGCTGTACTGGAGCGACGAAAAGTGCAAGGAAGCGGGAACGTGCTCGGCCATCAACTTGGACGCTTCATTGTCTGGAAGACGTATCTGACCAAATTCTCCAGTTCCGGCTCGGCCTGCGTACCACAGAATTGCAGAGGTTAGCACGACGATCATACCAGCACCCGCAGCGCTGAGAGCAACCCAGCGCGTATTGTCAGGTTTCGAGGGGCGCTAGGAGTGATTGAATACGTGAAAGGTGGATAGCAGCTGTCGTCACATACAACATAACCAGGCACCTGGGAGTAGTGAAGACATTCACCTCCCTCACACTGAAGTGTAATATAAGGGTCACCGAACACGCTCAGAATTAGATCATTCATGGCTGGTTCCTCGAATTTACAACCCTCATGCGTTTTGCAGCTGAAGGACGCTGGACCCTTGATGGACTCGGTCAAAAAGTCACCGATATCTGGTTGTGGACATTAAACGCAAATGCAAATATTAATGGCACATACACTTACCAATACTTCCATCCTCTCCGCAAATGAACCGACCAGGAACACAGCTACATTTGATGTTTTCACACGCATATACAGTCGCGTTGACGTCGTAGCCAGGTTGACTTTCAGAGGAACAATGGTCCAAAGAACAGTAAAAAGATTCTACTTGGGCCGTCCAAAACTGGAATGAACAGGTTCCTGACGGCCGATCACAACTGAAAGTCACTTGAGGAGGCCGCCCAGGCAACTGGTCAATGATCTTTCGGTCTGAAAACGTTGTCTGTAAGCAAAGGACTTAAGTACAATTAAGACGTACTGGTCACATCGCACATCTGATGGTTGTTGAATACGGTTTCTCCGCCTGTGTAACACGTCATGTTGGTCACTTCTTCATCGAACGCGGTTGATGGTTCCCCAGCAAGAGGAAACCCGACACAAGCCTGGTCAGTCTTGCAGACTAGAGTAACTGTCAGAGAAGAAGGAATATATGATACTCTCAACGTACCATTACAATTGATTCCTCCCCAACCATCTTTGCACTCGCATGACTTGCCGTCTTCACGTAGCCTGCGATGCTCGCCGTCGGCCAACGAATCGCATTCTAGCCAATGATCTTCAACAGGAAACGGTTACATGGCACTGGGTACATACGAGGAATTAGGCAATCAATGCCTCCCCACCCTGCTGGACATTTACATTGCCCGTCATACGGGTCGCAGTTGCCGTATTGACCGCAGTTGAACGCAGGTAGTAAACAGTTGAAACAGGGCGGACACTTGTCTAACAAGCAGGAAGTTGACAAAATGATACCAAAGGATGCTTAATAGCCTTTACCTGGCGGACGGACCACTGCAAGAGCCTAACATGAATATCAGTTCCGGTTCTTCTCACAAGGTAGGGAGTGGCATACAGAGAGAGAATGGCTAGAGACTGGTGCCCATGATGCGTTTTCAGCAGACACCGACAATGCGAGAAGGGAGAGTAGCGCGACTGGCAGCATCGGACACAGTTGTAGAGGCGTATAATAATGGCTGACACCAACAACTGCCGTGTAGAGTCCGTGATAGGAAAGATGCTCTCACGGACGACAGGGACCGACATCGGACCGACATCTCCGAGTCGTTACACGGCTGAAACATGAGGTTACATGAGCTTGGACTGTAGCTCAGCGCCTTTTTGTTGGAAATCCTCGGTGTTGCGTAGGGTAGACTCCAGGCTGGTAAGAATGAACTTTTTATTTTACAGCTCCTACAGAACTTGTATTTATACTCTCCAGGCTTATATCTAGAATTTACTACAACTTTCTCTCGCTCATCGACTCTCGGCATGATGCCGGATTGCCCTTTCTAGAACTTCCCGGCAAAATCCCAACACTTTTGAACCCAAACTTGTATTTGACATGTGTAAGCTGCCCGTCTATGTTATGTATGACATGCATCAAGCATGCGAACTTGTTCTTCCTTTTATTGAGCGTCTGATTCCACCATCGACAATGACTAGTACTATTACTCAGTCCCTGCCTCGCTCAGAGCCGCCCTCTCACACATCTGTGACAGCAACAAGCATAGTTGCTTGTATCACAGCTATATTGTTTCTGCTCTATATGTTGTCCTTGATTTGGAGTTTTCATAACTCCCGGAAATCACCCATACCCACCAACAAGTCTTCCGGTCGAAAGATACAGTCCTTTGCTCCATGTCAGTCAATGTTCTCAATTTTCAATTACTTGGCTTGACAAAAATCTCTCCAGTTATCTATGCCTTTATGGTCATCACGGCTCTAGCTGAGGTACTTGGTTTCATTTTGACCTAAGTATGGGTTGTGTGAACTTTGCAAGGCCGCCACGTCGTCTTGGTTATTAGTTCAGTACCTCATACACGGCAATTACCCAAATATTCTCACCCGTACCGGAGCTATCGTTCTATTGTAACCGTTTTTCCCCATCTTCGATAGTTTCTCGTGCTCATGCAGTCAGATCCACCGCATGCTGGACATGCTTAACTGCAGGGCTGTATACACTTATCTTTTTGCATCCTGCACACCGATCCCATCCCGTCTCGTCTGTGGGCTCTCAAGGGCTTTGGTTATTGATAACGTGGCTGCTTTGGATTGCCGGCGCTGCGATAGTCAATAGAGCTCTTCCTTCCTTGATAACCCGAGGCAGTTGCCTTTCGATCGTGTACTGCGGACAGTTGCGAACGCTCTTTGGTAGGTTCTTGCTCTTCAAACGCGGTAATATTCTCACATTATATTCTTAGCTCTTTCCGTGCTCGAAATGTGAGTAACGTTGCTGAACATCTTCCATTTACACCATGTTCATAACATCGATACGAAGCGTCACCTTCTCCTGCTCCCTTGCTATCTTAATATTCTTGACATGGTCCTCTGCGCGCAGCAGACATCGTATCCACACACATCGATGAAAGACTCTAATTCTTCTTCAATATACCTCTCTCTTAGTAGTATCATTCACATGTAAATTACATCAAGTAGCAATATACGTATGATATGGACGTTGATTGAATGTGCATACGTTAATCGATCATTCTAGCCATCGTAAACAACAATGTAAGAAGGCTTGATTGCTTCACCTTTGTAGACGACCAGTTCATCGTGGTTGAGACTTCCTCCTCGCTCCCCAAGAACCTGAAATGAGGATCTCAGTCACAGTCACTCACAACCACCGAGAAAACATACAGAGTCAAAACCCACAGGTGCCTGCGTAAGGGTGGGGTCATCTTGACGCAGCTTGCGTCCCTTTCCCACGACAACATTGTTGAGCAACACGGCACGGAAATCAGAGTGCCCAGTATTTTCAATGTAATCGTTCGCCCTACAGAGAAAAGCCGACTTATCAATGTGATAGTAAATGAAACTTGATCCATACGTACTTCGATGATGTGGCCGACGTATAAATTCCCTTTCCGAACCTACATAGAAATATCAAAGAGATTCAACGCACATCACTTTCTGTGTGAAGTTTACGCACCTCCCCCAACCTGTGTTCTTTCCCCACTGATTGATGTTGAAAGATTCACGGATGATGTTGCACAAACTACATGAAGGCGCGTTGCATAACGTGCTACCTTGTTTCGAGTTGGGGTCTCCGAGACTACAGTCCTTCCTGGTGCCATGCCAACGGCGTTTCTCGTTACCGGCTGTCAAACTGGGATCGTTTTTGAAATTGCCCACTTTTTCGACGTCGTCACTGCGGTGGGATAGAAACTCGTCAGTACGTGAAACCGAACAATATGTTGAAGGAATATCTTCACCGATATTGCTGGTACTTCTGCGATATGTCTGCTTTCAAAACGATCTTGTATATCTTTCTGACTATAGGACAACGGGTGTTATGTCGCCAACCCAGCTGGAATTGATTTTGGACTATTGTAGGTGATCAGCAGCAAGTTGCAAAATGTATGCCGTTTGGCTCACCATTCTTGAACATCAAATGGTCGTGAGGGACATCTAATATAGTTGGAGCATTTCGGCCTACTGCATCTTCACATGCTTGGCCACAGAACGGCGAGTCGCTCAGCTTCGGGGCCTTGCGACACCGAAGACAATCGATCTTGGGCCTGAAAATTATGATTAGAGGAGCGCCTGATCTTCGATTGAAATTCAACATACCTCGAATGCGACTGATTGCTAGCATTACTCGTCGACAATGGCGCGGTTGAATTCGACACCCCGCTCAGACTCGCTGCTGCCATGGCAGAATCGGCGCAACTTCTTCCACAATACTGGTGCTTCCTGGCTCCTTCGACGAATTTTCGGCGCTTATGACAAAACTGATAATGAGATGATGAGAACATGGTCACCAAATTCAGGAAGGAATGCAGCTCTTACCTCGCACAAGTCGCGTACGCCGCAGGTCTTGGAACAATAGTCATAGTTAGCATGCTTGGGTTTCTTATGACACCCCTATAAACATTGTTAGCACTTCCTAGAGTAGAAGACGAGATCGACATACCTCACACAGCCCTGATGGTGGCGTATGCTGTCCCAAGGGCAGGAAAAGACTGTAAGAGGGGTTGTAAGGGAGTACTGCTGCTAGCTGAGACATTGCGAGGTTGGTGAGCTTCTATGGGAAGATCACCACATATATGCCATCGATATCATGATACCTGTTGGAAGAGTCGTGGGATACATCTGTCGTTGAGAGAAACGCGGTTGAAACGTGAGTTTCATGAAACGGAACACGCGGTTCCGTTGCGCTTTGGGAGTCCTGGTTAAATCCATCCTGCCAGTATATAGTGATAGCCAGGTTCTACCTGCATCTTGTCATAATCTCCCTTCGGCAATGTATCCCTCGCGAAACCGAAACACTCGCTACCTCGGACCTTCATTCTCTCTTGCCATGACTCCCCAAACGCCACCTAGGCCACTCTGCAAGGTTCTCAAGATCCGTTATTACTTGATAGGGTCACTTACGTGCATTCAGAGATGCCAGCAAAGACCTGTCTTCATGGAGAATGGCCATTTGCATGAATACTGCGGTCGTACGTGTGCTGAAGCACAAGAGGGTCGCAGACTGAACGCATGTCTGTTGGTCGGATGCCAACAAACCGGCCGGGCTGCACATGCTGACTTCTGTTCAAATGAACATGCTATGTAAGTGAGCTAGAGATGTTGTAGCACAATATTAAGGCGTTGTCACAGGGAGGGTGTTCGGAAGCGCCAGATTGCGTCTTGCGAAGCCTGTCGTACCTACCCCAAGGTGACCATTGATGGGTTCTGTAATGCTTGCAAGCAACAGATGACATCCCCCACGATTACCATGGCATCTGCTTCATCCCGCTTCAAGGAATTGAGTCTCAGTTCTGGCGAAGCAAGAGATGGTCAGTATATTGTCCATATCGTTATACAAACGTTGATTTGACCTGTCGTTCAGTCAATAAACATTTCATCAGATATTGGAACTTATCAGGCGCCCAATCACCGACTTTACGCAAGATTTACAAAGTCAGATCCACCGTTGAGGAAAACGACCTGTATAAGAATTTCCGGTGAGATAACGTTATCTGTAGGATACGAATATACATTGACCCTTAGCCCAGAAAACGCGTCGACAAGCCAAAAGAAGCGCGTACATTTCATAGCGCACAATGCATCTGTGATTTGGGAGAGAAATTGCCTGAGACTTGTCAATACAAATCGTGTGGTATCTGTAGCATCATCAAGTCATCTTTCAACGCCTTCGAATTCGGCGACCCTGTCAATAGCGGGAGGTGGGATTTGGAATAACACATTTCTACAACGACTAAAGCCTTCGAGCAGATTCGGGGAAGGAATATATTCCTACAAGTTTGCAGTACACGCAGATCGTTTTGCGACTTCCTGCACGTCGTCCCGATACCGGGTAACGATTTTATGTGACGTAGTCGTGGATTCTAGTACGGAGGTGAGAGGAAGAGACAAGTAATCGTAAATACACTGACGGTGCACAGGTTCCCGAGGATGAGTCCTTATTCGTTCCTAACTCCGATGCTATCATTCCCCGATATGTTCTCATGTACGACAAGTAGCACCATGGAATACTATGGGGAACTTGTACGTAGACGGACTTGGCGCCACAATTGAAAACCATTGTTCATAACATTAACGATCGGTTAAATACTGAGCAGCAGCGAGTTGGTAGACCCACCCATCAGCACAAGATAGTAACACAAAGGACACACCCTCGATCGTCATGCGTCATATAGCGGGGTCCTAAATATCTTCGATATGAAGTTCGCTGCCTTGCTTTTCTTGAGAGATCCGGTATAAGCATAGACAACCAGATACGCAGGTCTAATCGCTTCGTTTGCATACACTACGGTTTCATCGTAATTTAGATCCTCGCCGGGTACTCCAATTAACTAGAGATGATTAGGAGCATATATGAGAAGAGAAGCTGGCCGACGCACGGAATCATAGCTTGCTGGGGACAGCATTCGGTGACGATTATGATGTACGCGGCGTGGTTTACCGACGACTACATGGTTGACTAAAATCATGCGAAATGGGGAACCCTCGGAAACATCGCGGAAATAACTATCGGCCTCTGTGCACGTTTGTGACCAGAAAAACAAAACAAGGGTCATGAACGTACTGGAGGAACATGATGTCGTGTATATGCCTTTGCCAAACCTCTGAAACGAATGACTGGTCCCTGAAGCGAGCGTGTGAAGAGGGAATTGCGGTGTACCGACAAAAGACGAACCTGACTTGTCAACGTTAAAAGATTCGCGTATGATACAACACAGGTAGCATTCAGGTATTGGGCACAATTTGACATTGCTCTTAGTTTCTCCGAGACGACAGCTGCGAGATGTGCCGTGGAAGAGAAGCTCTTCGACGTTGGCAAGGCCACGTTTCTTCGTCACTTTGAGCCTGTAAAATGATCAGAATATCATCCAATGGAGAAGAGTGACCTAACCTACTTATACGAAGAGTACTTTTCTAGACTCTGCTCGGGTGAAAGTATTCGAAAAATGGCAGAGACTAAGGGTTTCGGCTTGTCGAGATGCTTCCAAGACTTCAGGAATTGCTGCTGTACTGAGAACCTGGTCAGATACAACGTAAATTGCCGGAAAAAGGTCTCACTTGGAAGAAAGTCCAAATCTGCGGGTGTTAATGGTAAAATTGGGCTTGAGTCCTTTCGTTTTGAGTACATCGGGCTATCGAGGCAGTGCCAAGAATCTTTCACAGATAAAGAGTTCACGGGTAGCATAGAGGATGAATAGGAAGCCGTACGGTGCATGAGTGATGCTTGGATCGTTGTCGGTGGCCAGCGAGGCCACTATTTTACCCTCTGCGATGCGGCCAGGGTGTGCATGTTCACCGAACGCCTTGGAAAAGCTTTGTCACCATATCCGCCACCGCTCAACTGCAGCAAGCTCCCCTCGTGATCAAATGTTCGCTACGTGAACCTGTTGTAAGGATCTATATGAAACGGAGAATTTCTTCATGAACAAAAGAAAGGACAAAGCCAGGCAAAGTCTCCCACGCCTGTTGCTTCCCCCTTTGGGCTTGTGCGCCGGGCCGCCGGCTGCATAGCTTGTCCAAAACCAGTTATATTTCGTGATTTTGCTGAATTCGTTACATCCAACAGCATGTTTTCGGGCTTAAAAGGCGACGATATGGCGTTGTCCTCGTGTTTATAGCGTGCTGTTCGACCCTCACCAAACTTTCAGCTCACAAGCCTTTTTCGTTGCAGAATTTCTCTACGCTTATTGCTCATCATGCCTTATAGTTCTCAGCGTCATACTGTTATCTATGCGATCACGGATGGACCGCCAGTGGTCCACAGAAGTCCGCCGATGCTTCAGATAACTACTACGCAACCCCCCCCACGAAACTCTCAGGCTTACATTCCGACTAGCCAGAGACCTGTATCTTACACTCCAGGATGCAATACACAGGGAAAGACCAATCTCAGTCCGAAAAATGCTCGGCACAGTGTTCCTGCCAATTCCTTTAGACAGAGTCGTTTCGGAATGACTTCTCCTATTGCCAATCGTATACTTTTCTACGACAAGGACAAGCCTTTTTATTTTTTCACCAATTTTTCGGCCCACCCTGTCATTTACAACGGAGAAAGGTACCCAACAAGTGAACATCTTTTCCAATCTTTCAAGGTACGGGAAGTCATTCTTTCAAGTGCTGCCACAACTCACAGTTCGGTAGTTTGAACATCGTCCCAGCCTCGCAAAACACATCAGGACATGCTCTGAAAGACCGAGCGTGGCGTTTTCTGAGGCTCGGCGATTCCAACCGGAGGTTCGCACGGACTGGAAGGCAGTGAACATCAGCAAGGTGCGGTCTTCTCTGGCTGTGACAATCCAGCTCATGGGATCATCAGATGGAAGTTGCTCTTTACCTCAAGTTCACACAGCATAATGATCTGAAGCGCGAAATCCTTGCGACAGGAGATGCAGAGCTTGTCGAGGCATGTCTTCCTCGTTTTCTATCATTGTTAACACATGCTAATGGTCCGGTTCACTGAAGGACTCTCCCAAGGATGCCTTTTGGGGTGTGGGGCTTGATGGGCGTGGTCGAAACGAGCTTGGGAAGGCCCTCATGAGAATTCGAGAGCGTATTCGACAGGACGAATGATTTTACAATGGCTCAACAGGATCCGTTTCCGATCGTCCATCGTGTAAATTACACTGTTTCATGATATGCTCCTCACTGGAAAAACGTGGCTGAAGCTATAAGTACGACGGAATTTTGTCCACGGCCTGTATCCATTTCTTTCTGTTACTATGGCCTCTGTTCAGCCCACTCCAAACCCTCAACAGCTCTGTTCGGTGAATCTCACTTTACTTCCACGTTGAATCAGTTTTCCGATATGATTGTAGTACTGCCACCGTAAACCGAAGTTCAACAACTTTGAATATTGCGGAAAGACTTGTGCCAAAGAAGCAAAGCAGGCCGCCAATTCCAATTTATGCAACGTACTTGTTCTTCCCTCGATACTCCATATTATCTACTGACTATGGGATATCAGTACTGTCATCAAAAGCCGAAGTTCGCCAATCACGAGTTTTGCGGAAAGAAATGTGCAACTTCCGCCGCTGTCGCCTCCACGCAGACGACTCCCAAGGCTTGCAATACAACCGGGTCAGGTACTGGGTCTTCGACGAAGGGAAATCCAACTCCGCCTATTAAGACAGCACCTATTAGCCTGCCCGTGACATTGCAGAGCGGTCAAGTTATCGATGTGGCAGATCTTGCGCGTAAGTATCATCACTTCTTATCATAATCTCGCTCGACAGCGCGGTTTTAGGTACTATAATCCAGCAGATCCCCCAGCTTCAAGCGTTAGTTTCCGGAGGGAATGGCCAGCCCGTCAACGTTAACCAGATTGCATCTCAACTCGCAAGTATGCTGGCCCCTGGACCACAGACAGGTCCTACCGCCCCGGGCCAGACGAACGGTACTTCGCCGTCGTCGTCTTTTGTTACAGCTATGTCTCAACTACCACCCAGTCCCATCGTCTTCCCACATGCTGTCGACTATACTTTCCCAGGTCGTGGCCAAGATGAAGACCCAGAACTCTCATTGAATAGTCCTACCGTGACCGTCGTGTACGTATTTTGACCACAGGATAACTCCACAGCTATAATCTTAATTCCATTCTACAGCGGCACGCCCATGTTCTCCCAAGAGTCGCTTTGCATCATGTGCGGGATGGAGCCTCAAACTTATTATTACTACTTTTGTGGTGATGAATGCAGGGATAGCGCTTTGCATAAATACGGCGAATGATCGGTATAAATGTTGTACTTTTTGTAACGTTCTACTCATGGGGCGAAGTCCAGTCATACGTTCAGTAGGATAATCGACGTAGCCTTTATTCCTTATTTCTATATCTCTGGCGAGGTATCGCAAGGTGGTGAAATTCAGCTTACCGTCCAGAGGCTTACGAGACTCCAATCTCGTCACGAAGTCTAGGTGAGACGTCCAGGGGATATCAAAAACACGTCAGTCAACGTATCCGCTTCCGCAAACCTAGCTTCTTTGGCAGTCAAAATTACTGATTGCTGGCTATGAGTTCGCTCGAATCGTGGATTATGCTGGAAGTGGCATAACCAGAAGAATCCGTAAGAAGCTTGAACTTTCCTCCCCTCAGTGCAACGATAGCAGGGGCGAAGACCACCTGGTTTTGACACAAATCCGGAGTCAGCCATTTATATTACCTTATTCGATGCCAGAGCGTCGGAGTGGCTGGTCCATACAACTTGAAAAAAGTCAGCATCCTAAACGTCTAGTGAAAGCCAGAGGAAACTCCGACTGACGATAAGCGTATATCGCGTTGTCTTCGATGGTGTAAGTAATGTGAACCGGAAGACAGCGAATGACTGATGACTCTGTAGTTTCCATGGTCATCTTAAAACAAATAATTAGGGGGTTTGACTTGGCTACACATCTGAGGAAAGGGATTTCTCAACGACCTCTGTCCGTGCTTGCTTTTCACCCGTCCCTTTCAACGGCTTGGGCCACTTCGCCGGAGGGCCATCCCAGATTCCAAACTCTGTTTTCATCTCCTCAACATTTTGATCCCAGCGCTCCTCCCAGAAAACAGTGATGAGACTCCTCGCGCTACTGCCACACTTCAGGGCCCAAGGGGCGTACTCTGAGAATACCTTGTGCCGTTTCGCGCTATTCAAGCGCCAAGGGTAGAGAGCCGCAGAAAAACCGGCCATGGGAAGGCCAAGATTTGCTAATTCGAAATACTTGATAGCAAGCTCAGATTCCACATTGACAGGCATATTGCAGATGCAGTGATAGAAGTCATGACATTCGCGATATCGCTGCATCACATATGCCAATTCAGGATCGTCAATGTAGTGAACCTGATACATTTTAGTATCACAAACAGGAGCCTACGACAAACCAACGTACTGGAGCCCTTGTATCAGGTGTCACCCGACAACGTTCCAACCAACTAGTATAAGCACGACCAAAGGTTCCTTCTGGAAGCTGCGCCAGATTGTTCATATCCAAAGTCGTTGTATTGATGCGTGGTCGCTGTTTGAGGATCCTTCTCCCCTCTGAACTTTCAAGCATGATGTCACGTAGACGACGAAGAGATGGGCCGGCAGACGTTTCTCCGACTACCGCGACCAAGTCTAGTGACAAGGTAACTGAAAATATAGTCCAAATATCATCCTCAATGCTCACCACCACGACGTGGATCAGCCAGCGTCATGAGCCCAGCACCGACAAGCAAGAAGGTATTTTCGAACCAAGTGAGGGGAATATGGCTTGGATATGCAGGAGCAGTGGCCAGCAACCTAGAGCTCCCTGGACAAAAAGAAGGGTAAGGTGTCTTTTTGGAGACGGCGCGTGAGGCAAGCCTGCACAGCGACGACATGATGGTAGCACCACAAGAGATGTGACTTCTACTCGGGTCCGCCGACACGCTCACGTGCCTGATTCAAACCTTGACTTGTGCTCACAGCGTGTTCGTTCCAGGTGATCCCCCGTCACATTCGGGTCACAATGGTACTTAGGACACTTTCTTGACTTTGTATGAACCTTCTACACATCGTTTTCACCATCAAACAATGGCGTCGGCCCTTTGACCGATCGGATGAAAAAGTGTGGCCCTGATTCACGAACAATGTGGCCATACGCGTGCTTCTATGTACACTTGCACCTACAGAGCTATATAAACTTTGCCGTTTTTATCTATCTTTCTTCAGAGCTGGCGTCTCCCTCCTCCGTCTCTCCGCAAACTTTTTCCGATGAACTCTCTCTTCGCTGTCGTAGACAGCCTTATGGATCATGCTGGAAACAAGGTCTCCCCGCAGTCTTATGACTCGACGAAGAAACGATATGCCACCTACTTTCCTGAATCTTTCCCAAACATCCTGGCCTGTCTGCATGACTCGGATGATGACCAAAGTACATGGAATTTCAAACCTTCTTCATCGCGCCTCATCCTTCGCACTATCTCTCCTGAAGTTGAGCCTGAGTCTGAAGAGGGGCCCTCCTTCACTCCTGCCCAGGAGATCGCATCATCATACCGCAGGAAGACTCTGTCAATTGTCATCCCTCCCCGCGCCAACTGTTCGTTTTTGATTGATAGCTCAGAGGACAATACGTTGGTTGATGCCTCGGAGTACTGTTCTCTTGATAACGCCCTCCGGGACATTCTGGACACGGATCCAAAAATCAGCTTACGACGTTCAGATTCCCTCACTGACTTCGTAAGTCTTCTTTCTATTCTTTGGCTATCGTAAAATACTCAAGGTCAATATAATTACAGAAAGCGGAAGCTTTTGCAGAAATGCTCCGTTGCCAACTCTCCCCGGAAGATCCTCTTATTTGTCCTCGACTTGGCTGCCGCGACACAGTAACCAATGTCAAAGGCTTAGCGTGCCACCTTCATTTGCATGACATCGTTGATGACCGGTATGTTGAGGTAACTGTTTTCATTCATGCGTCGTGTTCACACCTCCTTTAGGCATTTTATATGCAACTTCTGCGACGGCCGATATGAAACCAACCACGAGCTCGTCATGCATCCTTGCCCCAGTGGATCTATGTCAGCACCATGCAGTCCTATCGTCGGTAAGCAACAGCATTTCTAGTTATTCTTGACGCTCATTGTCGACACATTTTTTGCAGCAAGCCTGCGCCGAGCCTTCTCAAAAATCACTTCGATGTCGTAACGATACCTCTCTTTCGATTTTCAGATGTCGCCTAATATCCCTGCTCATCTCTGTATTCACATCTCATCAATGTTGGACATGCCGTTACTCTACTATATCCTTCTTACTTAATCACATTGACATCCTTGAACGCCCCCTTCCTTTGGCTCAAAAGTTAGTCCCACGATGATTACTACCCTAAAAGAATAATATAATTCTGCATCGAATCTCACACTCCTGGGACCTCGCAGATACATGAAGCTCAGATCTCCCATGCCTCCCGACGGCATGAGTTGGACCGTGTACATGTTTCCTCATACCAAAGTGAGAGGCATGCTTTACCATGGCACTGACACTAGCACCAACTCCCTAAAAGGGAACAGTATGCCTCACTCTCTAAAGCATGTGAGATAATGATCATACGCCAGGCTTCAATTGCAGTGCTTTGTCTGTTCTTTGTCTAGACTCCAAATAAAGGCGCAAATCCAGTGCGAGAGAACGTTATTAGATAAAGGACGTGATCCGATAGAGTAAAAGCATGAGCACGCAACCATCACGACCGACTGGGAACTAATGAAGCTGTCTATAGCCAGCGTTTGATGGAGGATGGTGTAGCATTACGAGTAACTATCATATCTTGAAAACAGCATCAGTTTGATGGAGTGGCCGTACCCAGAGGACCGAAGAGCTATGAGGGGCGGAGTATAGGGACGAAATGAGGCAGAAAACCACGAATACAGCTGGCCAGAATATTGTTCTCGAATTACAGCCTGCACTGCACTGCACGTAGAGGCACTCCGCCCATTAAGGGCGAAAAGAGTCGTGAACTTGTTAGGCTAACGCTGGGAATCATACCCAACACCGCAAAGTACTGCTGATGGGCGCTGAGCGCTGAGCTAAGCATGTTTACGTTGTCAGTCCTAAAAAGCAGAGACATTCCATGAAGAGCGAGAGCAAGAGCAATGACATGACAAAGTACTTGGACCAAGTTTTGGAAAGGTTGCCATACGGCCTGTAACCTACCTACTCCATGCATGTACATTGCGAATGCTGGGAGTTGGAACAACACTGAGATACATTTTGGTTAGGGATACAAGAGACATGCTAGAAGAAAAGTAGGACAGAACCGAAAGGTTTAAATTTTCGAGCGTAAGGGTCCGATAACACAAAACTAACAGGTGTACAACAGCCAACACAGCGAAGTATTTTTCCCATGAAAGGGTACACTTCTGGAAGGCAAAGGAAAAAACAAGGGCACCCATTTCCCCGATTCGTCGACATATGACACGCGGCAGTACCAGCACTGCTATAGAGGTTACACTTGTTACAAGGTGCCGAAATAATGACTGTACTCCGGAAGGTCATGCTACTACTTCCTTCACTGGCAAACGTCTAAATGAGATTGGTCATAAGAAAGTCGCTCTCAACTTGGCAACCGTTTAGCTACCTTACGCCATGAATAGTCTCGGTTGACAATCGGCTGCTAAACTTCGGCGGTAAAGGGTCGTCACCTAGAACTGCTTCATCATACGCATTTGACGAAGCGGAGATCACTTGAGGAATATCTTCACGTCCGAGAATGAGGGAAGAATCGTTCATCGGATGATAGGTATCCAGTGGGGGAACGTTATCGTTTCGGGCATTGGCGAATATACCAGTGACCTCTTTGCTCTCAGAGGGAAGGTCGACCTGTTCTCTCAGGGCCGACACGGATGATAGAGATGACAAAGAGGACGAAAGGCTCGATCTTCCGCCGTATAACGCATAAAAAGCACCCGCTTCATCGTCTGATTCTGATTCTGGTTCTGATAGACCGTCGCTCTGAGTACTAGAGGCAGATGAGGCAACTCTGTTGACATCAAAAGGTCAGCCGAAATGAAGAGAATAGTAGACGGAGTTTGCAGCATACTCGTGCATGTTCTGCTCTTCGTTATCATTTATTCCTGTCTCTTCCTCCTCAATGCTAAAATAAAATGAATCAAGTATCTCATCGACGGGGTCGGTTGGATCCTGATAAATCGTATCCGTGGTCATAAGCGAAGTCTCGAATGTACCCAAGTACAGGACAGATTGGCTTCTGGTGGTGGAAAGAATGTGCGTCTAGTCGGCTGCCGCTAAAATCAAATCCCCCCACATACCCCGAAACCGCTTTACGCCAACCCTGTGATTATCAAAATGAATCTGGAAGCAGCCATAGGAACTTCTCATCTGAGTTTGGTAGGTCATGATGAACCATCATAGGCGCTTATCAACAACCTGTGATACTTGGGCCTGTTTTGGAATCAAGAGGCGCAGTGAAGGCGACAGCCTTATAAAGTTTATACAGTCGATTGTATCGGAGACACGAGTTCAAAGTGTGCCTTGCGAATCTATTCAAAAAGGACTAAAATAAACAGATCTATGACTGCACCTATAGTATTAAGAACATGATGAGTCCCAGACGCGTGATTAACCTCGCTCCGCCACTTCAGAAAAGGCTGAATGTTCATGCCACAATGTCGATGGAAGTGAGCAAATTAGGCAGGACTTCTCTGAACTTTAGTGAGTTGGTTCCTGGAATGCAACGTGAATTGAGGTTTGCGTCTACTATAGACTGAAGCGAGATTCTCACCCTACTGACCCTGCCGGTTTCCCACCATTCCCCAATTGCATGAGAATGAATCCAAGTCGGAGTGTCTCTCCACTTCTACTGTTCCTTTGTCAGTCCAAGATATTGTGCGAGTGGTTCTGATAATAGAAGAGTATGCTCTCGAGGCATTTTCGATTCTATACTGGGTTTAATCTTTATCACCTAGATAGCCTAAATATAAGTCGCGGAAGCTCTTCAAGCAGAAGAGAAAGGACGTCCTATCGTAAGATTTAACATCACCGTGCCGGAGAAAGGAAACATGTCCTTACCAGCTGCTCAAAACTGATTCCATCACACGGCAGATAAAGCTCTCGCAGCGCATCAAAAGAACGAAACCTTACAGGGGAACGACCGCCATCATTTCCAGCTCTTGGAAATGCGGCCTCAAAGTCCTCTCTCCTATCCCATGGCCTAGATGTGCCAATGTAGAGTCGCTGGAGGAGAGACGACGCGATTCCTGCTGAAGCAAGTAGTTTGCCGAACAGTTCCGGTTCATACTTAAGGTTCAAACCGAGCTCCGTGAGGTTGTGTAATGCATTGGTCTAATTCCGATTCAGCTTCAAGTTCTGCGTCATTATTGTGCAAGAAGGAAACGCACTTCGAAAAAATAAACGATATTCTCTAAATCATTCTAAATACCGGTTCGTATATGTTCGAGATGTCCATCTGGTCCCCCCAAAGATGTTTTCATCTAGTACAACACTGTCAATATCAGTAGAGCTGTGCAACATCAACCGGGTGAGATGTTGTGCGTGTTCCAATTCCATCAGTCCCTTCACATCTAGAATACGACTTTTGATCCCTATCTCAGAGCCATTAGACGAGGTAGAAATGTAAAAATGCAAATTCACTTACCTCCCCACTTGCCTCCTCCCTTTCTTTCGTCCACATACCAAGCCCTTCCGTCTCCGGCTTCCATTTCCAAGACTTCTAGTCGAGGAATACTGTACCATATCCTGGCCATTCGTCAACCGCAGTACTTGAGGCCGAGATGACGAAATTGTGGTGCAATGACAGGGAAGGCATTGTCCTCTTCTTCGTCATAACTGAAATTGCCAAAGTCAACATCATCGGCATAGCAGTCTTTTACAGTAAGACTGAGGAGCGATGGAAGTAATATGAGTACTCGTCTAATGAAGTAGCCTGGCTGGCCACATGACGGCATTTCGTGGGATTCACAACAATCGATTGACGCGCGGGTAACATTGGTAAATTTTGGAAGGCCTTCTTCCAGTGCCTTGAATATCCCAAGTGAATAATCAAAATGTCCTTTTAGCCTTATGTTCAAAGCCCGAGTGCTGAATACGCGCCGAGGATCTGCACATAAAGCCCTGATACTAGCAGATTGCGCATTGTCCTCAGGTCCTAGAGGCATATCACACACGATGAAAATGTGTCGCCATAAGAGAGGGTGCATGATGGCCAACAGGGTATGGCTACCAGCCAGAGAGGCACTGAGCAAGGAGGCATTGTCGTGGACCTCATTAGAGAGAGGATTTCTTGAGGGAGATCCAATAATTAAACCGTGAGCCGTGCACAGATAGCGAGAAATTTTGAAGTTTTTATGGACGATATATGCGATGATCCGGAGAGCAAATTCGACACCAGGTGATACTAAGCTGACTAACGCACGGGAAATATTCGGACTATCGGTATGGCCGGATGAATTATACTTGATTCTTTGAGTAAGAGGGAGTATACCTCGACGAGATATATCATTACATTTTCAAAGCATATCCTCTACTATCCTCAACATCGTCCTTGTACCAGGTCGAACAGTTCTCTGATAACCGTTCCACTCATGTGCATGACTGCGAATTGACCTTACTTCGTCAGCCAACCGGCGCCTTAACGACATCGTTGAATCAGCAACATCATGGCCGCTTAACGGCTGCAATAACATCAAGAATGATAACTCTGTGTCAATGTGAGCCGAGCGCGCATTCAGGTTTGTTGATCCAAAGAGGGTAAGTATCGGATCCGTCCCGGCTGTGGGTGAAAGCCAAAGTCCTAGTTTGTCTTTATTTAGGTCATTTCGTAACGACAACGGATTTCACCAACCTTTCGCGTGATACGTCCAGCCCTCTTTTTCCCACTCGTTCAATTGAATGCCTGTGCCAGTGACTTTACGCCAAGATCTTCCTGCACGATCTACAGCTTGGATAAACCGTCGTTCCAGAAGGGTATATCCTTCAGGAATACGACTAGAGATGCCTTTCGATCCATAAAACCCATTGGCCTAGACAGTTGAATGAATCGACAACTTCAAGATAGAAATTAGCAAAGCAAACCTTAGGGCTGGCTGCAAGAACACGGACGTCCATACCCGGTGAAGCAAGCAAGAGATTCTGATAGGGCTGGTATAAATTGAAATATCCGCTAGTAAGGTCCATGAATGGACGTTGAGCCTGCGGGATACTTCGAAGATGATTGAACAAGAGTTCTATAGTAGTCTCTTCCTCTCGTATGCCGAATTGGCCACCTTGAACTATTGGGAACAGGGCAACATCACTGGAAGACGAGTTAAAGGATGATGACTGGCGATGACTTTCCTGGAAGGTAGATAACGCCTTCTGCAATTTCTCATTGAAGTTGTGCGGATGCGTATCAGGATCCAGCCAACGCACGACGTAATCCTCTTGTCGATATGAATAAGGTGTGCTATCCGAGGGATCCGTATCTTCAGCTGGGGACAGCACATACGCACACGTTGACACAACTTTCAAAAATTGGAAGCAGTAATTAGCTAGTTGCTTCTGCTTAGAAAAATAGATGTAGCGGTCTTGACGGTTGGTAAAATATGATCCGTTGAGATTCGCACTGAAATTTTGTCAACTATATACATTTCCGGAGGTGGCGTACTCACCCGCTGATTAAAACGTCATCGTCGGCGCCATATATTTTGGCGTGCCACGTTCCCCAGCCCTCATTAAACCGTGGAGGCATCACCTTCGCCAGCACTCCACGAAGACTTGGGCTTCGGAAGAGGTGCACACGGACACGGTGCGGAAAAGCACGCAAGAGAGGGAGAAGCAATCTTGTTGTAGATGCATATCCAGGACGTGTTGAACGATTTAAGTCTAGCTGTAAATGCAACTGAAGGGCCGGTTTTCCTTGTAGAGCTGAAGAGAGCGAGGCAATCTGAGTATTTAGTCAACATAACTAAGCGATAATAGCTAATAACGTACCAATTCTTTTTCACCAGAGCCTATGTAGAGCGAAGACAGAAATATTCGATTTTGAGCGTGTTGAATCGTGTCCTGGATGATGTTAAGCATGGTCCTTGTAAAGGAAGCTTCAACATAGTACGTACGAGAACCAACGCGTAAAACTCGCTCGGTTGCGAGAGGATTTGTATTCCGTTGGCGGGGATGGAGAAAGTCGGTTGCCTCTGCGCGAGGTCCGTGCCAAAATTGTGAATGGCGGCATCAAATGCAGCAGTAGACGCAGAGCGAGCAAAGGGGAACCTCACTAGAGGTAGACGAGTGACAGATACCCGTTGAAAAGCAATCATGGCGTGGTCGAGACAAATCTTCTGAATTTTCGTTTTTCGCTTTTTTGAGGCTTGCGAGTCTAACAGATGTACACAGCTCAACGGACCGGACTCCGTCGTCTCCTTTACCAGCAGTTTGAGGAACCACTGGCTATCAGATATTCTTCTTCAACATGGCAACGGCATTCGAATCTCAACGATCCAATCTCTCCATGGTCAACCTCACATTCCCGACGACCGACTCACTGTCCCCACTGTGATGGTAGAAGCTATGGATGATTCCGCCCTCATTACTACCTCTATGCCCACCTGCCTCTCAATCACAATGTCTGAGACGTTCCAGAGTGCTTATGGAGGGAAAACTAACTGGTCAAAATCTGCCACCTTTCTTCGCAATGTAAAAAACCCACTCGCTCATCTTCAAGTCATGTCCGTAGATCTCATATAGCCTCAGATCCGACTGCAGCATGATCTCACTGTATCAACTGCCCACATCGAGTTCCTCCGCGTCTCTATCAGTGACCCTAAAGCTCAATTCGGCAACCTGACAACACTGGTATTTTCTTTCACCTTTCCTACATTACAAAATATTTGTCTTCCTTTGCCGGCCCTCTGACATGTGCTTTCTCAATGTTTGATTTCAAAAATACGACCTTGTCTTGCCTTTCAGCCTGTTACTGATGCAGATGTTCTGCGTCTCGATCATATAGTGGCTGCAAAAGTGCATGAATACTTCTCGTTCTCCTTCCCTTTCAATTCTCTCTCTTCCTCTATCTCACTTTGGCTTTGATTTCCCTTCCATCTCCCGTCTAAATCGTGCTGCGGCCGTTAACGGCCTTCTTCGTGATATTAACCATCATCTGGGAACTTTTCAGAACATGGCCGGCAGATTGGACATGTCAATTGAACCACTACACCTTTCCTTTCGACACATCTCTCAAAAGATCCTTTATGCGTCAGAGCAATAATCTGCCTTTCCAACAGCATCTCGCACATGACACTCTGTATCGAACGGGTTCCTCTATCCGCAACACAGACCTTTCTTTCCTTTTCCACGGCGATGTTGCCCTACATCACCTTAATCGTTCCTTATCCTCTCATCTCGCTTTACACCCACAGGCAATAACAAACCTTGCCAATGCCGGCCTCACACATCTGAATGACATTGCATTTTTCTCCTCAGACAGTGATAATCACACGACTCTACGACTCCAACCTCACTCAAACGTCTCCTTCCAAAATGCAACTACTCGTGCTCAAGAACGATGGCCTCAAATCTCTCTATGGATCCGGAATATAACGTTGAAGGATCTCGTTGATGGATTCATGGCAATGGGTGACATCAATAATTGTGTGGGGACAAGATGGACAGATGTCGAGAATCGGACCTGCGTGCAGAGTGCTGACACGCACAACAACCTCCGTCGTGCGGCTGCGGGTGAGTACTCTGTACCGTTATGGTTTCTTGTGTTGCCTCCACTTTTACGAATGCAAAATGCCCATAACCTTATCAATGCCTACCACGCCGTCTCCATTCATCCACCACTTCCCTCATACATTCCTCCCGGCCTCTTTGACTCTGATGCATCTATAATTCTACCTGTGTCTGCCTTCAGAACTCCTCGTTCCGTTACATTTTCTTCTATTTCACGCCAATCCGCACTAGCCCTCAACTTGATTTCTTCCAAACTTCTGCTTGAGTCCACCATGGCGAAGCATATGGACTGATAGCGTTAACAATACATCAATACAACCTACCACCTCCCCCTCTAAATTTCCCTTCTTTCCCAACTCTGTACACTGACCACCTTAACTCAACCCATATCATTTCATCCGCCTTTCATGTCCCTCAACTGCCCCACCAGTGGTCCTCCCTTCCTGGTCGTTCACTTTATCGCTGGCTCCTCTATCTCCTACAGCACTCTCCTCCTCCCCGCCATCCTCCTACCATTGTACACACTCCTGCTCATACAAATTCTTCATCAAGGCCTTCTCAACTCAACGCATCAACAGACTTCATTGCTTCCCGTTCTCAAACCACACAAAGCCTACCACCTCCCGCGCCCTTACCTACCCTTTTTATGGACCCATACATACTGTATTCTCCAAAAGATGGCTACATCGAAACAAAGATCTCTTCCTATATCCTGTCCGTACTAATCTCCGTTTAATCTCCGTTTCATACTCTCACCCAGACTTCCGTCCTGCCTTGACGATGCTGGTGCCATTATATGACCAACACGGCCCTCCTGAACACTCTTACTAATTTCACCTATTACTTACGAGCTACCGGGGTAGACTAGTTTACACTTATTTACCCGAGCTGTCCTAGCAAAGATGGCCAATTCATACTGTCTTACTGTCGTATTTACGTAGCCAATACCTACTACCGCAAAATTTTCTTAGTCTCATCTACAAACCGGAGGAGAGTGTCTACGTCGCCGCCATCTCCTCTCTTCTCCGTAATATGTGCATCCGCTACTCTTTCGAAAAGTTTCGCGATCCCCTTAAATGTCTTGCTCGTTTCACCGCCTACAAAATCCGAAACCTCCTCCATCTCGAACACCATCCGATATGCCTTGGGCATTATCTGGGGAATCAGACGGACGATAATGTCAAGAAAGGCGGGCTGAGATATGCTCAGAGCATGCAAAAGGCCTTGTGCGGTAGTCGGCGAGCTTGCTTGCGCGGCTATACTTCAATTAGTGCTCTGTGCCTGCTGCATTGGTGTCGGATCTCACCGAGAATGGACGTCGCACATATTCCAATAGTTCCTTTGACAATAGCCTTGTGGAAGAGATGTGACCCAGGATATAATACAGTCCACAAGATGAGTCACTCACTGCATGCGACATTTTTAAAGCACTGGCATCACCAATACTTGCGCCCTCGCCTTTCAGAGGGATGATGTACAATCCAAAATTTGTCGAAACCTCCGTGAACACATCCAACACAGACAAATCATCTGGATGCGCAGAAACGTAAATCCCAGGATTGTTGGTGTCGGAAGGGGGGAAACCAATAATGACGCCATCGAGGAACCTAATCTTCGTTCCAGTGAAGAGCTGTGCCATTTCCTTGATGGTATCCGGATTGACCGCATTACAGTCAGTGAAGATAATATCCTTGCAAGCCACCTCCGCCAACTCTTTGTACGCACTGACTATCTGCTCTGCGACGTGTCTCGCTTCCTTTGGTGGAACAACGCTGTATATGATTGTGCACTTGGCGATGATTTCAGAGTACGAGGCATGAACCATCCCAGACGCCTTTGCACGTTCGACTGCTGCTTCTGATCTGCCATCAAGGTTGGTCATGATAGATCCCGCTCCAGAGCTGAAAAGCCGAAGGGCCATTGCGGATCCCATGGCCCCGGGGCCTAGCAAGGCGATAGTGTGTGAAGACATGGATGTCAGTAATGTTCTCCGACGCAAGATAAGTACTCGTCAGCTTCGGCTGATTCAGAAAGAGCGGAATAACCTCCGCCGCCATACATGTATCTCGGAATACATCTGGAATTGAAAAAATCTCGTTACCACGGAATCGTCGAAGATCAATGTGACAGTTCCTTGGAGTTCTGAACCACATGAAAAAGTCACGAAAATGATTTGTCAATCTACGCGAGTCAAAACTTGGATACCCCAACACTCAAAAAAATTCCTCTTCTGCACCAGCCTCTTCCAACGGCGGCCAAAACTGCGCACATTCTTCATCTGGTAGAAGTGCCTTATTTGCCTTCCGGAAAACGGCTTCTGCATATTCCACGGCAAGATCCGGAGAGTCGGGGAGCGGGACGATTGGAAGCTGCGGGGACACCAAACAAGTTCCGGAATCAGATTCGGACTCTGAGCGACGAGTAGATAACGGATTCTGGAGGTAGAAAGTGGTAAATAGTGGCACCGGAGGAGTAGGGGACCGGGACGTCTTGAGAGCAGCGGTCAGATACGGCGTGAGGATGATTTCTGGCGATGATGAATGCATTTCTGAGGGAAGGACGGGCATAGATAGATAGAGGATCCACCTGTCTTTGGGGGTAGACAGGGTCCCTTCACCAACGACAAGTGCTGTTGCGGACGTTGAAGATGCTGTAAGAGAGTTCGGTGGAAAAACGAGTATCCCTGTGTCAAGAAGGGGTTCCAAGGTTTGAGCATCAGTGACTTCGTCCGTTGATCGAGCTTTGGTGCCGAATGACAGCGGTTGGTCGATAATGGCTACGCATCGTGCCATACCGTGGCCAAAAGTTGGCACCGGTGAAGAAACTGCAACGTATCTCTGATGCAAAGCAAGATTTGATGGAAGGTGAGTTGCAGCCGAAATCAGGACGCGGCAAGTGAGCGGCTCAGGAAAATCTTCAAGCGTAATAGTATATCGGGAATCGGAGTGGGTAATGGAAAACGTGGCGCGGCCAAGAATGTAGACGCCTCCGGCTACCGCAGCTGTCCGACAAAAGCCTTGTGCGATTTCACCTGAGCTGCCATAGTGACCTACGAGAAAAGGTGAGGACCCATAGCGTCCGGTTGAACGAAGGTAGTGGCGGAGTCGTTGTAATGTGCGTAGAGTGGAATCTGTAACCCAAGATCATATAGAAGAAATAGCTTGATATGTATTAGGACATACCATGGACAGTGAAACAGAAAGCCAATGCATAGACAATTGCTGCTATTGTCTCGTCATTGAGCATGAATGCCGTCTTCAGAAATTCGCCAAACGCCATCTCCTCCCTTCCCTCGAGCTCAGGCTTTCCCTCAAACTCTCCAGAGGCAAACATGAGGAATCGCATCAGGCGCCGTTTATCCACTAGAGTGATATCCTTGCTCTTGAACACGTCCTCTTTGCTGCCTGGCACGCCTTTCACGGCTCCCGAAGAAGCATCGTATATACCCACGCGCTCAACAAGCTGAAACCCTCCATATCTTGATACTCCGGACGCTATGAGGGCAGATATGAGGGCCCCGACCGACGGGATCACAAACGGCAAGAGAGAGATGGAATATTGGCGTGCATGAGGCAATTTAGTGTATGTGCCGGAGAACGCAGAGAATGATTCGTGATCTTCATGAATCCATTCGATGAACTCTTCCAGTGAGAGGCTGGCCTCGTCAGCACCGTAATAAGCATTATCGTCGATATGCGCAACTTTAAAACCAGCTTTAGAAAGCGCACTGGGAAATAAGAAGAAAAGAAGAAGGATAGGTGGAATTCAGGCTCACGCAGCTGTAATGGATTCCACGAGACCAGTTCCAAGGATGACTATGTCGAATGCGCCTTCGTCAGTCATGGAGGAAGAGGACTAAGTCAGATCGCTAAGGTTAGGGTCACGGTCGAATTCGCACAAATACTGTACTGGAACTTAAGATATTTACCGATGTCCAGCACATGAAGGACATTGGTTGGTTGTGATACTTACACCTTAGAAAGAGTAGAAATTCCTTATCAGAGTACCCACTGCCAACTCGTAGTGAAAGGAAAGAGGTGGTAGGCCGAATTTCGGCACGTCATCAGCCGATAGCAGTATGAACTTCATAATTATGGAGCCTTCGTTTTCACCGATTTATATTGTAGCCAATTTCTTTGTTCGAAATCTGAACGTGACTAACAATCACAGTACTAGTATCTAGGAGCCAGGACCAGGACCAGGACCAGGACCTTCAAGCATTGACCGTTGTGGCGCAGGAATATCAACTCAACTTATCTAGGCTAAATCTCGGCTCTGACTTCAGGTTCTGTTGGAATTGTCGCTTCAAAAACTTGAAATGCTTGTTGTACCTTTGCCCTTCTATGTTTTACATTCAAGACTTAGGCCATAGGCTCAAAATATTAATATTGATTGACGTCTTCAATAACCATGCAACCCTGACCATCCATAATCACACGGCGCTTTTTTCCAATCACCGGCCTTGTTGACGTACACGTCTTGGCCCGATTTACTTGCACTCTAACCTCGCTATGATTCTGCTCACCGCACTTTGGATCCTCATCTCCTCGATTATTGCTCATTTGGTATACAAGAGATGGTCCCGCATCTCAATCACCAACATCCGTGGGCCTCAGCCGCATTCGATCTTATACGGTGAGTGCAACTTTGTCGAAATTTCATCTGTGTCACTAATCTGAATGTACAATATCCAGGCAACTTCCCAGAAATGTTGGAAGGGCAAGCTGGCGATGTCTGTTACTTTCCCACCTTTCTACGTAGTACAAAATGCTTATGTCCCATGTTAGATTGACTTCAAGTGGCAGGAGGAGTTTGGTGATGTCGTCCGAATCAAGGCACCCTTCGGTGTATGCCTCTTGTTCAACTCCAAGACAAAAATACCGTAACGACATGATATATAGGAAGATCGGTTGCTCCTTTCGGACCCTAAAGCGTTACAATATATCTATCATGCCTCCGGATATGGTTTTACTAAGACGTCGGGTCGTCTTGCTGTATCTCAAACGATATTTGGCCCCGGGCTTGTGGGCGTCGACGGTATGCGACAGCTTTTTGTATTTTCCACCAGGCATGACTAAGTCGAGTAGGCGACATTCACAGGCGGCAGAGAAGGGTTATGATGCCCGGTTTTGGGACTCCAGAAATCAAGGCTTTCGTACCAATCTTTTTCACTCATGCTGGGAAGGTGAATGCCAATTCAAGATGTGTCTAATCTGGTCTAAAGTGTTATCCAGATGGCTGCCAAATGGAGAGATATCATTTCGGGCAACGGTGGCCTGTCATGTACCGTGGATGTTCCTTCATGGACATCTCGTGCAACGCTAGACATTATAGGACAAGGTTTCGAGTTTCTCCGTGTCGACCTGGAGATGCTGAAATTTGATTGTTAGCTGCCTTCGACTACGACTTCGGAGCTCTTGATGACACAGACAACATCCTGACCAAGATTGTGTCAAACATCGTGTACGCCAGAATAGATTGCGAGGACCAGTGCTAAGTTTGTTTCTTCAGCTTTGATACGTTCGGCCTTCCAACAAACAAGGCCATCCTCTCTTTGAGCCTCATGGACTTTCTTCCTTTCTGGCTTTCGAGATTCATCACTAAGTCTTTGCCGATATCGCGTTTGTCTCATGCCCACAAATTGAATCGATTAACCGGCACCGTCTCGAAGCAACTGGTCAAAGAAAAGTACGATGCTCTGATTGACGGTAAATCTAACAAGGACATTATGAGTCTCTTAGGCGCGTTGAATCGTTTGCGCTGTCGAATACGCTGTTGTAACATAAAACAGTCAAGGCCAATGCATCCCAGAACCCAGACACAAGACTCTCAGAGCAAGAACTGCTTGCGCAGATGATGTACGTTATTCAAAGTGTTTATGTGCAACTCACAATTTCACTCCTGTAGCACAATCATCATGGCAGGTCATGAAACAACGTCAAATTCTTTGTCATGGGCATTGCTGGAACTTGCAAAGCACCCGGAGATACAGTCCAAACTTCGGGATGAGATCCGAGCAAAGGAACGTCTGGTACTTTCGCGTGGCGGGTCATTGACGGCCACAGATTTCGATAATATGCCCTATTTAACTGCCGTTGTAAAAGTAGGTATCTGACGCCCTGAGATAGACCAAGGCTCAACCCGTCAAATCTAGGAGAGCCTTCGTTTCCATCCAGTGTCATACAACGTTTTCAGAGTATCGGAAAAGGATGACGTATTGCCGCTGCTGAAACCGATAATCACCAAAGACGGAAAGGTCATGTACGAAGTACCAATTCCCAAGGGTCTCCAAATTATCAGTTCGATTGCTGCATATAATAGGTACATGATCGCCGCGAAGTTCTATGTGAACCATTTACTGATGCATGTTCGTGACCTCCTAGGAACAAGGATATATTCGGAGAGGACTCAAGTGTCTTCAATCCTGACCGTTGGTTGTGCGATAATGTCAAGTCAAGCGTATCTATTGGCATGTACGCAAATCTGTATGCTTCTCCGACTATCATGTATTCCGGGAAGGTTTAACTGTCTTCTAGGTTCACCTTCTCAGGTGGCGGACGAGCGTGCATTGGCTGGAGATTTGCGTACGTGAGCTTTTGTTCGTGGCAGTATTGCGTATAATCTGAAGACGGGTAGGGTACTCGAGCTATCGGCCTTTGTCGTTGAACTTTTGAATAACTTTGAGTTCTCCTTGACGGACAAAGGTGACAGCATTCGAAGGGAGGCGTGCTTTGTGATGACTCCTACGCTTGAAGGTCAGCGGGAAAAGGGAACACAGATGCCTCTTAACATTCGAATTGCATCTCGGGAGGACATGTAGGTATTACTAGTATTTGGGATGAATGACATGTTCGGAACTGCTTCGGGGTGTTCAGTAACGAAGTTATTGGCCATGGCAGCACCTCCACAGATATAAATGATTGGGTAATTTTCTCAGCTACCTTATCTAAGTATGAGGAAGTGCCCAGCCAAGCGACAGGAATTGTCAAGGAAATGATTCCTCGCATATTCCGCATGAGCCGAACTTGCCGCCGGTATCGACTCGGAATTGCGAGTTCGTTCATCTTTATCACCTATCTGTATGTATTTCGGAATCTGCCAGGAATGGATATCCGTCTCTCATATAGCTATATCACGGTACTGATCTGACCTTCGGACGTATACTGCCTTGCGCTCGTCATGTCGTTAGACCTTGTCAGAATTGCTATCGGTACGTTGATTGCCGTAGAGATGACGCTGTCTTACCATTATCAGACCGCGGAGGAACGTTCACGGACGTGTACTGTGCGCAGATAGGAAAGCCTGATATCGTGCTCAAGGTTCGCAATCGTCGTCGTCGTCTGTTGTCCCACTTACAGGCCGCCAGCTCCTCTCTGTGGACCCGCACAACTACCCCGATGCGCCAGCAGAAGGTATCCGACGAGTTCTAGAGTTGACTTCCGGTCAAAGTATACCCAAGGGCTCAAAATTGAAGCTAGACCGGGTCGAGAGCATTCGTATGGGTACAACTGTTGCGACCAATGCTCTGCTGGAACGTAAAGGTGCCCGGTGTGCTCTTCTGACGACGGAGGGGCACAAGGATGTATTGCGCATTGGTCAACAAGGTGCGTATTCTCAGCCAATTGTTCTGAATTCTGATGTCCAAGTCCTCTGCAGCCCGACCCAATATCTTTGACCTGTCAGCTAAAAAGCTTTCATCGCTCTATGATAAGGTCATTGAAGTTGCCGAGCGCGTCACTATTGCCACTTCTACCGAGGACCCAGAGTCATCTCCGGCCTCTTTCGAAGGCATTTCCGACGCGTCCATCGTACGAGGACTTACAGGCGACTTTATCCGTGTTCTCAAGAAGCCTGAATTGGACATCATCAAGATGCAGCTCCAGTCACTTTGGGATGAGGGCTTCCGGTCCATCGCCGTTGCTTTCCTTCATTCTTACGTCTATCCCGAGCATGAAAATATCGTTTCTGATATCGCGAGAAAGATGGGTTTTGCTGTATCCGTGTCGTCTGAGCTCCAACCGATGATCAAGATCGTGTCGCGAGCAAACTCAGCTATCGCGGACGCGTATCTCTCTCCTGTGACCCGGACATACATTGAGACATTCGCCGAGGGTTTTGAGGGTGGGCTCGATGCACTTGGAAATAAACTCTTGTTCATGCAGAGTGACGGCGGTCTTTGCAGCTGGAGAAACTTTTCAGGCCTTCGTGCTGTGCTTTCTGGCCCTGCGGGAGGTGTCATTGGGTATTCCAAAACATGCTACGACGCAGAGGATGGTACTCCACTCGTATCAGTAGACATGGGCGGCACCTCTACCGATGTTTCGCGATATAGCGGTCATCTTGAACACGTATTCGAAACAGCCACCGCTGAGGTTATCATCCAAGCCCCGCAACTCGACATCAACACGGTCGCTGCTGGCGGCGGTTCTCGCTTGTTCTGGGAGAACGGAATGTTTGTTGTGGGCCCGGAGGTTGGTGCTTCCGTCCGAGTGCCTGCAGTATCGAACTGATGGTATATTCGTTTTCAGAGTGCTGGAGCCCACCCTGGCCCCGCCTGTTATCGCAAGGGAGGTCCACTAGCCGTCACCGATGCCAATCTGCTTCTGGGTAGGCTTCTTCCCGAACACTTGTACGCTGTCCCATTTATAATTATCTGCTGAAAGACTGATTGTCTTCAGCCCAAAAATTTTTGGACCCAATGAAGACGAGGCCTTAGACATAGATGTTACTCGTCGTCTTTTTGAGGAATTGACCGCCAAGATCAGTGCTGAGAAAGGAATCAAAATGACTCCTGAAGAAGTTGCTTCTGGTTTTCTCCGTGTGGCGAATGAAGCTATGAGCAGACCTATTCGAACGTGTGTTTTTTTATCTATATACTCTATTACTGATCATCTCTAATTATATACCAGGTTGACTGAAGCCCGAGGCTTTGAAAGTGCTAGCCATAACCTCGTCATATTTGGTGGTGCAGGAGGCCAACATGGCACTGCTATTGCTTCCATCCTCGGCATCTGTCGTATTCTTGTCGCTCGCTTCTCATCTATTCTCTCTGCCTACGGGATGGCACTGGCAGATGTGGTCGTCGAAGAACAAGAACCTGCTTCTGATGTTCTCGACTCACGGACAGACGCAGACAACACCGCCGTCTATTCCTCGCTCCGCATGCGAGCGGACATCCTCATTAACCGTGCTCGGACATCTCTTCTTTCTCAAGGATTTCCCTCCGCACAGATATTTGCTGAACTCATGTACAACTGCCGTTTCCACGGAACAAGCACATCCTTGATGGTACGCGAGCCGGCGGATGGGGATTTTGTCAGTAGCTTTGTCCGGCAGCACGAACAGCTCTTTGGATTCACACTACAGGATCGAAGTGTGCATGTCGATGATGTACGTGTGAGAGCAGTTGCTAAGAGCGACAGAACCGAACAAGAGAGTCCATATGCCGAGATAGCAAGGTCTACGCTAATGGAGGCGAAGGGACTGCTAGAGAAATGTCACAGAAAGAAGGTGTACTTCGATGGGCTGGGATGGACCGATACTGCTGTTGTGCCGTTGCAGGAACTATCTCCCGGCGACCAAATTCCAGTGAGGCTTTTTAATGCTCTCATCAGTAGACTTGAATAAACAAATTCGTAGGCTCCAGCAATCATTTTCGATGCTACTCAAACGATCCTTATCGAACCTGGCTACTTGGCGACGGCTACCTCGAAGCATATTATCATTGACCGTGCAGGGCCACCTACGTCTAAGCCCGTTTTAGACATCAACCAAATTGACCCTATACAGCTATCTGTGTTCGGGCATAGGTTTATGGGTATTGCAGAACAGGTTGGAATTTTCATTCGTCGTTCTCGTTTTACTGATTACGCGTATAGATGGGGACAATTCTTAAGCAAACTTCTATCTCGACCAACATCAAGGAGCGCTTGGATTTGTGGGCGACTTCCTTTTCAATTTCACAGAATTACTCATTCATACTGACAGTTCTTGTGCTCTCTTTTCACCTGACGGCTTACTCGTAGCGAACGCACCTCATATACCCTGTACGTGTTTCTCTGTCCCATCACGTAACGTCTGACGACGTGATTATCAGGTCATCTCGGTGCCATGAGTGCGGCCGTGCGCTTCCAAGCCGAGCTGCACAAAGGCCAGCTCCAAGATGGTGACGTATTAGTCTCGAACCATCCAGGTATGCCTAACTGTCACCTTGTCAATTGCAACTAACGGACATCACAGATGCAGGAGGTTCCCACCTTCCTGATATTACGGTAATGACCCCTGCATTCCACAACGGTGAGATCGTCTTCTGGACAGCCTCGCGTGCCCATCACGCTGATATTGGTATGCTCATCTCGTCTCGTTTCTTCCTGTTTGACAAGCTATCAGGCGGCATCCGCGCCGGCTCAATGCCTCCCTTCTCTAAGACAATCTGGCAAGAAGGAGCGCAAATCCTGAGTTTTAAGCTGGTGAAACAGGGAAAGTTCGACGAGGAAGGTGTCGTGGATATCATGTACAATCAGCCTTCGAAGTTCCCTGGCTGCTCTGGAACGCGAACATTGAAAGATGTACGGTTTGCGCAGTCTTTAGTCTTGTTCACATTCTGACATACTTTCTTGTAGAACATTTCTGACATGAAGGCGCAGATATCGGCTAATCACCGTGGCGCTACGTTGATTAGGGCTCTAATTGAGGAGTTTTCATTGAGAGTTGTGCAGGTATGCCCACTCGATCGAAACCTTGGACACTGTAGCTAATGAGCGTCCCATAGTTCTACATGTTCGCCATCCAAAAGACTGCAGAATCTGCTGTGCGTGACTTGTTGCGTTTCGTGGACACAAAGTTCGGCGGGAAGTCATTGCAAGCTATCGATTACATGGATAGCGGAGAGCAGTTACAGCTCAAAGTTGACATTGACTCCAAGCTGGGCGAAGCTGTGTTTGATTTTACGGGGACAAGCCCACAGTCGTGAGTCTCTAGCTTCTTGAATCTCTGTTGACCGGATCTTATATATCTTCAGGTATTCGAATTTGAATGCACCAACAGCTATTGTATATAGCGCCATCATCTATGTGCTTCGCTCGCTGATTCCTACCGCCATCCCACTGAACCACGGATGCTTGGCCCCAATCAAAGTAATTGTCCCACCTCGTTCAATTCTTTCTCCTGGACCAGGCGCTGCAACGGTGGCAGGTAACGTTGAGACATCACAGCGGTATGTCATATTTCCCGCGGAATATGAGTCTTTAATAAGTCTGCAGTATAACGGATGTCGTGCTCAAAGCTTTCGAAGCTTGCGGAGCTTCTCAGGGTTCCTGTAATAAGTAAGAGACTCAGCGATTTTCATGAGTGTCTGTCACTAACCGAGATGAATGTTAGTCTTACGTTCGGCTACGGGACCGAGACGAAAGGCTTTGGCTATTATGAGGTATGAATACCAACTCTCTATTTTTCTCTAACTTACACATTTTATCTTAGACCATTGCAGGGGGTTCTGGAGCAGGCTCAACTTGGGATGGGCAAAGTGGGTATGTATTTTTCCGGCTATACCTGCCATTTTGAGTCTCATCGATTGATCTGCAGTGTTCATGTTCATATGACGAGTGAGTTGCCTGTATTTTTAAGGTGGCATAAATATCTAATGTCACACTAGACACTTGTATTGGTGATGCGGAGAACATTGAGCGTAAATACCCTGTCATTGTACGCGAATTTAGCATCCGCGCAGAGTCAGGAGGTTTGGGTCGACACACAGGCGGCGATGGTTGTGTACGTGAGATTGAATTTACCCGTGAGCTGGATGTTGCCATTCTATCCGAGCGACGGTCAATTCCGCCTTACGGAATGCGTGGTGGCTCACACGGACAGACTGGGCGAAACTTCTGGTTGAGGAGGGAAGCTGATGGAACGATCACGACGATTGCTCTTGGAGGAAAAAATGAGTGTCCGATGAAACCTGGGGACAGGATTCGTATCGGTAAGGTGTTGTGTCTCTCTTCTTAGTTGTACTAATCTATATCACGAAGAAACTGCCGGTGGGGGTGGTTATGGCGTTCCTGGATCTGAAGAAGAGGAGGCGAGTCAGCTGTATGGAGCTTTCAACCGTGCTCCTCCAACAAGAGCAAATGGAAGTCTTTCACAGATGAGGGAGACAGCAGACACCAATTGAAGTACCTCGATAGAGTCGTTCGCATTGTATCAGTAATCCAGAATATCACACAAGATCATTTTTCTCTATTGTAACATCGGATCGAGTCCGATGTGGGTCCAGAGTTGTGCCCAAGTGGTGCCTCGTGAACGACGATTCGGGCCAGCGGCAGTCGAGTTTCAAATCCATATTGGCGATACGCAACAATTCCGAGATAAGAAAGTATATTGACCTTGGGAGTTGGTTGCGCATCTGCGCGGAATTCTGTGGGCGGAACGGATAACGAAATCTTGCAACGTATAACTTTATCTGCGGGCTCGGTGGATGTCAGGAATATAGGGTGATGGCAGACGCTTATCATTTGCCCAGACTGTTCTTATAACTCTGCCAGTGGCCACAACGGTCACTTCTGCTCCCCGCATTACAAAGATGGGCATCGTGAATTTTCTTATTCCATCGTCTGAACAGATGGCGCTAATTTCTTACTTTGCAGAAATCTTCCAGCGACGACGAGCTTTCCGGAAAGGCAGCCCACATTCAAGTTGCTGTTGCTTCGGTGGAGCATAATGGCATAGAAACGTCTCCTCTCAACCAGGAAGACGAAGCCAGGCTGTTGAAGAAGGTGAGGGAATACGAGTTTCGGTCTTTTACAATTTAACGCTTTGTAGATCGACTTATTCTTGATTCCAATGTTCGGTGTCATGTATTTCGCGTGTTTTCTTGACCGTGGAAAGTCAGCAACTGTTCCCTTGTCAGTCCTTTTGCATATAATAAATCGCATTCTTAACTAGCATCGGTAATGCCAAAATTGCTGGGATGGCGACAGATCTGCATCTTGTCGGCAACCAATACGGAGCTGCCGTTTCAGTGGTTGTATGTTCGATTCCTTCTCACTTCTAATCTTCCGTATTGATTCTTTCTCTCTAGTACGCGTTCGTGACTGAAATTGTCGTTCAACTTCTTCCATCTGATGCTATCAAAATCGCAGGACTTATGTCATCTTTGAACCCGTTTGTTCGTCGTCTGTCTGTTCTGAAGCGATATTTTGACACCTATCTATTCGCATAGATGCTGTTTTGCTCAAGCTTCTTACCCCGAAATTCGTTCTTTCGGTCTCTGCTCTGATTTTCGGGGCACTTACTATAGCTACACCATTTTCTGGCTCATATAGACCGCTGATGGCGATTCGGGTGCTTCTTGGTTGGTCTGAAGCCGGTGGGCAAATCATTCCCATTATATTTTTCTTTGCTTACGCTCTTGAATAGGTGTTTTCCCCTGTATTGCAACTTACCTTACGATGACCTACCGTCGTGAAGAGTTGGGGAGACGACTTTCTTATATTTTCCTGTGTTCCGCAATTTCTGGAGGTTTCGGCAAGTAAGCTAACCACCTCTGTTTTGTCGAACCTAAATGCTTCGAGTGTATAGGTGGACTTCTAGCGTTTGGTCTAACACACATTTCCACTGACTCCTTGTCTGGATGGCAATGGTTATACATTGTTGAAGGACTCTTCACTGTTGCTCTTGCTCCCGTCGCCTACTTTTGGATCCCAAACCGCATTGACCAGGCATGGTTTTTGAATAACGACGAGAAGGACATGTGCGCTGTTCGATATGAGACGAACATGACGCATTACGATCCAGACGAAAAGTTTGATATTCAACTAGTCCTTCTAGCATTCAAAGATTGGAGAACTTGGGCCAGTGGTGTCATCCAATTTGGTGCAGACGTCACGCTTTATGCTATTTCTACATTCATGTAAGTGCTTGTTCTCTTTATGTACCAATACTCATTCAGCTAACACCCACTTCCTTCAGGCCCGTCCTTATCAGCGATATGGGATACTCTTCTTACCACGCGCAGCTTCTTACCGTTCCGGTCTATGTCATCGCCGCGCTTTCATTCATGATCCAAGCTCAATTTTCTGACCGCCTCTTCCTTCGTGGACCATTCATCATTGGGAACTTCTTCATTCAGATCGTGGGCTACATCATTCTTGTCACAGCGAAGCCCGTTGGAGTGCGTTATTTCAGTGTCTATGTGGTTGCAGTGGGTCTTTATACACCGACTGCACTCAACGTTGGATGGGTGGGTTGGTTCCGATGTCGTTTCGCCTGATTTCTTCTGACCATCCTCTTTCCTAGACGCAAAATAATTTTGGCCCTCATTATAAGCGGGCAGCTGGGGTCGGCCTCATGCAATTTGTTGGGAAGTGAGTGTCTAAATGTTGAGTATATGGTGTCTCCACCTACTGACTTTGGACCAGCTCTGCCGGTGCTTGCATAGGTCAAATATTCGATACCCGCCTGCAGCCTTATTACCATCGTTCCTATTACATTTCCATTGCGCTTACCGCGCTTAGCATGATAGTAGCGACCTTTGTGGTATGTTCTGTGTCTTTGTAATGACAAAGAACTTACCGTTGCGGCAGATGCTCTATCTTCGGGAAGCTAACGAGAAGAAGGCCGAAGCGGTGGCTGTAGGCGCTCCAAATGAGCCCCATCTTGGCGATAAGAATCCACACTTCACCTTTGTATTGTAATAATAGTCCATGATACTTTAATATGACCACGTAGTACTCATTTTATGATATAGACAGTCTACTAGACGCGCTGCGGAGTGCCCTTTGTCGAGGTGTAATGTGGATATTTCAGTTGTATGTTTTGAGTTTTCAGGGCTTGCCAATTTGTTCGACTACAGCCTATTCCTCGGTATCAAGTATCTTTATCCTTCGTCCAAAGATTGACTGTGACCAAGAACCGCCAGATAAGGACGACGTTGGTTAACAGGGAATGTGGGACCAATTGGGAAGTATACCGCATGCAGCAATATTTCCCCGCACTGCTACACTAACATTGAGTTTTAGTCCTAGTTCGGCAATGCCGCGTCGCCGAGCTTCGACGAATTCCAACTTGGAATCCAATACATCGCAGTTTAATTCGAAAGCATTCATCTCTCGTATTATCTTCTAACAAGAGTCGATGCCCGACCCCGCAAAGATGGAGGCATTCTTGAACTTCTTCAAGAGTGACATGATAGACAACCCCTGCTCCCCGGAGCTTTGAAGGTTCGATTCCAGATTGTTGACAACCGACCACCACTGCACAACAATCCAACTCAGATGTCAATTTGGCCCTGGAACTACAACCCGACGAGGCTGCCATTCTAGCTTTGAAGGATGAGCCAATGCGCCTCATGGACACTGTGGTGTCAGCCACCAGCAAAATCAGCTGGTTTCAAGCCTTCAATAACGCCGGCCATCTACTTGAAGGGTGGCAATATGCCAAGAGTTCTCCCTTGAGAAGGGTCCCGCCGCCCATATACTGAGTTTGAATATCTGTATCCATTAGTTGCATATGCGAACGAAAGATAAGTTAGTGAGTGATATCTGACGCGCAAGTAATTTAAATAGTGGTGTTTAAGTCTAGTCAACGCTTACAGTACTGATAGTCGTACAAGGCATTAAGGCGACATCTCTTAGTCCTTTTTCAAGTCTAAAGCAGCCGCTTGCTGCATCCACATACTGTAGTACAACTCATGTTTGCGTAGGAGCTCCTCATGGGTACCTTGCTCGGCGACTTTTCCATCCTTAAGAACAATAATCAAGTCTATATGACAATCAGTCAACTGTATAGATAAAACAACAGTCGACGCACCCGCTTCAACGACGGTACGCAACCGATGTGCAATGAAGATACTAGTTCGTGTCTTCGTCAGCAGCGTGTCATTGATGCTCTTCATTAATTCGTGTTCTGTATGCGCATCCAAGGCAGAAGTCTGGCAGCTTATCAGTCAACATAGTACAGCAACGATATACCAACATACCGCTTCATCGAAGAAGAGAATCTGCGGATCTTTTAGCAAAACACGAGCAACGGCCAGTCGCTGCTTCTCTCCACCACTGATCATCAGCCCGCGTTCCCCGACCTTGGTCTTCAAAGTTTCCGGCAGTCGCATAATTGTGTCGTAAACATTGGCTCTTTTTGTAGCTTCTATCACCTCGTCATCGCTGGCACTCAATCGTCCATATCTTACATTGTGCATGATGTCCGCGTGGAACAAAGGCGTATCTTGAGGAACGACACCAATACTTTGTCGCAGACTTTCCATCTGAATATTGCGGATGTTTTGGTCATCGATAAAGATGCGACCTGACTCCGTATCATAGAAACGGAAAAGAAGGCGGAAGATAGTTGATTTTCCACAGCCTGAAGGTCCTACTATCGCGACTTTCTTGCCTGCGGGGACAGTGAAAGACAGATTCCGGAATATAGGCCGATCAGGATGGTAACCAAAGTTCACATTCTCAAAGCGGATAGCGCCTCCGCGAAAGTCCAGGGGTAGGGCACCAGGTACATCCTGTGTAGATAAAAACGTCAGGATGAGCAAAATCCTATAGGACAGAACGGCTATCGACCTCAAGTGGTGGGTTTTGCTCACGAAGCTTGAAAAGGACTTCCATGTCCAAAAGGTTTTGGCGCATCTCACGATAGATTGTCCCCAAGAAATTTAATGGGAAAGACAGTTGGAAGATCAGTTGGTTGACCATCACCAGATCTCCAACTGTCATTGTCCCTGAACAATGGATAAGAGGCTTGTAATTCATGCCTTTTTGGACTCACCATTTATAACTCCTTGAGCAGCCATAAACATAGTCATGGTAAGAGCGCTGGAGAATATGGCATTCTGCCCAGAATTCAAGAAAGCTAACGAGGTGGTGATCCTAGTCGAGAACTTCTCGTAGTCTTTCAAATGACGATCGTACTGGGCGATTTCGTATTTCTCGTTGTTAAAATGCTGCCCTAAATAAGTGAGCAGATATTCGAGCTCTTCGGAAAAAATCTGAAACCTTGACAGCCTCGAAATTAATCAAAGAATCGACAGCAGTTGTGGCGGCAGCATTGTCAGCTTTATTGGCCTCCCGCCGGAAGCGCGTCCTTCAGGTCGATTGAGAAGCGACCATTTTACACATAACGAATTCTTACCGCCAAGAGGTTGTTCGAACGGTGAACCATGTGTACGCGGCTAAAGTTGCTAATGTGATAGCCGCAAAATCCCAGCTGAACTTGTAAGTCTACAACATCGTCAAATTCCATATACTCAACGGGTGTACAAGCAATGCCCACCAAAATACCACACACGAGAGATATTTCCAGCGCTGTAGGAATAATCCGGAAGAGGACTGCTTGCAAAATAAATGCAATCCCTCTAGAGACAGTCAATTAAAATATGTCCTTCAAGTGAAGAATGTACGAGCTCACTTTGTACCACGGTCTATAGCTCTTGTTAGGCCACCGGTTTGACGAGATAGGTGAAACTGAAGATTCATGTTCAAGAGCTGTTCAAACGTTTCGCGAGCCACCTTCCGAATGGCTCGCTGACCGATATTGGCAAAGACGGCATTCAATAACTCCCCAAAAACTGTAGCTCCTATTCGTGCGGCGCCATCTGAACGAAATGTCAGTAGCATTCCGGATGAAGGAAATCGAGACACACATCCAAGAATTAGGAAACCTGCTACTGCCCAGACTGCCGCTGAGGCAGTGATGTCCACATTCAAGGTATCTACAACGCTCTTGAATATCAGAGGGACTTGCACGTTAAGTAGCTAAAGAATGTTCTGGTATATGAGACATGCAGGTAGGAACATCCACGCGCCTTCCCTGAGATTAGAAGTCCAAAGCCCAGAACGACCGTGGCCCGCGTCTTCCAGTCATTCTTTGGCCACACGTTTTCCATCAGCCGCTTGACTATATTCCAATCATTTTTTCGCTGCTGAGCTACGGTCACTTGGTTGCTGGGGCTCGGCACAGGATTTGGAGTTGCGCTTTTGGTAGTGTGGGGACCGGCCTGGTGCTGAAACAACCGCCATTGAGAATTCGGATGAGAAGGATGGGTAATGCCAAGAAAATTTAGCTTTCCGGATGGGAGGCAAGGTCTTGTTTTCGGCAGAAAGGTAGAAGCAGCCTGGACCCTGGAAGCGAACACAGTCGCACGGAAAGTGCGAGCCCACATTTCGCGTTGGAGAGTCAGCGGCCCCACAGAGTTTCTTCAAGTGCCTCGATATTCCTGGTTGAGTGGTACAACGCGAACAAGATGACGGTAGAAGTGAGCCCGCAACTCTGCGTCAGAGTCGATGCTCGATTGCGCAATCATTATCTTATCAGATAAAGGTCTAGTCATCATGATTCCGTAACGATACTTTGCACAATGTACGTCATTCGGCACGGGGTGCTTCATCTTGCACGCGCCGCCAAACGGGGATTCTATTCATTTTCTCTTCCTTTCGCGGATACCTTCAGTTAAGTTAATCCCATTTGTATGGTCGGTGGAAATAAAGGACGACCGCCGGACTCATACCAGCGTGATGCCAGAACTTAATTTGCTTACTCCATTTGAACGAACCTCGTGCAAATTTCCTGGCATCCGAGTGGACTACTCCGCTTCTGGTATGTCGAGAACGGCGACCAGAATGATAATTTCTTATTCGAAAAAGAGCTGGTCGCAGTCTATCCACGTCGCGATGAAAATTTAGACGGCGGTGCTCCGAGCTTGCGGGTTTCACCGAAATTAGCAATGTCTCTTTGATCGATGAGGAGGTGAAGGGGCTAGTAACTTGCATTTATTTACTCGGACGTTGACTCGAGTTAGCTCGTAGATACACTCACCAGGAGTTGTTACTTTTCGAATCGTGGACCCACTGGGACCTACTGCCCCCGAGTTTGATCAAGGGTATGCTTTGTGTCTCCTCAAGGTCTCCAGCTGAATCACCGATGAGGGACGCGTCTAGGCCTGATGCCAGACGCGTCGCACACGTGATACTATCAACCTCCGGTCCGAACTAAAAAAAATCGGCTGACTCGGCGCCAATGAATGTGCGACCTCACCGATAGAGATGCACAGCTGCAGTACTCAATAAATATGCAAGTATTCATCTCACTCACGGCCTCCTTTCTGTCGGGTAAAGTATTCTGTAGGCGGTGCTCCCTGTTGACCCTGCTCCCGACCCGTGTCACACACGCCATTCTACATTAATCGAGTTAGATAGGTATAGTTGATACTTACCACAATAAGTCAGTCACAATTCACTCCGATTCGGAAGTAGTCCTGTCCCTAATCACAATATCAAGGTACGAATATAGTATCAGTTCGAAACTCAAAGCTCACGCGTCTGCAGACCTTATTTAAAGGCTAGGGGGGGGGATCCAAGAGTCTAGACAGAGACAGCCATGATTCCCCCTTTCGATGTGTGCATCCCACCCTCCGACTCAATCGTAACGGTCAAAGCCATAAATGTTGGTACCGACGCGACGCTCTCTCCTGCTTCATTTTTCTTGCAACCTGTCCTCGATGGCTTCGAAGGCGCCTATGGGCCCATATACGCCTTCTTGATTGAACACCCTGTCAAGGGAAGAGTAATGTTCGATCTGGGGATTCGCAAAGACCAGAACAACCTCTCTCCAGCTGTGCAGGGGCTGCTGGAGATCTGGAAAAAGATGGGGCCGTATTCCTTGGTCGTAGACGGCGATGTCGCTGGGAGACTAACCGCTGGTGGTGTTGACCTAGAGAGCATTAAAGCCGTAATCTGGAGGTAAGCGGAATCCACTTTATTTTCACTCCCAAGACAGGGCTCGTTAATCACGAGTTAATGTAGCCACTCCCATTTAGATCACACCGGTGCGTTGGCTGATATTGCCGTGTGATCGTGCCTCAATATTCACGGCATCGTCCATCAGGCGATATGGCGACATTCCCTCCAACGACGGAACTTCTTGTCGGTCAAGGGACTGATTTACGAACATATCCCGAATTCCCCGACGCGACCCTCGTGGAAAGCGATCTTGCGTCCGTTGCATATCACTTTTACGTGACTAAAAGGGACTGACACCGTCTTATTCACAGAGACCGCAAAGTTACAGTGCTTTCCTTTGAAGATAGCACCCTTCGCATTGCCGACCTATCTGCTGTGGACTATTTTGGTGACGGTAGCTTCTATCTTCTAGATACACCGGGGGTTCGGATCATTGAATACTTAGTTCGCACCAGACTGACATCACCTGCAGCACCATCCCGGCCACATATCCGGCCTTGCACGCGTAACTTCTACAACATTCATCCTCCTTGGAGGCGACTGCTGCCATCATCCGGGTCAGCTCAGGCCGACGGCCACCCTTCATGCACGTTGCCCTTGTCCAGGACATGTCATTGACTCTGCCAAGTCTTCCGTTTGCCCAAAGCAGTTCTCGTCCTCCTCGGATGCGCAGTTTGATCTGTTATCCCGCAACAGTCCCATGCTAGGTATACCCTCGGGATTGACAGTCTATGCTGACCCCGAGACAGCTACTACCACAATAGAGAAGCTGCTCAAGCTGGATGCACATCCCGATATTTTATTCCTCATTGCTCATGATAGTTCCGTTCCTGGGAAGATAGACGAATTCCCCAAGAGTCTGAATGACTGGAAGGATAAGGGATGGAAGCAGGAGTTGACATGGGCATTCCTAGAGGAAAAAAGTCGCGCATTTAGATTCGGTACCGTGAAGGCTTGAATATTCAAGTGTTTTGTTTCACTATTTGATATCTGGTTTCCGTAATGCTGGTGATACAGAGATAATTGTACAAGCATGCCCAAAGACTACAAGCAGAGAATGACGATAAATAAAGTGAGTACAAAAGAAAATCATAACAGCTAGTAAAATTTCATGCCCAACAATCATTATCCAGCCACCACCTCTTCTCAGCTCCATTCACACTCCATTCCGCTACACTTTCCGTCGTTGCAACATATATAAAAGCTCCTGAAGGGTCAAAGCATGTTCCAGCGATGTCCAGATGGTTGTCCTCGTCCCTCGGAAGTGTTTCGAGTGGTCTTTCATTTTGTGCACGTCGCTGTCGAAACGACATGGTGATCGGTGAGCCTACAGGAGAGAATGAAGGATATCGCGATGGTGCACTGATGTGGACAGACGGTGAGGGTGAGGATGAGCGTGAAGGAGTGTGAGATGGGATGCAGTCAGACTCCAATTCGTCTACTTCCATATCGTCCTCTCCACCCTGATTATCATTTGCGGCTCCATAATAGAAGTCCACAGGATCCCGTGAATCTTCACCAGTATGCCTTGAACGTATCCCGTGTCGACCCAAAAGTGTTTGGACATCATTTTCTACTTGTCTATCGCCCAAAGGTGGTATGACAACAAGATCGTCGTCTTCATAGGTATCCATAGCTTCTAGAGCCGAATTTAAATCTGTGGATGTTCGGAGTCGTGATCGTCTACGCGATTGTGACGACGAAGGCGACATGGAGGGGATGCGGAACGTATCTTCAAGTGCCATGAACATGAAAGAGGACGGCGGTGGTGGCGGCTCGAAAACTTCGTAACTCGTGACAGGTAGTGTAGCACTCCTCGCAGGACGGGAGGCTTGTTCTATTCGCGGAGACCGTTGGCGGTGGTGATTAGTGTTGTGGGGACGTTCAGATGATTGAACTGCGGGAGGTGATGGAAACCTAGGAACGTGGATTATCTCTTCTGTTTCAAATGTACGGGCATCAACAACGTGGAGTAGTGAAGTGTGCTGTAAAATATGGAGATCAGGCCTTTGCCGCAATGGGTAGCGTATCTGTATGAAACGTACCTCTGTGAATGTCATTAACTCTTTACCCAGGCCATTCCTTCCTCCATGCCCGAACTTAACACTGCGAACACTCCATCCGGGTGCTTTACAGCTGCCGCTTGTCCACTCCCACGGATCGTCTGAGAGCCAGCCAGTTGCTCCCCCGTGGCCCAGAGGTACACGATTTTTGTCAGTGTGGAACGTCTTCAACGGTTTAGTGCTTCGAACATCCCAGACTGCAACAACCCCTTCTTGAGAAGCTACAGCATACTTGGTGCCGTCAGAGGAAAAGGAGGTCGAGAATGACGCGACTAATGCAGTTGATGCATATGGGAGCGGCGAGGCCTCAGGTGGAGGAAGGGAAAGCGTAGCGATTGGGTGGATATTGATCCGTGATCCACCTATGAGTCTGTGCAAAAAGACTTTGGATGTGTCTCCGACAGAGAGAAGTGTTCTTCCATCAGGCGATATAGACGCTAGATTACCAAATATCAATTGGAATCTGACGGGCAAGGAGATATCGAAGCGCACAGTGGTTGATAGGAACCCTGAGTTCAAGACAGCCAGCCTCTTGCAACTTGGTGCGATAACGTGTCCGGATGGGAACATCAAAGAACCTGACAGTCCCATCGTTGTTGCTGATTACGACGCGAGGTTCGATACTACTTTCATGAGATTGGGTCATGCTTAAGGACGTTAAAAATACAGAGTTGTTAATGGAGCCAGGGAGGTTATCCTCAAAGCGCCATTGCAGCTTCGCTCGACCATGTGAGGAAGAGGAAGCTGCGTATGTGGAGAAATGTATTTCGGCCTTCTGACCACCAGCAGCCAAAAGAACCTCATCAGTGTTTGGAATTTGCATAGACGCGAGAGTATTCGGTGTGAATGGGAGCTGTACTAGCTTGCACGGCGCCTTCACGTTGAAGACGGTGAATGACGAGCGTGGCGGCGTAGAAACTAATTACGTACCGAATCCGGGACATTTATGCTCTGCTCAACGATAGCATTTTGCCTCACATAGTTGAGAACGCCGCGTTCCTTTGGACACACGACAAGGTCACGTAGTTGGCTGAAACTGGGTCAGAGACACGGATGAAGCTTCCGGCATAGCACTCACACATGGCCGATCCAGACGTCGGCAGACGCGATGGCGGTCGGCGTCGACGAGGTCAGCAGTGGCAAGCCTCTCGCCATTGCAAGAGACGGTGAAGATGGATGTTGGAAGCAAGATGGCTATGATGGTCCGTGTCGCTGGCTGAAAAGGCCCGGCATACACGTGCAATTCTACTATGGCGTCATTATCTAACCCGGGTCCCCTAAATATAATCACTGGGGCGCGTTCGCGATTATCATCGCGCCGGAATTTCTTGTACGGAATTTACAACTCGAACATGTTCCATCGTCGGTTCCGCTACCTAAAACGTTGCGGGGAAACATCTCACTTGGAAGATACTAATGCCGTCGACTTTGTGATAATGCACCTTTCCAAGTGGGAGTATCATTCAAACTGAGGAAAGCGCCAATTCTAGACAGAGACATTTCAGAAGCAAAAGGCTCTGTGGCCTCGACATCCTGGACCATAAGCCGTATTCATGCTTCTATTCCCACTACATGACATGTCCTTTCGATTAGATTAATCCTCACCACTTGCTTGCTTGGAAATCCACTCTCGAATGAATGTACTGCTCATCTTGGTCTGTTTCAAGATCTCATGGTCTTCGTGGTCAAGCTTGGATGACGTCGGTGAGATAACGTCAATAATGAAAATCTCCAGTGCTGGCAGAGATTGGCTTGCCCGATGAGAAATGACTGGACATAAGTTTTAGCTCTGTATGACTCCACGAGTAGAGCACTTACTAGCTTTCGCTCCGCTCATTGTCTCGGCGCTGACTACCAACGCCTGTATATTTGGGTCCCAGCCAGTTGGACCGTACACGTCGCTGATAATGACGATCTCATAAACGATACCCGGCCTAAAAAGAGTCAGGAAGTTCCGGACACGGTCCTTACGGGTCTGTATGTCTTCCAAAACGTGTTTATACGCCTTATTCTTGAGTAATTCGTCACCCGTAATGCCCACGATAAGTCTCTCGCTGGTTATCCATGCTCCCATACTCAATAGAATCTTGTGCCCTGCGTGCAGGTGATCAAAGGTGCCGCCTAGGGCGGTGACAGGGTACAAGGGTGGATAGGATACATCTCGGGTTGAAGATGTTAATGGCTGATGGTGGAGCTCAGCGTCCATGTCTGGAGCGACATAATGCTGTGGTACAGGCAACGACAACAGCGGTGCGACTGTATCTGGTCATCGGATAAGCGAAGCGGACGCTAAGCTGAAGTAACGACACACACACCTCCTTGTACCCGGAATACCGCATTCGTCTCCACAGAAAACTCCGGTAAGCCCTCGTTTACCGTCTTGAGCAATACATCGACTTCCAACAGCACCTTGTCCAGCTCCTGTGCAGCTTTGGTTGCCTGGACATACGTGAAGGTTAAAAGTCGCTGAACGTCATCCCACCGCTCTGTGTGCGAAATGACGGACTCTCTAACTTCACCATTAGGTGAAGTAAAGAGAGGAGAATACAGGACAATGACGAGTCGCTTCTGGGCGCTGGTTGCGGCAGTGATGATAACCGGCGAGAGAAAATGAGGTGTCGATAGGTCAGGAAGAGAAGCTAGAAGAAGAGCATTGGGTACCGTGGAGACCATCGTCGAGGCAGACAAGTTTTAGGTCCGAGTGGTGCCATTGAGCAAAGCGGTGACGTGATCGTGGATCGTTGCTTTATCTCTAGCAGATTCTAGCCGGTCTTTCTCCTTCTGCTTTGCAAAGGACTGAAACATTCGTTCATAGTATTAATGCCAGGAAGAAACTGGACGTGCACTGGATGTCAATCAAATAAATCGATTCTTCCAGAAGAAAAAAAAAGAAGAAACAATGTTCGGAAATCGCGCTGCACGTGGATGTGAACAGCTAGCGCTCTGTACCGCCACTCAATCTGCTCTTTAACAACGATGATTCATAGAGATGGCTCGTCCTCGTCCTCGTCCCAAATTCCTTTTTTCTCAAGGTCGACTGCTACAAAGCGGGACTCGCTGGCCGCAGAACTAGAGCGGGGTAGGTCAGCCCCACCTCGGTCTACCGAATCCTAGACTTACCTCTTTCAAAGATCCACGCCTTTCTACAGCTCGTCGTCAACAGCGTTCCCAAGCTTTCTCTTCGACTATGGCACACGCGTCCCTCGAAAGACAGCTGGCCTCTCTTCAGACTACAAAGATGGAGCTCGAGACGAAGCTGAGGGAGCGGGACTTGACGGTGGAGAGGCTTGAAAGGGATCGCCGGTGGTTTTCTGACAGGGAGACAGAGGAACGCGAAGAGAAGGAACGTGAAAGGACAGAGAGGGAAGACGAAAAGGTATGTTTTACCGGTCAAAGTTGGGGTCATTCTGATCATGCATAGAAAAATACTGATGCAGAACTACGCTCTCTACGGGCAAGTCTAACGACACTACGAGAGGAATATGAAGACCTTCAGGACTCCCATTCCTCGCTATCAAGGTCAACGTCACAGACAAGTGTTAATCAGGAATCCAAAATCAGTACTTTGACGCGACAAGTGCAGCTTCTGGAAGAAGAGCTCGTGCAAACAAAGGAGCTCGCAGAAGAACGTCTGCGCGCCATGCATGATTTGCAGGAATCAATGAATAATTTAGAAGAACCGCCACGACGAGAGGATAACGAGGACATGACAATCATTCGAGAAGAACTGCGCCGGCAGGCCACTTACCTTCGTCAACTAGAGTCTGAAAATGCAGAATTACGTGTTTTGAAGGCGCGGAGTCAAAGCGTCGAAGTATTGAAGGAGGAAAAGCGAGGTTTGGAGCGAAAACTACGGGGCATGGATGAGTTGCGACGCCAGGTCGTGGAGTTGGAAGCACAGGTGGAAGGGGGAAGACAGGAAAGACAAGAGTGGTATGTCTCTAGATGTTTCTCGACTCCTTCCTCATCGTACTTGCTAGGGAAAACAAAGTGGAGGCCCAGTTACCCTCACGAACGCCTATCAGCATAACACAAAGTTTGTCAGAGCTTCGTCTAACTCATGCCAAACTACTGGAAGAGAGTGGCGTTACAAACGCACTGCTGAGAGCGAGGGAGACCGAGCTGGACGAAATACGGGAAAGCGAGGGAGAGTTGAAGGAGCGCATCAAGGGTCTGGAAGCGGATATGAGTGGCCTAAAGGAGAGTCTTGAACGGGAGCGAAGGCGAGTGGAGTTGGCTGAGAGGGAGGTTGACTTCTCAAAAGCGATGATGGTAAGAATTTTCTTCTTTTCAATGTCTTGAGCCATCTTCACGTTATATCAGGCTAGTTTTACGGCGGAAGAGGCGATGAAAGAAGGTCCTGCAGTCATTGATGACACCCAGATGCAGCGGTTACAGCATGTCGAAGCTCTACTTGAAGAATATAAAGGCGTTAATAGAAAATTAACACTGGAGTTAGAAGCCATCACATCGTCTCGCGGCTCTGTCGTAGGAGCAGATCTACTTCGAGCGGAGAGGGCGCAGAAACTTCAAGCTCAAGAAGGTATATTTGTACCTCATACCCGGCATGCACATATTAACCTTCCATGCAGTTCTCGCTCAATGCAATGAGGAAAACAAGCACTATCTTGACAAGGTCGAAGAGCTCGAGCAAAAACTATTTGACCTTGGGGGGGAGGTCGCTAGTGGACGACACGTTCCGCCAGGGGTACGAATTCTGCAGCTGAAAGAGAATCCACTGCAGGATTGGGTAGATTTGCGGCAAAGCGCTATGGACCGACTGAAAGGAGAGAACGAGGCGCTCATCAAGCGATTAAAGGATCTGGAAGGAAGCGGTAGTACAGGTGCGGCGACCTCTGCGCGATCCGGAGAAGAACTAGTTCCCAGAGAGAGTTGGGAGCTTGTCAGGAAAGAAAAGACAGATTTGGAGGAGCTTGTAACGCAGAAGGAGAAGAGGCTTTTGAGATTACAACAGGTATGCCACTGTATATTTTGTCGTCTTTTTCTTTCCTCTAACGAGTTGTATAGATCTTCCAGTCAAAGTCTGCTGAGTTCCGGGAGGCCATCAAGTCAATTCTAGGTGTGAAGCTGACCTTTTATCCAAACGGTCAAGTCAGAGTCACGTCGCTATATGATTTAAATGCTAGTTTCGTCTTCTCACCCGAAAAAGGCGCCAGTGGTGTGAACATGCAGCTTGTGGCCCAAGGCGAAGGTGCGCCGGAGGAGATACAGAGTTTGATGCGATATTGGGTCGGAACGGAGCAATGTATCCCGGGCTTCATGGCCACCGTGACCTTGGAGTGCTACGAAACGTGGAAAAAGGGGAATGGTGAGAGGAATACGACGACGTGAGAGTGCAGTTAGGCGTGTAAGATAGAAAAGCGAGTAAATTCAACCATGTTTGGCGCTATCACATTTCTGAGCGTCATTTCGTGCAGGGGAAATTGTTTATCGGACCAATGATAATTGAAGCCTTCGCGGAGACGTGTGGTTTTAGTTGTAATAATCTCCGACCGGGCACAACACAGTACAGTTAAATTCTCAAAAATAGCTATGATCAACATATAAAGTACAGGTATCGCATTCACCACGTCCACACACTTTCTTTTCAAACCTTATCTTTTGATAATACCGACATTCTGGATAAGATGTCTGTCAACGTCTACAGCCCTCGATCTAGTTGTCAGTTGTGGTCTTCTTGTCCCTCTGGAACCCTAAACTGGCAAAGATGGGGACCTCACCGACTTTCTAAACACTGGTTACGACCTCGTCCAAGCCGAACCTTTTAGCCTACACTGGTTCACGCTCCAATGTGAAACTTCTAACCCGACCTACGCGATTTTTGAAAACTCGCTGACGAGAAAGGATGGAGGATTCACGCCAAAGGGAAGATCGCAGAGGCGCTCGGCGCCAATCCGGAAACATTGTTGAAGGAGGTTCCTCATTCAGGCCAGATCAAGATGCTCGCAAGCAAAGTGCAGCCTGATGCGGAGAAGGTCCGGGTTGGGCTGAGATGTCTCTTGAGGGCGAAGTCGGGCAACATCGACGTCGTCGGAACTTTTGGTTGTGAGCATGCGTAGCTCAATCTCCTGTGGACACTTCTGATTTGCTTGTGCCCTTAGCACACCTTCCCACTCATTGACGAAGAAGAACAGATGCGGATCTGCGTTCGAATTCACAGATTTCTTTGGCGCAGTAGATTTCTTCCTATCGGATGAAGGAAGACAAGCACATGCAAGGTGGCCGCCGCGATGTATCTGCACGCGGATGAATATCTCATCGGTGAGCCGGATATAGTCAGGGTGAAGATGCTGGCAGCAAAGATCGCGAAAAGCACTTTGGTTGAGCCAAACCGCGCCGTTACTGTAATATTTAATAGACCAGGAAACCGAAATCGATGTGGTCGCAACGGATCGCGGGGTTAAAGAATCTCACAACCTATCTAACCAGTTTGGGATCTTTCTGTGTTCTGGCAGAGGCTGACAGCATCATAAAGTGCTATCGTCTGCAAACAAAACAGGGACTGGTGTGGTGTCTTTCATACTTCACCCATATTTCATTTTAAATGAATCTGCTGGCACAATATACGAACGTGTTTTCAACATTTATTACTAAACAAGCACAACTATCTTTAACTGCTGACATTTTGTTAGTGCAACTGGGGAAGCACTAGAATACTGCATACCTTTGATCTTTCCTCAAACACCTGTCAATTCAGCTAGATATTCTGGGTTTGTAGTGAGTAAGAACGTGCGAAGTCAATGAGAATAGCTCCAGACCTCTTGTCAATTCAAACGCAGCAAAGGTAGCCGCTGCCGCCGGAATACTGGAGAATGAGGACGGTCTTTTGAGTTCTGGATCCACAAAAAAGAGGCACCATCTACCTTCTCAGTACTGACATACAAGCAATATCAGAAGATGGCCAAAACGTCAATGCGGACAAAGTCTTACTGGAGGGCGTAAGTCCACGGAATAAACCAGGGCTATGATATTGCAATACAAATGAAGAGTCGACAGCCATGGCGACAGGATGACTTACAGGCCAGACTCCGCCATTATAGCTCTGGTTTCATGAGCAATATACTGCACCGGCGTACCTGAGGGTGGCGTAGGCCTCAGCTGTACACGGGATTTGATGACATCTAATTGGGAATGAATATAATTTTTACTCTGATCTGACTCCGACCTACCGAGTGGATAACAAGCCAGCCAATAAGAGATCTACAATGTCTAAACGGGAGGCTACGACTCTCATATGCTATCACTTACGCCTCCGGTTGAGCCGCTGGCCAGCAATGCCCATACGGGTAAATCTTTACCATAGGCAGAGGCAAATTTCCGCTTCGAAAATTCGTAGGCTAATAAAATGATAATAAGGGACATAAGTGAGATATTAAGAGACGTACCAGTGTAGAATCTGAAACTGGCGTCAAAAAGGTCAAGGGATGGCTAGAAACTGAACAAACCCAGCATATGCTGGTATCTCTCGAGCCACGGTTACCCAGTAGCCACGCATGATACCCTTCCTGAACCCCCATTGTGACCACTGGTCACTCACTACTCTTCTTAAACGCTTGTCTGTTGCACTTCCATACTGGCCCTGCATCAGTACCTTAAACATCTCTACTACAATATGTTAGCCAAAGATTTGACGTAGATGTAGCTAACGGTTACCTGGGCTCGCTAGTATGGCATTAGCAGCTCCGGCCATACTCCCTGCCAATGCGATTTGAGGTAGGCTCAATTGAGGGTAAGGTGAGATTATTCGCCGTGATATACCATACGAGGCAAACAGCAGCGAATTGACCCCAGCGATACCGAAGAGAGGGCTAGCCATACCTAAAGACATGTTAGATAAGGGCGTAATAGCGTATGCTTTTCACTGGCCTTTGTATAGCGCAAAAAATCCCTCTTTCCGTACAGTCTGTACGAGAATATCCATAGGCCCTTTCTGCAGGGTATTCGTAAGAACGTGCGCGTCGTTTAAGGAGATATATACGCACGAACATCCCTCCTGTATATTCACTTCATCGTGAGTAACCCTTGCCGCGAATATAAGATGGTACTGAACTGGGTGCTATTTGTGCACGCGTTTTGACAGTGTCAAGGGGCTGGCCGACGACGACCTGGGCAGCGCCTCCAACGCTTCCGGCGAGCAGTTCATTGATGGTAGACAGCGACGAAGAGCTCATCGTGGTGGTCGATGGCGAAGAGAGAGCAGGACATTGAGAATGGGAGCCTGAATCAAAAATGATATCGCGTCATCTTCGCATAATAGTCGCTTAGGAAGGTGCTTCTCACGGGGACTTTTATTTCGGTCTGTTTTGTTTGTTCCTTTTCTCCATACATGCTCTCTTTCGGTGAATTCTCTGCCTGGGTATCTATCGACGGCGTTGAGGCAGAGGAATACGGGGTGACCGTCGACGGCACCAGGGTGACTTGCTGGATCGCGTCGGAGGCCAACAAGGTGCATATATCCTTTTCTTCTTGCTTCCAATGCTGCAACGTTGTAGACTTTTAGTCTTCACTGGAAAGATTCCGTTGTTTCGTCGCCTACGCGGGGCAACCCGTCTATCGACGGTACCACCTACCCCCCCCGGTATACCGATACTCTGCGAAGAAACCACGTTTTCCTAGGCGGCGTCAGGGATTCAGATAGCTCCAAGAGGCCATTCATGTTTACAAAACTCAATCTTACGGGCGAGTACATTGTTTCAGCAACTCGCCCTCGACTGACCTCTGTCCAGACGACGATGCGTATCTTGATGTCGTCGCTCCCCCTAGTCTGGGCGAAATTGAAGTGGCACTCTATCGCGTCGAGCGACGACGAAGTCGCAATCACCGCCCTCCTCTGAACAATATTAGTCAAGGGGCTGATCTGACTCGTCGTGTGTACCATGAGCATAATAAGAAAGGAATTGACCATGAGGCCAGGTGCGACGCCGCCTCCTTCTAACTTGTACGCCCTGCGTGACATATCACTCCAGTCTCGGAGCGCCAAGACATATTGACAGCATCAATCGGAGCCAGCACAAATCATATTATTTCACAAAGCCTCGAGACGATCCCATCGTTACCTTTCGCTTCAAGTATCGGCCCCTCGGTGCGTTGGCACAACGCGTAGGCTCTGACGAGGGATATTGACTGCGCCAATTAGATGTGCTGCAAGCACAGGACATCGCACCGCGACCCCAACCCGTCCGTGAAACCAGCGCGTTAAAACCGGACGTCAAAGATATCATTGTAATAGAGGATGAAGAGATTGAGTTTCTTTATGTTCGTTGTTCATAATTTAGGGCTTCAGGATGCTAAGATATTTCTGTGATAGATGCGAGTCAATAAGGCCGTGAAGGATGATAACAATGTCATAGACCTTTCAGATCCTGATTCGAGGGATGTCATGAAGCTTGACGAAGAGCATGCTGTATTCCCTAGAAGTCCGCAGGTGCGCTCTATCAACTTATTGCACGCACATACACGTATGTAATGATCACCAAAGCAGAACAACGGGCCGTCTGGTTCGCAGGCTGGCACTGCGCCTGAGATCAAAGATGAATATTCCAAGCCTTTTGGGCTCTCGAATGTATACTTCGATCTGACCGTTTAGATGGCTCGACTTTGATTATGGAACACCTACTAGGACATCGTTTCTTCGTATCTTATTTGGATTATTCCTTATTTCCGCATTGCTATCAATCGCTTTCACCCGCTTTCTGGAGTTGTGTAGAACGCTTGCCGTATAATTATTTATTACTGTTCCGTAATCTGTGACATGGATACAGAGCGTACTGCCAGGTTCTGTGTTCTCAAATGATAGCCCAATGACATTCCATTGGCATGCTGGACTATAAGTACATATGGAAAGTCTGTTCTCGAGGGGTCAGAAGCACTCTAGAAATCAAATGCATAAGACGCGAAGCAGGCCGACTCTTTCGGGTAGGAAACTCACTGCGATGGACGATACTGGGCCCACTTTCATCGTACTCCTGCTTGGAGATCCACATGTTCTGGAAGGTACTGAGCGACCCCAAGATAGAGCCACCAATCCAGACAGAGTATTTCCTCTCAGGAGAGGCGACAACTTTGACCTGATAGAGAGACAGATTATCAGCAAATAAGGGAGAACGCAGCGCGCCACATGCCTTAATACTAGTCGGAGCCAAAGCAGTCATCTCCTTCTGCATGCGGTCAGGCAAACCAGGGAACATGGTAGTACCTCCAGAAAGGACGATGTTATTGTACAGCTCGCGACGGATGTCTAAATCGCACTTGTAGATACAATTGTACCTGAAGAAAATGGATATGTGTCCCAACTAGTGCTTTGATCAATCACTCACGTAGTTTCATGGATGCCAGAAGCCTCCATTCCAACCATGGGAGGGTTGAATAACGCCTCTGGTGCACGAAATCTAGAATAGATTTAGCACAGAAACCTGTAATGAATATGAAACAGCTAAACCTTTCATTGCCAATGGTGATGATCTGACCATCCGGCAACTCGTAGTCCTTCTCGATTGCCGAAGACCTCATGGACGTATCCAGCTCCTGGTCAAAATCCAGAGCAACGTAACAGAGCTTCTCCTTGATGTCACGAACAATTTCGCGTTCAGCAGAGCTGTTGCCCAGACTGTACCCTCGCTCTCCCAAATTCTTGACCAGCTGATCAGTAATGTCCCGACCGGCCAGATCCAAGCGTAAGATAGCATGTGGAAGGGAGAAACCCTCATAAATTGGGACGGTATGGGAAACACCATCCCCGGAGTCCATGACAATGCCGGTGGTACGCCCCGTAGCGTAAAGAGAGAGTACCGCCTGAATAGAGACATAGAACGCTGGTACGTTGAAAGTCTCAAACATAATCTGGGTCATTTTCTCTCTGTTGGCTTTGGGATTCTTGGGCGCCTCTGTTAGAAGCACCGGGTGTTCCTCAGGGGCGACGCGAAGCTCGTTGAAAAACGTGTGGTGCCAGATCTTCTCCATATCGTCCCAGTTGGTGACAATGCCATGCTCAATGGGATACTTCAAGGTCAATATGCCTCGCTTGGCTTGGGCCTCATCGCTGATAAAATTAGCTCAGTTACATTCATCGGCAGCTGACAGCGAGAGACACTTACCCAACGTACGCATCTTTGTTGCCCATCCCGACCATGACATTCTGCAGACGGGGGCGACCGACGATGGACCTAGAAAGGATGTTGGTTAAGGTTTACAGTCAGGAGGCTGTGAACTGACGGAAAAACAGCACGAGGCGCATCGTCTCCTAGAATGACACCAGGAAACATTGAACCAAGGAGAACCTGATAAGAAGTAGAACATACCGGCGACTAAAGAAATACGTTACTTAAGAACATGTTATACCACAGAAAACTCACACCCAGCTTTGCACATGCCAGAACCATTGTCGATAACCTGATGACATGCTTTTTGTTACAGAACAGAAAGTAAAATATGATGAAAGACCAACGAGTGCGGCGATATCATCATCCATGTTATATACTAGCCGAATTGAGAAATAGCCAGGAAATTGATGGTATTGCGAAGTGCAGATATCCTAGCTTTTATACACATTGGGAGCGCCTTGAAACGCACAAAGATTGTTGATAACTCACCATTTTGACTGCGCTGAAGGGTGATGAAAACCCGGGCCATTGAAAGGCGCTGCGGAGCAGTACGGGAAGAGACGTGCTCGCCCCTTCAGTCATACAACTTGCGCCGTGGCCGTGTCACTGCGGTTAGTCAGGCAGATCTCTTATCAGTACCGCAAGACATGGTGTGGTGGGGCGTTATTGAATTCTTCTCCGCCAGGTCAAGAACGCGCTGCGCAGCATCTGCGTCGGGGGTTTCGATGACTCGAATTGTAGGACTATTTCAAGCTACGCAGTCGTGCTTCAAGAGTATCATCGCAAAAGCGCAGGACTCTGCCAACAGGGTATCAAATCTCGAAACCTTGAATTGACATATAACATGCCATTTACCAAGAATTATTATGTCGCATTGGCATTCTAAGCAAATCGTTTCTTTCAATCCTCTTCGTACCGATCAGCATGGGAGGCAAGGCAAGGAAGGGCTAGCAATACCGGTGAAGTCAATAACCTCCCCGTTCAGATGGGAATCCTCCTGCTTGATCACTCTTTTGATGGTGTCAAACCAGCAAAGCAGCAATTTTCTCATCCGCATCATCTTCTGACGGTTCGGGCTCAGGTTTGGGTTGGCGGCGAGGGTGATGCAGGACGTTTAATCGTAGCTGGTGCCATGCCGTTTACTTGCAATAGTTCTGGAAATAAGCGTTTAAAGGCACGCTATTTGTCGAGGTCACAAGCCCACCCAGTGGTCTATAGCGGAACATGAACCTGACTTGTTGGCCATTTGCACTGCCTGCGCAGGCTTGGTTGGTACTTCTGCGCCCAATCTACCACACTCTGTACACGTTTCAGAAAGAAAATAGGCCACGTTCCTGTACACTTGGACTAAACGTGTATTTTGTCGACAGGATTGAAGGCAGGTGTTGGTGTTGGTCCCTGATTACACGCAGGCAGCTAACCTGCCATATCTCAAGCCTGATTTCTCCCAAGTCCTGTAAGGACTCTGCGGTTCGTATTCGGTCATCGTCGTCTTTGTAGGTATTTATAAGAATTCCAAAGAGCGAATCCTCTTACCGGTCAATTCTATGGAAGAAAGTAAAAGGGGACGAGCTGTTGTCGCTGTTGTCCGTACTGAGTTCAATGACACTACATCTGAGGGCGTGTAAGTAGGATGATCTAGCGCTGATAATACGGCTGCCAGCAAAAGCCGGGAATAATCAACACCATATTCAGGAAAGTGGTCGTCGTCGACGTGAATTCAGGCAAAGAAATCGTCGAATTGCAGCATTGTGATCATTGTGCAAGTCATGCGCAATATCGGAGAGCACCAATGGCTCCTCCATTTCGAGATAAGCTGAGACAGCAAACAGAGGGGCCTTAGACCCCCTACCTATACATGTACAAATACGACGTACCATGAATCCCGATCCATTTACTTTCCCTCCGCGTCGTTTGGGTTGTTACGCCTCTCGTTCGCTGACATATTGTTCCCTTTCGCCTCCTCCATCTTTCTTTGATCGACAACAGTGGCCTTGACTCTCGTCCACGATGCCACCAAAAAATGCCAAGGCAAGCGGATCCTCCAACAAGGTCAAGGAAGACAAGGTGAATCGATTGTCGACGCCTTGGTTTAAATGTGCTAATCGTCTAAGATGTCCAGACCTTTGGAATGAAAAATGTTCGCTTTCTCTGCCTCTTTTTTTGCGTACATTTCGTTTACCCGGCATGGCAGAAAAATAAATCAGCCAAAGTCAAGCAGCAAGTAGCACAAATCCAGGCGCAAGCCGCCGTTACCGGCAAATCACGTACTACTCTCGAGAAAGAGAAGGAAAAAGCTCTACGGGAAAAGGCAAAGTTAGATGAAGAGAAACGCAAAAAGGAAGAAGCAGCATTCTTCAAGCCGGTACAGACTCAGAAAGTACCGTTTGGCGTTGACCCCAAGACAGTGCTGTGTGTGTTCTTCAAGACCGGGACCTGCGAGAAGGGGAACAAGTGCAAGTTCAGCCACGATGTCAATGTGGGCCGGAAGGTGGAGAAGAAGAATTTGTACGAGGATACGAGAGAGGAGAAACTCAAAGGTCAGCTATATGACCTCAGCGGGTGGCTACGGCTCACTAGTGCCACAGATACGATGGATACATGGGACGAGGAAAAGCTCCGCAGCGTCGTGCTCTCGAAATCAGGAAAGCCTCGCACAACTACAGATGTATGTGGCACGTTGTCCTACGCTGCAGGGCTGATATTCTACAGATTGTCTGCAAACATTTTATTCAAGCCATCGAAACAGAAAAGTTCGTTTGTAATCATATTTGTCGTGCAGTATCTTTGAACTACTCACAGGTTTGGATGGTTCTGGGAATGTCCAAATGGCGAAAACTGCATGTATCGGCATGCCTTACCGCCCGGATTTGTCCTTAAATCTCAAAGGAAGGCTCTGGAAGCCGCAGCGAAAGCTAATACCATCAGTATTGAAGAATTTCTTGAAGTTGAGGTATGTTTTTCTCAATGCAAGAGTGTGGGTTGATAATTAACAACAATCAAGCGTCACAAACTGGGCCCTAATCTTACGCCAGTGACGCCTGAAACATTCGCTCATTGGAAAAAGACACGTATGGATAAAAAAGAGGCAGAAGAAGAAGCTTTGCGCAAGGCCAAGGACGCTCAGCATGCTGCAGGAAAGAACGTCGGCATGAGTGGTAGAGATCTGGTAAGATTCAATCACCCTCATGATTACAAAGCATATTATATTCACTGTGCATCTAGTTCCAATACAACCCTGAATGGTTCGAGGATGAGGATGAAGATGGCTCTGAAGACTGGGACTTTGAAAAATATTTGAAAGAGAAAGCTGAGGCAGATGCTGCAGAGGAGGGCTATGATTATGAAATTCAAGGCATTCGAGAGGAAGGCGCTGAGGGTAGCGGGGGAGGGCAAGATTAAGTCACATCTGTTATTAGCACAGATAAGGATATTATACATCTAGTCCTCATCATCACTTCCATAGCCAACAAGATTTAGCCCAATAGGCTCCGTGGGGGGGCTCCTAGTAGGTTGCACCAAAGATACGCTATTCTGCTGCCGAATTTGTGCGAAATACTTAAGACCTTCTATGGCATCGGCACTCAGTAGCTTAACTGGTTTTGACGATACCTCCAGCGGAGGAGGTGATGGAGGAGGCGCTTCAATATCTAGTCGTCGCCGCTTGCTTTCACGTTCTCCACTCTCCTCTCCGTCATCCTGCACTATATTTCCCTCCTCGTCAAGCACATCACCATCTTCCAGTGCTCTGATCGTCCTCATGGCATCAACAATACGGGGATCCATTTTGGAGCGGATGACTTCTTGACCCATCGTCTCCAGGCGCCTCTTCTCCAAAACCTTGGAGGTCGGGTTAGGATCCTCTGTAGCCCATCGAACATTGAGAATCTCATCGTTGTCTAGAGATTGGCATGCCATGGCCTCTTTGGCAAACTGTGCGTGCAACTCAGACACATAGGTAACGAAAGCGACGCTTCGGTACTGCAGGACCTTGACGGCCCATCCTGTCTCGGAATCATCTGAAGACGAGTTAAATACGACATAAATTTGGTAGAAAAACTTTCTGACCGTGCTCTATCTGCCCAAACTCTTTGAAATGCCTCCGAACGACTTCTTCCGTCTCGAGGCCATTCCCTGTCTCCTTGATCCGTCCAACGTAGAGAGTACGATTCATTCTGTTAAAGCTACCCACGCCACCCATGTCATCACGGTAGTCTGCGAACTTGTCGCGGGCGAAACAGTCTTTTGAGCTGTCAGGCAGCGCGTCCTCTGGGTCTGGGAGGCAGTGAAGATATTCGCATTCCCAACCGTATGGACAACAGCCCCGGGCGAAGAAGAGACAGCAGTACTTCATTCCAGTCGTGTTGGCGCGAGTCAGGCCAGAGTCTTTCTTGACGTTGCATCTCGTTTGAGATTTTACTTTGCTAGAAAAGGGTGTGAGTAGCCAAAGGAGATGCAGTAGCGAGATTGCGCACTTTGAGTAGCTATCCTCCCTGTCACCCCCAGCCCATTTATTGTACCAGATATCTTTGAAAATACAGTGAGCAATAAAGCAGAGAGATGAGAACAACTCAACGAACTGTACTCTTTCCCTGTCTGAGGTGTCTCTTTCTTCTCTACGTCACCTGGCTTGACCTGCTTCCGCGCTGGCTTCGATTTTTTATGTTTTTTCTGGCTCTTTGGCGCTACGACGGTGACTGTCTGCAATTCTGTTTCGTTGCCGTTCGATGTCATGATGATGGTAAAAGGCTGAGTTTGTATACCACGTGCCTTTGTATGCGTTTCCATTTCCGTCTACTTTCGGTCATGTGGACGTCGTCGCTTCTTTTTCTCTTCAATTCCTTTTCCAGAGCTCACTGATTTTAAATTTATCGTCGACCTTCTGCACGACGACCTTTCAACGGAAACATGTGTGCACTCACCTGTTTCCAATGGCTCGCTCTCGGTTCAGCGGCTTTGCTACCGTCTAGCTTTGGCCTTCGCGAGCTTCACGATACCTTTTTTTTCTTTTTGATTGAGGCTATTGCAGAGGCGGTCCGGCGACACAGTCGCTTCCAACATGCAGCCTTGGGGAGCCTGGGATTCAAACCAAGCCGATATGTCAGTGTGCACTTAGAAGATAGTGAATGTTAACTGCGAAGGAAATGCTTTATCCACGAGCAGTGTGGGACTTAGGACTTATTGTGTGGCTCTCGCTTCCTCCTTCCTTCTCTATGTCTATACTTACCTCGTTTACGTAGCCTTCACAATATTGTACCCACTAAAACCCCGCTCTCCCCCGTCCAGTCTGGTGGAAGGTTTTTCTCATTCCGGAGTGGCCCCTAACAAGTTTTCAAAACTAGGTCCTTTGGAAGGGCCTTCTTTCCGAACCGTTTATGAGTCATCGAGCAATCAAGTTCAAGGCGTTTGTTTAACTTTCTTGCCCACATTTTTGATTGAATCCGGCGAGAAGTTACAGTCCTCCCTTTTAATGACCCTCTCGCACCGAACGTTCCAGATAGTTTGTGCCGAAGTCGATATGAAAACTCCCCCTTCTGTGTGAAAATCTGGAATATTGCTGCTACAGAGCCGTAAGTTGTGATTCTTCGATCAAACTCGAATCCCCCTTCAATTTCCTTGGGGGCTTCTTCGTAGTCCTCTGGCAGCATGAATCTTGGGTCCCATTTGCTTGGGAGGGTATCTAGCAGATCCTTTGCCCTGAGCATGCATGCGTTCGTTTTGGATCATTCCAGATTCTCTCTCATGGCTGCACAGATATGGTGCTCACAGTCCGAGATGCGCCAGGGGTTATGAGTTGGTTCATCCAGGTAGGATGCAATTTCTTCTGCTTCTCTGACTAGTCACAGGTTGCGGTTGTTTCGTAGACATGTGCTTGCCGCAGATTTTGTTAGCAGCCTAATTCTGGGGTCAGCATTTGAGTGATACCAGATTGGCCGGTCTCGGATGATTTTTCTAGAAAAATACCTTCCGCTCGAAGCCCCGTCTCGTTGGCTACCTCCAGTAGACTCTGGAGGTTTCGGGGGAGACTTGATTTCTTCGTTTTGAAGGATTGCAGGAATATATTCTGTTTAATGTCTAGACTTATATTCCTTTCTGTGCTTACTGGGGAGCGGGGTATCATATCGTGAGCGAAGTAGGCCCAAGTCGGTTGGTCTTCTGCTTGTAGGGCTTTAATCCACATTACTTCAATTGCTTTATTTCTCGCTCGGATGTCTAGGATATCGAGTCCGCCTTGGGTTCTCGGCAACTGGAGGGTCTCCAAATCAACCAGGTTTTTAGTCTTTCCCTCCCAAATAAATTTACGGATTCGTTTTTCCGGTCTATTCTCAACCTGTTGTAGCAACCCTGAACTACAGCCAGGTACTGAGACAAGCTACCCCACGACAGCATGGATGATGATTCGACGTCCTGGTACTGATGGGTGCGATAATTCCCTTCTAGAAAGGCTTTGATCTATCTTTTCGAGGACTGGAGTTTACGCTGTATCATCTGGAATATTGTTCCCGAACCATGCCCCCAGGATACGGATCGCCTCTCCCTCCTGGACAATGTGGATATTTTCCGGGATCTTGTCAAATCTGTCTCTTGACCTTCGATTATCGGTGAAGGATGTATGGAACTCACTACTTCCCATAGGCATGATTTGGGTCTTTCCTACATTGAAGCAGGCTCCACTAGCTAGGCACCAGTCATCAAGAATTTTAATGAGATCTTGAAAGCCATCTTCCGCATCAAGGAATGTTGTAGCGTCGTCTGCAAAGAGGTTTGCTATCAGTCTTAGCTTCACGATTCTTGAGCCTGCTCGAAGCACCAGAATGAACGTTCGCGTCGTGTATATTTCATGGATTGAATTCTATGGCAATGCTACACGTTTCTCAATGGCGACCATGCTATATTCGACCGGGGTCCTCAAATTTAACAGTTTCACCCGTCTCTTAAATGTATGGGCTGGCCAACCTACCCAATTTCGGACCGGAAACACCTCATCTCTCTGCTTGGACAGTTTGCATGCCTCGAGAAGCTCCATTCTCATTTCTCATAACCTGCTCACCATTGTATAAATATTATGCAGGTTTCTCGCCCTGTAGTTTCCTTACCCATCTTAAGTTCTCCAAGCACCCCGAACTTGTCGTGTAGTCAGCAGAACAGCTGCAAATACCTCCCGGATCAGTGAAGACCATGGAGCTTAACGATTTGTAATGCGACGATGTCTGGCAGTATACCTGTAGCATCTCTTCCGTTCCTCAATCCTCCCAAGATTGTTCAAGGTCTGACTAACAATCTCACATGCGGAAACGCCGAAGTTCAGTTTCAGCAATCGCCCACCGTGTTACTTCTTCCCTCGAGTAGCTTTCAGTTGCGCCATGCATCCGGTAACTCGAAAGTGAAGCGTAGGTTATGTTTCCACTTTTCCTCATGAATCGCTGGGTGCGCTCGAAGGAGAAGGCTAGTGCTTCTTGTTGAGGAAAATGTCCGTGTTTGGCGCTCATCAAGGAGAATACTATGGTTTTTTGAAAATCCAGAGTTCACATGATGTCGCAGTTGGCAAAAAACAGGCTAATGGTGCTTAGAATCCTGCCCTTGATACGATATTAGAGAGCAGCAAGAAGAGAAAGATGTGGTTGATGCCGTTGCTAGCGATGAATCTGATGCGGGCATATTGAATATTTCACAACAGTATTCATAATAGATTACATCGCCGGATGCCCTGCAGAACGTTGAAAGAGGTTGGAATTGGAAGCTTGGGCAACTACAACTTGGTATTGAGTATCATGCTGAGATGCGAAATACTGTTCCTGGATAGAATAAGACGCTATACTACTAGTGCGACGTCCCGCCATTAACCAAAATACTAGATGAATAGTCTCGGCATTGGTTCTACCATAACAAAGGTTGACTTGCCAATAAGATAAGCGAATAAAAGTCATAGCTATCATGTCAAATCAATAAGCTGTCCAGCAAGTTCTCCGTCTTCACGGGCTCGAGTTTGATCTTCTTCCTGTACTTGGAAGCGCCTTCTCGCCGTTTCCATTTCCCTTCAATAATCTGTATCCTGGCCTGGGGAGCTCGTTGGTAATAGGTACCAACACTAAATTCGGATGAAAAAACCGACCTTCAGAGCTTCCAGTTCTTTACTGTCTGTCTCAGACTCATCCCCATCAGATGTGAGGTCGATGACAGTGGATTCCGTCGTACGCTGAGCCGGGCGAAGAGGTGATGGTGCGATGTCAAGAGCGGGGAGCACACCTAGTTGTAGAGATGCTGATTGGACTGTGATGATTCAGAACGAGCATTAGAGGACGCACTCAAAGGTCGATACTTGAAACAAAAGACTATGAATGGATCCCCTATAGGTACACTGCGATATTTTGAGGTATGGGATTGGTGGGTGACAATCGGGTCGCCAAAACTACGCGTTTATTAGCATGAATGGTGAAAAGGTAACGCAGCACGTACTCAAGCTGGTGGTCTATTCCCTTCTTGGTCTTTTCGCTATACTCCCCAGCCTCTGGAATAGGCATATACCTCCGAGGACCGCGTGTATGCTGTACGCGATGGAGTTGAACTCTTTTGAGTCTCCACCTCGATGTCGACCACCTTATGCCTAGAAAGGTTTAGTGCACCGTCGTTATCTAAGAGCCATGGTTAGTGGATGACACCAAGGTAGAAGCAGAGCGAAATCACCTGTAAATGTAAGACACGAGAATTTGTAGGGCCGCATTGCCGTTTCTGAGACCCTTACACCAGAGAATTTGTACTGGATGTGGCCACTCTAAACGAGCTTTCTGGAATACGTCGTTCCGTCGATGCGAGGGTTACTTTGAGGGGAACCGGAGCATCGTCCAGTTTAAAGTGTATCTCAAACGTCTGTAAGGCGAAAGTGAAAGGTAAGAAAGGGGAAGGGGGGGGGGGGAAGTAGCAAGCTTGGCGCACTGTGTTCTCTCCAGATGGAATCCGGCAGGTAACCTTGTTTCCAGCATTGCCGATGGGAGCGAGGTACAGACGCCATCACGTGGACTAGTACTATTATCTATTTACAGCTGTCTACTGGGCGTATTCTTACACCGTCAGGTCAAAAACTTGACCTAGATTTTCCACCTTGATTTTCTCGAGCTTGACCTTTTCCCTGCTCACCAACTCGGTATGGCGCAATCTTTTACCCTCAAGAACCTGAGGGTCGGCTGATGATTATACCTGTTCCACATGGGTGCTGACCTTGAGAGCATTGATCTACTCATTCAAGTCATTGTCTCCATCATCATCAGAGATTTCGATAATCTCAGGTACGTGCAACCTTGGTCTAGGGGGTGGCGTTATGTTGTTCGCTTGCAGTACACCATACCTGGTCATGTGTGTCAGCATCTGGTCTGTATTTGAAAGAGAAAATGACCACAGGATGGCCGATGGCAGTACACGAGTACCATGAGGGCTTCCTGGGCGGAATAGCTACCGCTACAAAACTAGACCAGTGAGCATTCCTGACCCATCTTTTCCATCCCGTGGATTGGTCGCTGCCCTTGGGGTTGATAGTACGCCATCCTGGCTTTCTTTTTCTTTTTCTCTATACATTTCATTCTTTCGAACTGTATTTTGCCAACATTCTGGTCTAGTAAATTGTCGTCATCTGCAGGATCAAGATGAGCACCATTCCTCGCCCAAGTTAGCATATGACACCTGAACGAAAACATAAACGGCAACGGATGCAATAGTAGCATCCATAATGATTTCCATCGACGCGTGCAATGATTTTGCCAGTAGGGAATGCAAAACTGTTGTCTTTCCAGTGCATTGCAAACGCATGGTAGGGCTCAAATCTAGGGGGGCCTACTTTGTTTGCTTCCGATGAAATGCAACAGGTAACCGACTGCCTGGCGTGACCTCGACCCGGTATTCCTCTGCCTGGACACCCTCAATGGTGATCCATGCAGAGAAATGGTCGTAGGTGAGCATTGCGGACTTCTGCATTTGCGAATTTGCGCGTGACAATTGCTTGGCTACGCCTTCCCAGGCATTTTCAAATTCCGCCACCCTGTCCTGAGTCTTTCCATGATTGTTACCAACCTGTACTGCAACCTTTTAGATGCGGTGAGCTGCTGCTGCCTTCCAATATTCTACCGTGAGTATCTGCATTTGCTGCATCTCCGTATTCCTGCTCTCAGACGACCGTATTAGCTTCTACTTCGAGGGGCCACACTCGGACGTGAAATGGAAGGAAGCAGCAATGATAAGGTTTTATTCTACTCTTCATGCCCCCGAAAAGCACTCATTGACTCGTCTAGCAGGCACCGGCATCGCACGTCTGGCCACTGCCATTCTTTGTGGCTGCTATCTACTCGTGGTTTATGCGCAGGTTCATTCCCACTGTCAAATTCACCTTTTACTACCTTTTCACGACCGAGCGATCCAATGACTCTCACAAAGTTCGCCTCTTTCGTTTTGGTATACCCATTGTCATGAAGAAGACGCTACGGATGGTCAGCACCGAGGCGGATGCTCTACGATTCTTGAATGCAACCTGCCCTGACCTGCCAATACCCCGACTCCTCGATTCATTCGTGGTCGGAGAAGCCACGTATACCATCATGACCAAGCTGCCGGGGGACAATCTGTTGGACCGCTCCCTACCTTCGGACCAATTAGAAGTGGTGGCCAAACAAGTCCTGGATTTCTTGCATCAGCTGTGGCAGATTGAGCAACCAGGTAACTGCAAAGGGCAAGTTATGCGTAGCGCAAGTGGTCATGGGCTACCTAATCCTATGACTCTCCATTCCAACCTCAGCAACACATTTCCTTCGACACTTCATTGTTACGCTCTCATGAACTTCAAAGATCTGGACCATTTCGTCGCGGACACGGCTCCTGCCACTCTCGAGCATCTCGCAAATGACCAGGTGTGCTGGGTACATACCGATTTGCGGCTCCAGAACATTTTGGTGCTGGACGGCCGACTGAGTGGGATCGTTGATTGGGAGGATTCGGGATGGTTACCCCGCCACTGGCAGCTGCATATGTTCCGCAATGTATACATGCATGGTGTTACATTCGAATGGTGGGCCTTGTGGAAAAAGGAACGCATGCGTTTTGATGAAGCGGTAGAAGCAGTATACAAACTGTCTACCGACCTGATCACATATCCATTGTGAATCAAACTTATTTCCTAATAGATGGTAAGAAAAGAAGAGAACGTACTCATTATAATGACAGAACAGGAGGGTGATATTGGTGGACGAGGGACTGATAAAAAAGGGTCAGGAAATTATTATCAGCCTGGGTACTCATGGTCTTGATCTTCGTTTCGACCAAATTAATAAACTCGGACCGATTCTCTCTGCGCCCTGGAAAGCTTCCCTTGTCGTACAGACCCATCAACACCTGTAGGATCCAAGTCCGACATGTCATGTTATGCGCACGATTCTCGTCGACTGTGGCGTAGCTCGTGAAGACACTACGACAAATGTCGATAAAGTCGCAGCACGGCACGTATCCCTCCAACTTGTAGTATCCCAGCACTGCACTGTTTCCTGTACGCGTGGCTGGCGTTACCGTCTGAGAGCCGTACGTTTCCGCATACGGCCGGCCAGAGACTTGATACCAATGATGGCGAACGGCTCTGGAGTTGGCGTCGGTGATGATGATGGCCCAATGAAAGGCGCCTGTAGCGAGTTGCACGGTGCAGACGTATAGCGAATCTGGGTCGAGAGGGACGTGCTGGTGCATCCTACCAGCGGATAGCGAACTAGGCGCCATACAGCGAAAAGAGTGATAAGAAAAAAGAAATCGCAAGGGTAGATACGTCTGTGGGCCACCATTGGATAGGGAATCGAGCTCATCGTTCGCGAGTACTCACGAAACTTTTCGCCGCAAAGCCTCCCAATCCGAATTGTTCATCCAGCACTCGTCACAGCCTTTTATCGGAGGAATCAGAGAAAAGAAAGGAAGAAAAGGGAAGAAAAGGGCGCACGTAGAGTCGATAGTGGTAGGGCAAGATGGGATGATCATCATGGAGCAAGAAGCGTGCGTGGCGTTGTTTGACAATAGCCCTTACAATCACTTGCATCAAATTTATGTTTGTTCAATATTCTACTTGTCTACGAATTTCTATTCCGAAACTATGAATCTTTATTAAAAGGTGACACGGCACTTTTCTGCATGAAATCAATCAGATTTCAGATCACCCAAGGGCAAATAATATATATTTTTCTTTTCTAGTAATGCCCTCAATCACCGGCTCCGACTAGCCTTTGCAAATGATCCATCATCTGTCACATATGGAATGCAAGAAGGGAAGGAAAGAATTCTGTACATACTTGGTTATTGCCTCTGTTTTGATGCCTTGGGCCTGGCCTAGCCAGACGCGGTCTTCTTTCCTTGTTACTTCGCGAAGAAGCCAGCAGAAGACCGGTTCATCCTTCGCTGTTCTTCTCCGAGCCCAGCATGGCTTCGACATTATATGAACCATCCTGATGCTCTCGCGTCAGAGTTCCACTGCTCATTTGAACGTCCTCCAAATTTCTGCCTCATCAGCGTCTGAAACGCTCAACTCGGCTTGCATTTTCAATCACAAGTCGTCAATGATTCTTCAGATTAGAGATAACAGCCGCCATCATATATCCTGTCACCTCTTACTAGTTGTCGAGGCCTGATCTTAATCTGCCGGTCACAACGCCACCCTTCGTCAAGTAGTAGTCTCTATCTGCCCAGTTTGCATATCTTTACCGTAATTCCGCCCTCTTGACCTGTGGACCTCTAGACCTGTCATCAAAACTTCTCATTTCCATGGACACCGCTGCGCGGTGCTAATCCTACAAATTCAACTCACCCTGATTCTTCTATATCCTATTCGTAGCCTTCGAATTTGCGGCGATTATGCTTGACGTCCTTGTCCATGTAGATTGTCGATTTAAAATGCAAGAGCCAGCACAGGCCATATGCAATAATACGTAGTCCTTTTGAAATGTCTCCTAGATGACGCCTTTATGCCTCTCTCAACCCCGTCTTCACGAAAAGCGTCGAAAACAAAAACTGCGACAGCTGCTCATCATGCAGCGGTAGATGCCTCCATCCTTGCCTGAGTTCTCCCAGCGGAACACAATAGCTTGCAACCGCCTTCTCGTCTTCTTCGTCATCACGCACAGCAAAGAGCACAAATATTAAATCAAGCATGCTTTCGCCCCCGATACAGTCAAACGACAAGGACAGATCTTGATTCCATACAGGATTGAAACCATTGTTCTTGACCACGCCCGTTCTAGCCGAAATTTTCTTATCCTGAGTTTTGCCAGATTCGAGTGCCTCGCTCCATTCGTCAAAGGACGAGTGCGTCCAGTCAGGCACATACAAAGACACCTCCACGTATGGATCAATTACCGATTTTTCGACGACCTCTTGCCCAGAGCTATTTTTGGGGAGAGGGAGTTGCTGGGCCGATACAATCTATGGACTCTGTGAGCGGGAGGAAAATGGAAGAAGATGCTGCTTCATGCCTTGACTTCAAATGTGTACCTGATCTTTCTCTCCAACAAGGATTCGCCTCCAGGTCTCAAAGCCTCTGGTTTGAGTACATAGCCGCATCGTCCATTTCGCTGGAACATGGCTTGATTGATCATGTACCCTAAATCTGATCAACCCAAATTAATATCATTGTATCAAAAACAATAAGTAAGCCTACCGAACGTCTGCCAGTTTATGGCAACCAGCTGCGCACCTACAGCCCAGTACTTTACCGGTTCATAGTTCGTCGAATTTACCCTCGTCCCCTTCGGATATATTCTCACCATATGTCCGTGTGTATGTCGTACCAGGGCCTTGGGATCAGTTCTGTTCGCCCGTGACTCGGAGAGAGAAAAAATGTGCTCAGGCGCATATGTCTCCGTTGCCGAAAGGCCCCTGCATTTCACACCGACAGTGTAAACGAGCAGGGAAGCGAGTTTGAATGACATTAACGGCTTGTTCTTGGGTTGGGACTTTTTCACGCGCCGCCAGCGGGATTTGAGGTTGTCAAGTATACTAGAATCTGTGCCGGAAGACGACGACGAAGACCAGGATTCGTCGGCTGCGGTCGCAGCGCGAGCTTCCTCAGTTTTTCGGACTTGTTCAGCCGCTATTTCTGCAGCAAGATAGAGATTTTTGGCCTGGGAATGCTTAATCAGTGAACTGCCGAACAAGGTAAAAACATACCTTCAGCAAAATCTTCCCTTTCAAATCCTTAGGGCTTGGTAGCTGATCTACAGGCGGCCTTCCTTCTACTGGCGCTTGTATCATTGAATCGCCGAAAACGGCTGTCATGAGTTCTGCGATCTTGTTCTGTTGCTGAACTCCACAGTGGACTTCGGCACTTATGATGATGGCATACGGTGATGTGACGAAGGCGTACTTGGCGATAGCTTCACATACAGCCCGTACAGTGACTTCGGAGGTCAAGGTTTTGCCATGATAAACTACAGGCTCGCCATCTTCACCATCGTAAATGTCCACTGGGAGGGAGGGCGTTAAGCGCCTCAAGTGTACAAGAGAGAAGAATTGACACGTACACTCAACGCTGCGGCAGCTGTGTAGAAGTGCACGGATGTATCCTTCAACGGTACTCACTCCAACAAGCTGATGTCCGACAAGATAAGTGTTGTGAGAGGAAGATACGAAATATTCCGGCATCGGACGAGTCATGTCTTGCCAATTAGGATCATTTAGTTCGGAAAATGGACTATTATCATTAGAGAAGAGGAAAGATACGAAGGCACCCAAGCTCATGACCTCAGAGTTAGGTGAATATCTGGAAAATATAGTTGAAGCGTCTGCTGTAGACTGTACAGTGTATAAGTCAAGGGGAGGACGGCTCAGAAAAGGATATTTACTTTTTGGCATTCGTGGAGGAACTTTGTGAAAGTGGGTAGATCGAGTCTTCCTAAATCATTGTATATCGTTTCGATATCGGGCCGTCTCTTGAGCAACTTGACGAAACGCTTGAAAGCATCAAAGTCGAGGTAGCCATACCTCTGGCTGTCGGCCTCCTGAGAATGACTGTCGATCAAACGTACAGCTCATAGTGAATAACCGCATACCTCGAAAATCTTTCTCAGTTCTGCCTGAGATGAATTTACATTCAACCTCCTGCACAAACCCTCAACTTCTGCAAACTCGAGTCGCTGATCACCTTGGCGATCCGCCCCTTTCCAATACTGCTTCTCCCACACCGTGTCTCGAACCTTGATGTTTCCCAGGCCAGTCATCAAACCCTGCCTGACCACACAGAGCTTCTTGAGGGTCGTAAGCCAATCAGTGAAGATCTCAGTGGTGTCGGAAACGATGTGGATGGTCTTATAGCTGCCCTCAAGGATGTAAATGATAGTTATCCATCGATCCTCCATCGCTTGCGATAACTTGAACTGTGAACGGTAGTATCTAGATTCTGGACCTGAGCGGATCTCCTTGATCGCTTCAATGGGAACTGTATGCAACTGTAACAGGGCCGTAGCAAGAATCGGAAGAACAAGACGCACTGACACCACTTTTCCTCGATTCGTAGAAGATTTGACCTTCATCCGGATCTATACGAAACAGTACCCTTTTCTCCTTCTTTGCTGATACCTTAAGCATCATAGTGCCCTGCTGCAAGGCCAGAGGCACGCTCGTATCTGGCACAACTGGTACATGACTTAGCGACTGGCTTGATGATTGCTGAGACATTGTAAACTCAGTTTCCTTTGAGTGCCGGAAGGGTAAATGAAAATGAGGAAGATGATGGTGCTGGAAGGGCATCGTCAAGGATTTCCGAATTACTTCGGTCTCGACGGCGACAGACAGCAAAGCACGTGGCTGATGACGCGTGACGTCATGGTAAAATATACTTCCTTTGTATTTAAAATTTTTCGTGGAGCGCAGGAGTCCTAGATACACGCTCTCCAGCCCCGGAGTCCTTCACCCTGGATAAATCTTCTAAAAAGGTGCCGAGTGCTCTATGTAGTACTTGTTGGATAAGGGGGTGAATTACCACAATACTTACCAATCCCGACGGTGAGTCTGGCGAGGGTGGGTGCTTGTACCAAAAATAGCACTGTGGCACTGTGGCAGTCTTATCAGACAATGGGGCTCTTGAACCAAAACATTGTTCCTTGCTTTGGCCGAAAAAGTCCTGTCTATGTTTCGGGAAAGGGCCCTTTGTCCTTACTTGCTATTGCTGGCGGTGTGTCAACAGCTTATTCAAAGATATCTTCTGCCTAATGCCTCAGCCTTAGATCTTTCCTTCCACTTCAAGTTCTTCTCCTGGCAGTACTCGAACTTGGCCTTCTCTTTCCGTTACAACGCCTTAAGGGGTCCCTGTCTGATCTATGTCACCACTGTCTTTGCTTCTGAAAGGTATCCGCCCCAGGTGTGAAATCTGATCTTTTAATCGTTGGTGGCCTGGCAATTACGATCAAGATATACATTTCGAGTCGACACAATTTCAGATTTGTATGAACTGGTAAATATTCCCTCATACGATGCAGATTGTGAAGAATTGTCAATTCGTGCGAACTAGCTCGATAATTTCCATCAGTCTCCGTGCGTTTCTCTTTCTTCTTCCGCTGCGGCTAAGTTAGTCTAACTGTGTTATAATCATGTTTGCTGTGTTCAACGCTTGGCGGATGTACACAAAGTCTTGAGCAGTGACGCTTGTTCCCAAGTTAATTCCATCCCTCTATTCTGGTCTCATATCATCCCACATACGGTACAGCTATCTTTCCCCTCGAGCCCTATACGTCACTTCAAGAAATAGGTTACGAACTTTGATGCCGAGCCTTGGTCTCCGTTATCTTTTTCGTCTAGTTCGCCCTGTGACGAGTTATGGCAACTCAATCTCCTGTCTGTGCGTCGAATGAGGCATTCGTATCTCCGCTGCGACCTCTAGAATTCGAGTTCATAGCGCCCATGTCGACAATCACGTCTGGTAATAATTTACTCCATGTAAGAGACGTACAGGACCCAGGTGATGCCGGTCCGGTATGTAGGGGTCGGTCATCGTCGCAGGGTCGCAAACAGAGGGCAAAGCCAATTTACTGCTTCGATGAGTCAATTGCGCCATTTAGGTACAGCCGCAGTCACGCGAAAAAGACCTCGAAGAAGAGCGGACATACAGATATTCGGTAGGTCTTGTGCTTCTTTCCAGTTCCTTCAATTCTAATAATGGCGGTGATACTGACAAAAACTGCGGGGATTCCGAATGTAAGGATGCTCCTGCGCACAGCTCCGAGACGGGATTTGATAGTGCGGATGTAGTCATACTTGAACCCAATGGGTTGAATACCACCATAACGACCGCCAGCACATGTAACATTGTGGCTCCAGGAGGCGAATCACAGAAGATGACGGTTTCTCCCTCCAATTTAGACTTTTCATCGTCGTTCAACTCGGACTTGGACGAATACGGGGCGGAAATCACAGGACCGAGCTTGGAATGGATACGAAAGCTGACCGGACGGTGAGACTCTGAGAGCAGTGCAGAACGCGGCGCAGCTGGCGGCAGGTGGGCCATGATCAAGGATAAGCCAGGACGAGCCGTGCGGCCAGAATTTGGTTCCGTGATGATATTTGTATGGATCGGGGCGAAGTTCTGATTATTTAATATGGGGTTACGTGGAGGTGGAGATAAAGAAGCGTGGTATCGTCAATGCATTAATTACCGTAGGTTGTATCTGTGTATCTTAATCGTGGCAAGATATGGCGAAATAATTGTGATACTAGGAACTGACCAGTCGTGGTGCCATGCCTCTCTTTTCCGGGTTGACGTGCTGCAAGTCAATTGTTCCTTTTGGGTTGCTGATTGATGCACAGTCGCTGCCGGGTACCTATCGGCCGTAAAATCATGCTGGCCTGACAGAACGAAGTAACATGTAGCGTAATCAGTATGATTGCTTGGTGATTGATTGCCTAAGGTTACGGCGTGAGCGCTTGAGCGCTGATGTACAGGTGATACAGGTCCAGCCTAGGATCGGTATCGGGGTAATATTGCATGTCGCTGCCTGTCGCTTCATGTCGATTTCATATGGTCTTGAGATTATCACGAACGATGAAACTAACTAAGGGAAGCAAGGCGGGCCATTATTCATGGACTATCACACCGTTCGGTAACTATTTAGGTACCATCACCGAGGGACCGCGGATGGCGGCAGAGCGCTAGCAAGGAAGGGATAAAAGCTCGGTTTTCATTGATCTGCGGTATGGACCTCAAGGCGCAATTTAAACTCCTGGGCATTCCTTTTCTTATTCAATAGTAGCAGTGTAAGTAGGTTTTTATAAGAACGACAGGCATAATCGTATGACCTGTTACTGGCCCTCTTCGTGCGACTGTGCATATGCAAGGTCGGGTGACTGACTAGTGCAATATTAATCATTCATGTTGTCGGTCAAATGACCAGCTCTTGCTGGTGGGTGGCGGCAATGAGTCGTGGAGAAGAAGAGTGGGCCAATGTTGAATATCCTTCGCTCTATAGCTGACAAGATTGGCAGTTTTCGAACTGTAAAATGCCGAATAGGCTATTTACCCCGCATCGTTTCCCCAGGTTACAGCATTCTAGGGCACAAGTGAGCGCTTCCCCGCATTGCCTCGGTGCTGAGAAGAGATCCGATCAGCGAGCGGTTCTACAACATGTAACAGCCTGTAACAGGTGTGTAAAACAGTGTAATGAGGGGATCATGGGGCGCCACAGAGAACAACATCAAAGGCAATCGTATAAGGAACAAGACGGGCGTCTCACAGGGATGGACCATAGAAGAAACTTGGACTTGGATTCTGGAACAATAAATCCAGGAAAGTTTCAGGATAATCCAAGAGGAATATTCGGGTCTGTCGAAGAATTTGTCTCGAATATCCCGAATTACAGCGCACTCTGTTGCTGTAATTGCCTTGTGACCCACCAATGACCGTCTGTGGAAACGGAGGAACCCGTGCGGCGCCTGCGGAAGATACCGATCAGTCCATGCCAGTCACGAGTGCAACGGATACTTCGGAAATATATGGCACGTGATCGGAACCAATGCTGGGAGATCTCCGGCCCGTGAATCTCTTTTTTGGCGGTCTCAAACCCAAGTTGCTCGCTGTCGACCACCATCTCCAGGGCAGAGCGAGCTGTCCCCTACCTCATGCTGCTTGCATTACCCAATCCCGTCCTCGCCGTCGCTGCCGACGTGCTCAGAGATCTCGATGGCGACGAAGCCTTGACAAGTCTTTGGTTCCGTGCGTTTTCCTGTTATCGTCAGGGCTCACTGATGTGCTGACTTGTCCCAACATCCCAGTGTTCACAAAGTGCAAAAGTTCGCTGCATGATGGCAGGCGTCTTGAGAATATATCCTGGCGACTATGGCATCGAGAAATGGCTGAGACGCAGACTTACCGCCCACTCACACCTGCATCACCGACGACAGATGCCACCAGATTTTCACCGTTCAATTCCCACCCGCAGGGTGAGTTTTAGCTCCATGTATGCGGGCAGTTTCGTTGAGTAGGATTTTGTCTCCTAGCGGGCGAGAGAGTCGTCAAGGCGCCCAGCGACCGAGTGTGCATAGGCAAGCTGATTGAAGATATTGGGATGTGCCAGCCCATCACCAGCTGCGAGGTTGATGGAAGCAAAAGCAGACACAGTAGGGGCGACAAGCATGGACCCAAAGGCAATACATTACGGCCGTCGTTACCCACGACGTCGGCGGACACGGTGACTATATCCATCATCCCGGTGTGCGATGCCCCTCAAGCCGATGGATCGCCCGTGCCAAGTTCACCCGCGTCCCGCCGTCCGGCAATTTCGACCCCCTCTCCAGGTGCTCCTTCGTTCCCACGTGTTGTCGTTGTTAATCCGACGCCCAACCCTACACCTCATCCTACGCCACCAGCAACTCCAGTATTGCCATCTACCATATCAAATTTGCCATTACCTAATAGTCCTCCCCAGGCGCCTCCTGTTCGCTCTTCTTCAAGACCTCCTGTCTCTTCTCGTCCGCCTCCAGCGTCCCTCGTACCTCGTCAGGTTCAGTCCATGTCTTTATACCCCCCAGCTCTCACCGCCTCCGCTGCATCCCTCAAACCTTCAGAACGTATGTTCTATGTCGGCACCGGCTCTCCGTCTTCTGGATCTGGCACTTCAGACTCTCCGCCTGCATCTGGTTCAGGCTCGTCCAGCTCGCCATCAGCGTCCGCGACGTCCGAGTTGCGGACAGATTCTGCCCTTCGTCCACGGTCCTTATCAAGTGATGGCCGCTCCAGCGGCGAGAGTAGTAGCAGTCATACCGATTTCAGCGATGAGCCCGAGCCAGGTGATGTTCAATCAAGACCATCGTCCGGCGTGAGGCGTCGCATCCAACCCAAGAAGAACAAGTTTTTTGTCCACGCGGGTCGACACCATCACGGCATCGGTCATTGGCCGAATGGTCGAGTCAGTTCCCTGAGCCAGAGCAAAGAGAAGGAGCGCATGGACAGAGAAGAAAGGCACCGCCTTGCTCGTGAGCATGAAGAGTTGGAGACTCGGAGGAAATCAAGATTGGAGCAAGAGGAGCGAGTGAAGTTGCAGGCGAGAGAACGGGAACGGGAAGCTGAGCGGCGACGAGAGGAGGAAGAGGCGAAAGAGCTGCAACGGGAGAAAGAGGCGGAACAGGAGTTGGAGCAAATGAAGGCCCGTGAACTAGACAAAGAGAGGGAACGTATCAAGCAAGCTGAGCGAGAACGTGAGCTTCGTCGCCGAGCCTCTATGGAAACATTACCGCGACAGCTCGCCATTGATGCCGAGATCTTCGATTTCAACGAGGACGCGTCGGCCGACCCTTTCCTTCAAACAAGCGGTTCACAACCCGATCTCACACGAACATATTTTGGACTTAGTCGTGCTCTCAGTCCCCCGAAACCCAGTACTTCCAAAGGCAAAGGCCAAGATCACGGACTTCGACAGCTTACGAAGTCTGGCACCGATCTCCGAGCCATGGTCAAGGAGAAGACGACCACGCGTATGCAAATGCAGCGGTTGAAAGGGGCTTTTACGCCTCTGAGGAACAGTCCATCAACGAGCCTCAAAGAGCGTAATGGATTACAGCGTTCGTCGCGCAAGGCTTCACGCGAAACTTTACCCGAAGTGCTTGTTAAGAGACATAGTTCCCCCAAGCCACCGAGTGTGAAAGGAAAGGGCAAGGCAGACCCGCAACAGCAGCAGACTGGAGGAGGGCGTCCCATTGTCATTGTCGATGAATCTGACGAGGAGACTGATTCGGGCGAGGATGGATGGACATCCTGTGACGATGACAGCGCTGAAGTCGAGGCTGTGACTGTAAGCGATTTTTTGCGATTGCCTTGATTTTCTTCTCAACGTCGTCAGAGTGAACATGACCATGTATCGCCTCGCATATCGCCTCGTCGTAACGTACAGCTATCACAAAATACCCGTCATCCACCTCCTAATACCACTACGAAGGCTCGTAATCCTCGGCGACAACAGGCACCGCCTCCAGACGCTGCTAAGCTTCAGGATGCAGTGCTGGAAGCTGCGCGGCAGCGCGATATGTTCGTCAAGATCCCCAAGGGCAGTTATACCAATCTTAATCGGACGAATTCAGGGCTCCTCAGTCAACTCATGAATCCGGATCCTGCACGATTACCCCACAGTCAATACCGTCGTGTGGAATCTAATACCGAACTTGGCTGTGGGAGCAGACTTATGGGAGCAGACATCGGACTACAACCGAGTCATAGTGCTGTGGCGTTACCCGTCTCTGCACAGGTCACCGTCGGGAGTATGCGGGACAAAGGAAAGGTCAAGACGAACCCCGTGGGCACAGATCGAACTTCTCCCCCGGGAAATGACGGATACCGGCGCAAAGGACGTCCGGAGGATGAGGAGATGGAGGATGACTCTGATGGGGAAGATGATAATTCGCTGACCGTTTCGAATAGTGTCGCGGAGGCGCGTCTGAGAGCCATTTTTGGAAGTAGTCGGGGAGGAGCTGCGCTTCCACAAGTCAAGGAGCGGAAGAGGGAACCATGGATCGAACCTCCGGCGGCGTCACCGCCTATACCAACGCCCGCGAAGGATCTTCCCATTGTGACCGAACACGCGCCATTGGGATTCCCATACAATTTACCTGTTGCCGCTATGCCTTCGACACCACGGACGACAAGGCAGAACATGCTCAGGACAGAGATGTCTGAGAGTGTTCGGCAGAACCTTTTGTGGTCACGATATATCCATAAGCAAAGTGTATTGGGTCCTCGGAGAAAGAGCAGTCCGTCGCTGCCTGATCGCGAGCCTATTGCAACGATTAATCCGGTTGTACATCTGACAAAGCGGGTAGACGGACGGCGGTCTGGTGGTGCTGATGCTGAGCGGGAAGCGGTGCGGAAGGAACTTCAACGGGTGCGTCTGACACGAAACAAGAGCTGGGCTGCAGAATATCACCCTACACAATGGGATTGATCCTCTTAGCCCCCATGACAGATGCGTCAGCTTCTCCGTTGCCAATGGTGTCCTTGTCGAAAGTGTACTACTGGGTGTAATTTTTATATCCTTTTTTTTCACTGTCATTGGTGTTTATTTTCTCTCAGGGTGGACACTTCGTTAATGATAATCTCAGCTCTCGTCGGCTATATTGGCGACTATTCTACCTTTTTCGTCCTATTACTTTGTACATTTCCCATTGTGTCTGTATAATAGTGTTGAAATGCTTTCAGTAAACATTTGATGTACTATACAATTATCCATTTGACGTAGTACACAGTAATGGAACAGCATTTGAAGCTTTTCCCCCTTTACCCGATGACGACCGGCCTCGATACTTCGGCGAAGGTGCAGGGTGGTAAAAGTAACTAGTCGTTGTAATAGGCAGGTTGCGTACGTATTATAATAAGGAAAGAAAACTCAAGTTGGGACGCTTGCCAGAAATGGAGCGATCTAAGCAGCTCTCCCAGTCGATTTTAGGAAACTCTTTGGATCCAAGGCAGATGGTGCGATTTCAATAGCTATGTGGTTTTCCGTATGTCGCGCAACTGATGGGAACGATGGAAACTGCTTATTGACTCCTTGGTAGCAGGTAGTATTCATCGACTTGGTATTCTGGCGGGATACTGTGGGCTGTTCAGTCGTCGTACTTGCCACTGTTGATGCTAATAAATGATATTTGTTGTGGTTGAGTTTCATCATGGGGGTATGCTGTCCGTCGTCGGAACAACTGCCGTGTGATCTCTCGAAGCAACATTCCATCTTTTTTTTTCTTGACGATTCTATACCCTTCTATAGCCGAAATGAAGTAAAGATGAGGAATAGTCCGCAGCACTCGAGAGCTGCTCCTGCAGTACCCCTTAAATAAGTACGATTACCAGTACTAGTAAGCATTTGCCGGATCGATGATGTGGTTCCACGGCACCGAATCATTCGTTTTCTATTCTAGATCTTCTCTTCAATTCGGCTTGTATCCATACCATCATGTCGTCCAACGAAGACGAATACAACGACCACGACCAGAACCCCAGTTCCAAGAAGCGGCGCGTCCAGCGGGCCTGTGACATCTGCAGACGGAAAAAGAGTGCGTTATAGGTCTTGGTAGGGCCGCCGGCCTCCCACTGACTGTTTCTTCTTTACAGTTCGGTGTAAGGCATTCATTGAATGGAACCGATACCAGCTAACTTTATGCTAGGTGATGGCGTCCAAATGCCCGAGAACCGATGCTCTAACTGTATAGCGTACAATTTTGATTGCACATATGTGGAGGCAGCCAAGGTCTGTCCTTCTTACAGTCTGTCATGTTATTCGTGTTAGCTGACAATGGCTGCAGAAAAGAGGACCGCCCAAAGGGTCTGTCGTCACCTCTTCGTCATTTCAGTGGACTCATGTTTGACAGTTATGTCGAAAGCTTGGAGAACCGGCTGGAGAAGATGGACAAGCTGTTGCATAGGGTGCGTGCGTGAGAATCGCGTTCATCTCATTATTCACTCCTTTCTAGCTCATGCCAGAGGCGGACTTCACAAAGGAACTTGGAGGTGGGTTTGACCGCGAAACCTGGTCCATCGAAAAGTTACCGACTTCGCTCGACTCTGGTAACATTCCAGAACTTATGCGGCCCAAAGGAAGTGCCTGCCACCCTCGCGATATTGCCACTTCTGCTATCCGGGCGTATAACGACATTGAAGATAAACTGCTTGAGGACGATTTCGACCATCTCACGCTAGCGGATAATTTGCAGCAAAAACTCGAAGTAGATTCTGGCGGCTACCGATTTTTTGGCAAGTCCAGCGGAGCTCAATTAATCAAGACTGCAATGGATTTGAAACATGGATATACCGGCCATGTGCAACGTGATCCTCTTGGCTCGAAGAGGTCGGAATTCTGGACAACTCGCCCTTGGGAAAGCGCCGGAAATATTCTCGATGGAAGGTTCCCTTCGTATTCATTCCCGGAGGATGACTTGCTTTCGTCCTTGGTCGAATTATATTTCGCAAATGTCAACATATTCCTGCCCCTACTTCATCGGCCTACCTTTGAACGCTCAATCAGGGCGAATCTGCATATGAAAGATGAGATGTTTGGTGCCGTCTTACTGCTCGTATGTGCAGTAGCTTCGCGCTATTCGAACGATATGCGCGTTCTGCTTGACGGAGAGGAATCAAGGCATTCAAGTGGATGGAAATGGTTCGACCAAGTGCAGCTTGTGCGCAAGTCGCTCCTATCTCCGCCATCCCTATATGATTTGCAATTCTACTGTGTGGGTATCTACGAAGGAGTAATGCAATGAAGTACTCACCTTATCATGTAGCTGTTTACGGAATTCTTGCAAGGCTCATCGGCGCCCCAGGCGTCATGGACGATGGTAGGTATCGGTATCCGACTAGCTCAAGACGTTGGAGCACACCGAAGGAGACGAAATTTTAGTCCTAACTCCGTGGAAGATGAATTGTGGAAACGAGCCTTCTGGTGAATGCACTTCTTTGACGCAACTTTGACCGTTCCTGACGTTGGTGTAAAGGGGTCTCGTATGTATGGACCGAATAAGTAGCTCAGCTCTCGGCCGTCCGTGTGCAATACAAGATGAAGAGTGCGTTTGTGGGGTATCATTTTGATCTCTTCTAATTGTTTGATCTAGTATCGACATTGATTTTCCCGCCGAGTGCGATGATGAGTACTGGGAGCAACCAGATCCTGAGCAAGCCTTCAAACAGCCTCCTGGAAAACCTTCATATGTAGCGTTCTTCAATTCATTTTTGAAGCTCAACCAGCTGCTTTCCTTTTGCCTACGTACAATCGTGAGTTAATATTAAGAGACTCGTTTATAAGCTCATCGCTTGGTACAGTATTCGATCAATAAATCCAAAATTCTGCTCGGCTTCGTTGGCCAGCAATGGGAGCAACACATCGTCGCGGAGTTAGATTCTGCGCTCAACAAATGGGTTGACTCAATACCAGATCATTGTATGCGCAACATTTACTTTGCCATGAATCCTTTTCTTACATTCACTGTCAGTGCGATGGGATCCCAATCGCGACAATCTTGTGTTCTTTAATCAATCTGCTTACCTGTACATCGCCTACTATCATTTGCAAATACTCATACACAGACCTTTTATTCCTACCCCTCGCAATCCTTCACCCCTCTTGTTCCCTTCTCTTGCCATTTGCACGAATGCTGCACGTTCGTGCTCACACGTTGTTGACATTCAAAGTCGCAAGGGCGGCAAGATCCCTGGGGTCGGCGTAAGCAGAACTCTGGTCTCTGGTTCTCATGTGTTCTGATATTCCACCTTTGTATAGATTCCAGTCTTCACGGCCGGCATTGTTCTCCTCTTCAACATTTGGGGCGGGAAACGGTCCGGCCTTTCTATTGATCCTAACAGGGAGATGGGTGACGTACACAAGTGCATGAGGGTTCTTCGGAGTATGGAATCGTCGTACGTATCGTTCCTCCATTCGAGCTTTCAGTAATACTGAAGCTGCCGCCGCTACAGATGGCATTTCGCAGGCCGCTTATGGTAAGGCTAGGCAATTTCACGAGTATCCACGGCGCTCATTCGTCTATTGAAGGGATATCCTGTACGAGCTGGCTTCGGTCGGTGATTTACCGTTACCCAAAGCAAGCCCCACTCCAACGAACAAACGAGAACGTGACTCTGATAGCCCACGTTCTGTGACCCCAGCAAATGGGAGCCCCTCAAGCGGCGTTACAGATTTCCCAGCGACTCGTGCTATTGTTGGAAGTCGGCGGATTTCGAATAAGGAGCCTGCATCCCGAAAATCCTCGAAATCAATTTCTTCAGAGCCTTCCGCCGCATTATCTTCACCGCTACCGGCTCCAGCAGCGTTGTCTTCATCCCAGCAACTATTTTCTCTGCCAATCTATAGCGACGAGCTTGGGCGAATCCCCCTCCATGGCCAAGTCAGCTTTTCGAACCAAGCGCAGACGCCTGATTCCCATGGGTGGTATGCAGGATCATCGTCGTCACATGGACAAGGACCATCAGATGGTGTGCAGAGTGATTTCTCGTTCATAAGTCAGCCTTTCTATGCGCAGGTGCCGCCTCCCGGGTACACATCTACACATTACGAGTACGGAAGGAACGATGACATGAATGAAATGATGCCTATTGCAGATAGCACGCATATACGACAGCCACCGCCGCCGATTATGGATGGTCGACCGCACGAGTTACTGGATAATGATACCATTACAATGTGGTCCAACGCGCCTAGCGGGTTCGAGTATGTTCACTTACTCACTTTGTTTCTTCTGTTTCTGATTTTTTTTTCCCTTCTATTTCTTAGATTGGACGATTGGGGTACTTATCTGACTAATGTTAGTGAGATGCATAATCCGCACGGGAACGCAAACGTACCAGGTCCAAGATAGTGGTTGCACGACGAAGCGTGACTTTTTCTGTGTTGAAATGGAAGTAAATACGAATGTGTAGCACCTACTATTCTTAGACTCTGTATAGTATTGGTATTTGGCTTAATACTTTTACCTCTTGTTTGTTCCTGAACTACCAGTAAAAAGTTCAACAGGCGAGCGTTTCAGGCAGCAGGAAGCTTGGAACGAAAATGGGACTACGGCAAGTTCCGGCCTGTTTCTGTGTTTCTGAACTTTGAATTGCGCCACTTTTCACGGTTCATGTACGACTCCCGGCTGGCCTGCCCTCCAGAACTGAAAAGTGTTCTGTGCCCCCTTTCGCCCTTCTACGCACCTGGTGACCCTGTGTTTCAATGTACCTGTCGGCCTCTGCATCCCCGCATTTAAACTACTTTTCTGCGTTTCACTCTAGCCCTTGATGGTACAATATCTTGGCAAGCCCCCTTGAAGTACATGTACAGTGTTCTCTGCAGTCGTAGGATGCGATTTCGACCACAGGAAGGTTTGCACGCGTGCTTGATGGTTCATGCAACTTGATGACAACTAGGAAGATCAGCGGGCGATTCGGTCTGAAGATCTTTTGTTCTTGTTCTTTGCGGGGCTAGGGGCTAGGAAGCGGTCTATTTTCATTGATTGTCAGCCGGGACGTCATCGAAATATTATAGTCAATCCGGTCAAACAAAACCGCTCATCTTCACCTCTTTCCGTTATTTGTCCCACCCGATACTCGCTTGTGTGAGGTGTATAAAGTCTCTCTTAATCCTCCCTCTTCCTTGCTTTTCGCCCCACTCCTCTTTGCCACCCTTTTGTTATCAACATGCTGGCCTCTGTCGTCTTCGCTTTTAGCTTGATAGTGTTCACGACTGCTGCTCCTCACTCGAAGCGCCAGCTTGCACAGGTGATCAGTAGCTGCACCCAACCGAACACGGTCGCACTTACTTTTGTAAGTTTCATCCCAAGTGCTGCGTTTCGCTCCCTGCTGACTATTTTCAGGACGATGGTCCTTGGGAATACGCGTAAGACATCCATTCGCAATCCCATCACAACGCTCAAATAACCTTTTTGTAGAGAAGTCGTTAGCGATGCTCTCACCTCGAAGGGCGCCAAAGGCACATTCTTTTATAGTGCGTAGTTCTTCCGTTGACCACTTTCATGTCGTTCATGACCTTATTCGCAGACGGAAATAATTGCGCGTATTTTTCTAATCCTTAGCCCTCACGGCTGACACGTCTTATAGACGAGTGCATTTACGACCAAGCTGAGATCGAACGAGTGCAATACGTTTATAACGCTGGTCACCAACTTGCCTCACACACTTGGAGCCATCCCGACCTAACTACCCTGACTTGGGATGAAAGTACGTCGCTTGCTGGTTTTTTTTTCACACCTGTGGTCTAATTGAAATCGATATCAAGTTCATGATCAGATGTGGCGCGTAGAACGTCAGTCTATTTTCGGTTCGATGTTCAAGAAGTTGATGTCATCCTTGCGTCTGCAGAAGCCCTAGAGAGAATTGTCGGCGTTGTTCCCGCATACATGAGGCCCCGTTCGTATATCTTACATCTTTCAAATCAATGAATGGGGTGCTGAAGGCTGCTGCAGCGTACGGTAATTATAACGATCTAGTGTTAGAGGCCGCCTACATAAGGGGGCAGCAGGTTGTCCTCTGGGATTTCGAGTACGCACAACCTTGTCGTAACACAATTTCCTTACTGACTAGCTTCCCTAGTTCTGGAGACTCCGTTGGCGCCTCCGTCCAGGAGAGCGAAAGTACTTATGACAGCACTATCAGTCAACACCCCAGCACGATTCTAGCATTGAATCATGAGACGTATGGTAAGTTGCCATGCCTCTATTTTCCAAGATGGGGATCTGATGAGAACATCACGCAATCTATAGAAACAACTGCGTAAGTTGATTTGACTCAACATGCAAAATGCAGAATATTCATCGATGTCAAAAAATAGTTATGATGTGCTTCCATATGCCATCGACGAACTGCAAGCGGCCGGATATTCTCTTGTAACACTTGCTGAGTGCCTTGGCGAATCACCGTACCAGAGCGTCGGCAGCCCACAAGTGAATGATGTAAGTTCTTATTTATTTCCCCTATAAACCTGCCTGAAACAGCTGCTGAATACATTTCCTGCTTAGGGATGGACCTGTTAAGTTGCCTCGTCATTTCAGCACGAACTATGTCATGATTTGGACTATTCTGATTGTGGACTTTTTCTTATGCTATCGGCACCGTTCGCTGCGGCATATTTCGTTATGATCTTACTAGTTACGCTTTCTGTCCATTTCTAACGAATACGTGAATCATCTGTCAACCATCATTTCTTTGATCCGTGACATACCCTCTCAGGCTCTTGGCATTGTTGCTCACATGCAACATTCCTGACGTTCTCGCAGTTACATACTAGCTACGTCTTGGTTCGCTCCAGTTCGGTATCGGAGGGAATTCAAGAACTTGAGTCCGTTCCACGCGTCATTATTAACCAGAAGGTAAAGAACAAGTGACACCTATTGATGACAAGAGCCGAGTGATGGTTATCACCTCAAGAACGTGCCAGACGCTATGTTTAGTGCGCCTAAAAGTCACAGCTGACTCTAGGTACATTACAAGGATGAGGCACACAGTTCGTGCTGAACGGATATGTCAAACATCTGGCGGAGCCGTCCGAACGGCCATTCATGCCCTTGCGACAATTTATGGAATTCGATCAATGCTCCGTCGTAACATTAGAAATAACTTTTAAGTTTCTAGGGGATGCTATGGACTCAATCCAGTTACTGCCCTCACATTGAGCAGTGGTCCTTCTCTCTTTTCTGGTGGCTAACCTTTTGGGTAGGATGACCGTCCTTGGGTCTACCTGTAAGGAAGATCCATGAAGAATAACGCAAACAGGAAATTAACCCTACTCCACATACGATGTCAGCAATGCACTTGTAGCCAAGAATGTCAAAGGGACCTTCTTCAGTACGCGACCATCAGCCCTTCTAGGACTCATACTAATGATTTACATTTAGACGGGAACAATTGTTAGTAAATGATTAGCGATTCATTTATTCCGCAGTTAATCTACGCGACCTACAGATGCATGCATCTACGACGCGGACAAACAAAATCGACTTAAAATACGCGTATGACCATGGGCACCAGGCCACCTCCCACACTTGGAGTCACAGTGATCTGACGACCTTGACTTGGGATCAAAGTACGCGCTTTTAGTGAACAGCTGACGCGCTTCTCACGTACATTCGCTTTCAGTTTACGATGAAATGTGGCGTGTGGAACGTGAGGTTTTCATTGTTCTTCAAAAATCATTTTCGCTTATCTCCTTTCTGCAGAGGCATTGTAGAGGATAGTCGGTGCCGTTCCGGCTTTCATGCGTCCACGTTCGTTGATTTATCTGCGATTCGGAATGCTGTTTAGTCATATGGTCTTTTCGATTTTGAAGCGTACGACAACTCATAATCTACTCAGAGACGTCTCTTATATCCGGGGCCAGAAACTGGTCATCTGGGACTTTGAGTGAGTCCATAGTTTCTGTCAAAATATTCGTTTGTGTTGAGAACCGGAGTACCCTACTGCCGCTGAACAAGACCATCAGTACATTGTATTATCTCTTGGTATGTGTGTTCCTTCTGATTTCTCTGTTGCTTTTAGAAACCACAGTGTAAGGAATACTTGTAAGCGTGATATGTCGACATCGAGTTCATGCCGCATCAGCCATCAAGTTCTTCTTACGTCATTGACCGGCTCCAGGCCGCTGGGTATAATCTCGTAACCCCTGCGGAATGCCTGGGAGAGGCGCCGTATCAGAGCGTGGGCGCACCTGGAACACCCGATGTAAGCTACGCAGCGATTGTCGTCTTGCATAGTCACTAATATCATGATTCCAGGCTTCGTGGACGTGCTGAGATGCGCGCTGCTGCGGAGTCGACTTTACGACATTAAGCGCCTTTAAATAAGAACATTCTTCTTCTCTTCGTATTCGTCTTATTTTTCCTGTAAACGTTTCCCCGCACATTATTTTTGGCATTCATTGGATGCTGTACTTATGTAGCACCGACTTCATAAACTTGCCACCTCGTGTGAACAAAGATGCCGGCAAAGCGGGCCGTTATCCCGTTTGACGAGGAAAATGCTCGTGACTTTGTTCTTGTCGAAAACGATGTCGATGGCCTCTTCTCGTATCCCTAAGCCGCAGCCTTCTACTCCTACAAAATCCCGGATCAGCACCCCCGTCAGAAATAGCACACCGCCAACCAGAACCCGTATAAAGTCCACGACGCGCTCGACGACGCCTTCCAAACTCAAGGCACAAGAAGATACACCGCTGCCACCGCCGCCGCCGTTGAGCATCAAGGAGGCGATTGCGCTGAAACGAGCAGAAGCTAAGAAGGCTAAAAGCGCAGGTGGCTTGGATAATCTAGGCTCTCTTGAAGATGCGATCCCTACGGCGTCAAATGTGGCCCCAGAAGAGGATTTGCTAGGTCGGCTGTCTGTCAAGGAGACAATAGAGCGTGCAAGGAGTACAGGTAACAAATTTGTATTCATTTCTATGTCTTTCTGGACTCTTAAGGCGATTGTTACAAGGTACTCTAAATCTTTCGACACGCTCGTTGCCGTGCATTCCTTCAATTCTATTCGAGATACATCTTCGCGTTACGCCTGGGCCTCTCACGTCTGTCCCCGATGAGCCGTCGTTTGCATCAGAGTCATCCTCGGCTCCAAGACGCGGTGGAAAATATGATGCTCCGGCGTGGTTCGAAGGTCAGGACTTGAGGGTTCTCAAAGTCGGGAACAATGCGATTGCAGAAATTCAACATGAGATTTCTATGTTTGGCTCTCTTAAGGTCGTTGATGTGCGTCAATTACTTCTCGTAGGATAGTCTCTAATGACACACAATGTAGCTACACAAGAATAAGCTCCTCTCGTTACCAGATACCCTTGGAGACTTGTCTTCCCTAACAATTCTAGATTTGTCCCACAATGCTCTCTCAGTCTTGCCTCCCACTATCTTTTCCCTTCCCGAATTGACGACCCTAAATCTCGCTCACAACCAGCTGCCATCTCTGCCGTTCAATGCTCCCTTCTCCGATAGAAACTCCCGTATCAGATACACAAGCACTGATCCCTTCGCCCCTGTAGTGAATCGCTCCATAACACCTTTACCGCGTCTCATCACCCTTGATGTGTCCCACAACAAACTTGCCTCAGATGTCATGGATATTCCTAATATACCTACAGCATTGACCAAGCTTGATATCTCATCAAATCCACTTGGCATTCATAACTCCGCTACTCGCCAACTTCTACAAAAGTTAGGGACTTTGTCTGGTTTGAAAGAACTCAGACTTGACCATGCAGAAATTGGTGATGATGCATTTCCTCCTGATTTCTCGAGTGGACCTATATTTCCCCAGCTTCACCTTCTGGACGTTGGAGAAACAGCGGTGACAATGGATGCCATTAAAGTGGCCCTGAAAGGCCTTAAACAGAATATCTCGTACGATTTGACGATGGAAGAGCCATGCGAAGGTACAATTCGCGTTCTAGTTGGCAAGAAGATCATCCGAGAACAATGGGAACTAGAAGCGGAGAGAAGGGCACAATCCAGGTTCGTCAGAAATGCCCAGCCCAGCGACGGAACGGAGTTGAAGACCTCAGCATCTGAGAAGATCAAGACTGCGAAGGAGAGTTGGGAAATGGAAGCAGAGCAAGGGTTACTTACAGAGGGTGGCAAACGTCGTGCTCGAGCACAAGCTGCTGCTGCTGTCGTATCAAAGTCTGCGCCTCTATTCTTGTCTAAGCCGCCAGCACCGGCAGTTAAAGAGGCATGGGAAATTGAGGCCGAACAGGGCCTTCTGACGGAAGGAGGAAAACGTCGAGCCCGGGCTGCTGCTGCTCAGACTCCTTCGAGCAAACCGTCTTCGGGTCAATCTGCCTTTTCCTTAGCAAATTCGCAGTGTTATTCCGAAGCCACCCAGACTCTCATTCTACCTCCTTCTGCGCCACCTCCGAAGTCAGCTCATTCACGGACTTTTTCCCTCGCCTTACATACTTCACCCTCTTCATTGCTTTCGCGGACTGATATCGCTATACCGACTCCGACCCTCCCCTTGGCCTCAATTGTGACAGAGGCCTTCGCTGAGAACCTGAAGGTGCTTGTCCTGGTAAATCGTCGAATGGACCGCTCCTTTAGCTTACCCACTGGGGAAGGGCCTTTCCTACCACATCTTGAAGAATTGAACCTAGAAGGATGCAGCCTCGCTGATCAAGTTCCTGTGTCCCACCCAGGCTCTGACACTACCACTCCCAATTGGACGAACGAATCACTTTTGCCGCTCATCGCAAAACTTTTTCCAAGTCTTCAAACTCTCAAACTTTCGTATAATGTCATTTCGAGCTCTTGTCTGACAACCGACGCATTGTCTTCCCTCATTCTGTGTACGTCTCAACGGAAGGGACTGAAGCGTCTTGAGTTACGCGGCAACAAGATCACTACGCTTGAGGGCTTACAGGGCATTACGGAGCTGTTTAAGGGACATCGAGACGTTCCAGGATGGAAGTTGGACGAGCTGGACTTGAGAGATAATGAAATTGGGAAGCTTCCACCTGAGCTGGGATTGTTGCCGTTGGATGTTTTCTTGGTTGATGGCAACTTGTGAATCTCCATGACAGTCCCGTTATGCTTTGTCTGAACTGAGCTTTCTAGGTTCCGTGTTCCCACAAGAAGGGTTTGGGAACGTGAAGGCACAAAGGGGCTTCTGAGCTGGCTGAGGGGACGTATTGAGTAGGTATGTAGAAATGTAGAAGTTCCTTCAGTTGATTTATTTAGGTGGGAAGGCTTTTATAATGCAATCAACATATATTTATTGAACCCGAAGGCAGTAGTGACCTCCTTTTCATAAACTTAGTAATGGACAGCCTCCTATTCTAGTATCCCTCTGGAAAGCCGTGCTCTTCGTACGGAAAAATTCGTCTACCACGAATGACGGCCTTAACTTCTATACTGACAGAATGAATGGGCAATGTATGTTGGTCGTAAGATTCGCACAGACTATGTAGTTACATGTCTGGGATGAGAACTACCCTGTGCGCCCTGATTTCTATGTTGAGGAGGGAAGTGTGGCAACTCCCCTAATGTCAGTTCCCGGCTCCCTGAATGAACGTCAGAACAGTTCTCCAGACAACCTGAGTCATCCAGAGGCTGAGTGATTATGAACACTTACTGCCCATCCCGATCACAAATGCTCATTGTCAAATTATGTTTTGCTGTCTTTCATCTTTGGTGATAGTGTTGGATTGTGAAATGTCACATATACTCAGGATCTTCAGTTGCTGAGTGTCAAGCAAGGAAGAGTGTTCTCCTCAGACTTCATTCCATTTACTTCATAACATTGATTCAATCTGTTAGTGTACAGATGATATAGATAAATAGGTAGCCAGAATTTGATGATCCTCGTAACACGCGAGGGTTCCCTGCTGATATCTGGGTGAGCAGCTGGAGCATTACTGTTTATCTCGACAGATATTGTTCTGTCTGGTGCTTTACCCTTGGCAGACAGATGGTTCCGCCACTGCTCCTAGTTACACAATCAACAGCCAACTCATTAAACTGGAGCTATCTTTGAGGTCAGCAGCTGAGCCATTCGCTTGCTCATCGCAGTGTACGTAAACTAGACTTGTGGGGAAGTACAACGTGCGCTTATTTCTCCTGTCACCTACTATGATGGGCCCCAAGACTAAGAAAACTCCATCTCCCTCTCTGACTTGTACAACCCTACTGAAAGATGAGGAAACCAGGCGTCCTAAGCCACGAAGACATGGAAACCCGAAGGAACGCTGTCAGATGCACCACAAGCAGTACATGACACTGACGAAGAAATACAAAAAGGCCGCACAACTTGTTTACGAGATGCTTGGTGGGGCAATGATTCCCACCAAGGCAGAGATCTTATTGTACAACAGCATACACAATACATTAGAGAAGGCGTGCTTGATGAAGAAGTACGTCAGTGCTATCAGGGAGGAAGACACAACCAATCTTTCGTATGATCTACGAAGCATCAGAAACCATATCAGTCTCTGCGGTGTCCTCATCACCGACATGGTCAATATGCGATGTCCGAAACTTCCTATTGAGCCATTCCCGAGTACAAAACCAGTCTCTCACCCGGGCTACAGGATGTGGGCTAATGTAGAATTTCGGTCATACACATTTGGCGCAGTTCGCAACGAGCCCGGCAGCTTTACTGATGCCTTTCTGGAGGAGCTTCGTGGTAGACTGGACATGTTTTATGTCATAACACGCTCAGAGACTGTACCGGGCAGGGACATTGAGACCTTTGGGACTGTGTCCGCCCAAACGAAACTCGTTATGATGTTCGAAGCACGCATAGATGCTTCCGCTCCGAAAGCTCAGGGAGTGGTCCGTTATGCGAAGTGCGGTCGAAATTCTATACGGTACGGGAGAAGCCAAACCTGCCAAAGGACTGGAATGGCTTGGACGTGTGCCAGGAATGGTGGGTTACCTGACGGCTTTGGATCGTCCCAAAAGTGCAGGATGGTTTTTCCACTTCAAAAAAATTTCCAGTGAAGTATTTCGTAATAATGGATGCAGAACCAATCGCCATGTTTCGCATTTGATGAGAAATGTAGCTTGGGCTGCTTCTCGCACACAGGGCCTAGCAACAGGGAACTATGACGCGAGGATATATGCAAGGGCGTCAGACAAGTTGGTGCAAGCCCATGCTTCTAAGCGTTTGTTATTTCTCCCTTCAGATAGCTGGTATGTTGGACGTCTACAGGGTACCTATTGAATTTGTATCATCAAAATGTAGTCAACTTGTTTGTTAGGGTATCTTGGTTCTATATCTACCTGATTATCCTATGTTCATGATGGTTGAAACCTCTTCGTTCCCACATTCGCCTTTTACGCTGCTGTTATATCGCGTATCCTCTCTTCTCGTCACGATACTTAATCCCAGCATACCGTTAGTGGAGATTACTGCATCTTTTCGACCTCTTTCTCAACTGAAACCAATGTGCTTTCGTCGAGGTCTTCAGAGAGGCCTGTTCCCACTATGGAGGTGAGCCAGGTTTCAGTTCTAGTGGAGTAGACATCATATAGGAAGTATGGCGCCGATGTTTTACAAGTTAAAAAAAAAACCAATTCCACAGATACGAAGGCACACCATACGTTCATAAAACCAAACGTCAAGAACATCATACACTAAGCACATTCTTCCATCTTGAACCTCCTACTTCACTAAGGACCCTTTCCACTTCACTCTGTTCCAGGTTCAGGATGATCTTCCTATCTCCTTCCGCCTTCCTCGACGCACCAAACCCATCTTCTATAAGTATGGCCCGAGACGCTATCAGCGATTCCAGCACAATATTGAGCTCGTGTGCTGTAGGCTTTCGTGTCGGATCAGACTCAGAAGTGAGCACGTTCATGTAGATCAGGTGTTGGTGTTGAACCTTTGACTACATTAGGTTTGATTACATTGAACATAAACATGCGTCACCTACCTCACCCCATTTGATCTCTTCCACACCCTCACGCTTGACGCATTTTACCAGTGCCGCGAGCATCAACCGTTCATGGAAGCTGCAGTCCCGCAGATAGGCAGCCGTCGGACTGTTCTGCATAACACTTATTACCTCCTTAACCGTAGGTAAAGAGGCCGTTTTCTTTTCCGGACGAACAGTTTCTACAGAGCGTCTAAAAGGTACATTGTCAGTGATACCTTCTTCAGACAACTGAATAATGTACCGGCAAATATCCAATACCCTCCGAGCATCACCGCTGATTGCGCTCACTTTCATGGCCGCGAATTTGATTCCATCCTTATTGATGACATCGGGGGTTTCATCCCCAAGACTTTTCTTAGCACTTTCTAGCCTCGCATTGACGATCTCCGTCAACTGCGCGACCTTGTACGGCTTGAAGTTGATACGAACCATTCCTATGTTCTAATGAATAATTGTTAAGGGGACAAAACGATAGATACTTACCCAATCGACTCCTGACTCTTCCTGTCATTACTCGTTCTGGAAGATCCATGGTATTTGCAACAGCGATGACGACAAGCTGACTTCCGGCGATGGTAGGCCAGTTAAAAAAGTTGTAAACGACATCCTGCCTTGCTGTGACGAGTTGATCTAGTTCGTCCATCAAAACGACGCTGCAAGATGTTTAATCGAGTTAGACTTGGCTGTAGTCGATGAAACGATGACTCACCATGCATGGCCTCCAGGACCTTTGGCATATCTACAAGCAAAGTAATTCGTCAATGCTTTGAGACTTTCTTTAGCACTGATTTGCAGATGTCCGTCTTTCTTAACATCATGTCCAGAAATGCTCTCCCATAGCACGTTATAAGCAGTGCTAGGTTCGGGAATCCGAAGCCCATTAATCTCAACATAAGTAAATGGATTAATCTCCTATTTGATTGTTAAAAGAGACGTCGATGACGGTAAAGAGGAACGTACACTGGCTTCTGCCAACTTTTTCAGCTCGCGAACAACCGCATGTATTGTTGCCGTCTTTCCTGTACCAGGGACGCCCGATATATCTGAATATCCGTTTGAAAGAAGGTCACCGCATTAATATGAAAACTCACAAATACACCCACCACTACTTTCCTCCAAGAGGTCCCGCACGCTGCGAAGAACGTGCTGATATTCGCCATCTCTGCATGGCAAAGCATCTGGACGACTGCCCACATGTAAAGCATGCATTGCGCGCAACCACGGATCCTCTGGCAGGGCGTTGATAAAGTTATCGGCAACGTAGGGTACCTGCAGAAGTCTCGTGAACTTTTGACGTTTCTTGGGCGAGGATTGTGCTCTTCGAGCTAGAGCGGCTTTCGAATGAGGGGTAGGTTGAGCAATGGCTCGTGTTAGGCGTTTTCGAGGCGTCGTTGCAGCATTCTGTTTCCGCTTTCTGTTTGGTGTCCTGGGTTCCTCGTAATCCTCTTCGTCGAAGATTTCTTCCTCTTCTTCGCTTTCTGCTGTCCCTGCGACTGGAAGCTCATCGTCATCGTCAGCATCGTTCGACGATTCTACGTAGGCATCGTCAGAATGGTCGTCGCTGAATTCGTCTGTTCCTGGAACTACGTCTTCTCGTCCCTTCCCACGCGGCTTCGGCTTACTTGGGAAGGCATCTACCAAGACTCTCCAAAATTCACCGGATGCCCGTTGGTCCCTTGTTCCACGGTTCATAGCGGCCAGCGCCGCTTTATGATGATTTCTCCAGCAAAACGTATAATATAGTCCACGGCGAGAATTCACTGCGAATCGACAGATGAAGCTTTGCTGTGAGCCTTCCCCATCACTATCGGCTATGATGCAGTCAGTAAGTACGGGGAACATAGTGAATGGAACTGACCGCTGTCTTCCCCCTTCGGTAAAATGTCGTGAATAACACAATGCCGTATTATAGCTTCAGGTGTGTCCAAGATCACACTTTCCGAGAGAGTGTAATATATCTCATTCTACAACCAACCCATCAGTTAAACAGCAGATGGCGCAAACGTGAATGTGCACCTCGTAAGCTTCCCGTTTAGCGCGTACACTAGGCAATTCTTTGGGCCTCAAAAACCAATGTACCCGAACGTACATGTCCTTTGACAGCATCTCCTTACCGGTCTCGCCCAGATCAGTCTCCCATAATGCAGTTATGACTGCAACGCTAGGATATCTGTTATTTCCGTTGGAAACGAGGACCGTGTCTCCGACTTGAAATGTCTCGATGTTCTTTATAGCCTCTTTCGCCGACGCCTTTTTCTTTCCGTATGACTTCTTCGTAATTGTTGGTCTCCTTCGTTGGAAAGCATCGTAAAACAGCGTCGTCTTTTCTTGCCTTTCCACTTCATCGAGTCTCTCCCATTCTTCGCGATCTTCAAGTCGGAGATCTAGTTCGGCATTGAGTGGGTGAACGTGCGTTGGGCTGCCACACCAAGAAAGGTCGAAAATCCCCGATGTTGCGGTCGTAACGAGGGGCTGTCCTCGCTTTGAACGACGTGTAGGTGTCTTTGGCTCAGTAACGTCGGATTTTCGTGGAGGCATGAAGCCAAGATAATACCAGTCTGTCACACGAGGTAAAACTATCACGTGATATGTGACGAGCGCGACAAATTAGGGGTTATCATATAGTATATACTGTATAATATACTCAGCATAAATTACAGCTATCACAATGTCAAAGTTGAATACACTCAGATGAAAGGAAATTTTGAAAAAGAAATTGAGCCATCCTGAGGAGAATCAGCTGAATCAGATTCCTCTTCATATACTAAGAGTTGAACGAATGTTCTAGGTATTGATGCTTAGTATGAATCTGCATGTGACATCATCTATAAATGACTCTTGACTTGGCCATCACCCAGTCTGAAGCTGTAGTCAATACCTCTGAGAAACATAAAAGGCTGATTCAGATGTTGAATGTTCTTGAGGTGCTGACTCCTGCATTGATGATTTGCTGGGAAAGTGAAGGAAAGACAAATTGAGCCACACACAAATCATTCCATTCATGCACTTAACTCACCAAGTAATATGGTAAATGTTTGATGAGCTGTGAATTTAGTCACATCTTTGAGAAAATGCAGCTGTTTATATTCCTCAGAAAAGTCCAGACAATTATGTTGGACATACAGTTGACTATCTCACAATGCATATGGTCGGAAGACACCAAAACCGTATGCATTTATAGATTTATGCAGAACCAAAATGGCATGTGATGCGACATGTGACTTTATGTGACAATGTCATCATTGCCTCAAAATGCTGTCAGTGGCTTTTGGGTCAGCTTTCCATGCATCTCCTTGAATAATGCCTCTCTCAACTTCCTCAGCTGTGGTACTAATCCACTCTGATCACCTTGTGAAACACAAAATGCCTCCAGCTTTTGAATAAGCTCAAATTCTTCCCTTGTAGTTATCAAGGTCTGTTCTTCCTCACCCTCCTCTTCCTCTTCTTCCTCCTCATCATTGTCAATGACAGTTATTTCTCCATTTTCTACTGCAATATCATGCTTGACAGCAGCAACAATCTCCTCATCTGTTGGCATCACCTCAAGATCTTCAGTATACTCTTCTGCAATAGAGTTAACCATCTCTTCAATGGTTGAAATGAGACCAAACATGCAATTTCATTGTTTCAATTCGACAAGATGGTCCTTCAACATTATCTCTGCTGTCTAGAGCTATTGAATGAGGGCAATTTGAGTGAGAGATGTGTTCATTTTTGACTGTGACGAAGAAGCCAACTGATTGACTGCCTCCAGTGCTTTATCAACATTGTTTTCTGCATTCATAACAGCCATAAGAGCAGGATGCCAGTCAGCATCAGCATATTGGTTTTTAAGCAGATTCTGCAATGCCTGTTCGATCCCTGGAAGCATGTATTTGTCTGTTGAGGCAAAGTCATGAACAAGGTTCTATGCAGACTTGAGGAGTGAGGCATTTTGGAAATCATTGGATAGTGTGGTAGACTGTGATTTGAGTGCATTGTCAGGTATTATACCAGTGTGTTTTCAGCAGTTTGCTATTGTTTCACTGCTGACATTTGCCTAAGCATCACAAGCAATAGTCATAGCTTCAAAGAGATCAAGCTTAAAGATCTCAGACTCTCCAAGATCATCAAGATCAAGTGTATAGATACACATGGCATTTTGATAATGTGCCTTAAAGCAGCAGATAATACTAGCATCTAGTGGCTGAACATATGAAGTCATATTAGGCTCAAAGAACTCCAGCTTTGTGTTATGGGATGTATAAGCGATGGAATGCTCTCAAAAGTTGTTCAAGGTCAGCAGAACCTGCCGCATCTTCCTCTTCATCTTTAAATCAAACATCTTCACCCACTCCATAAATATTTTGCTCATCATCTAGGCCTTTTTGTTATTCTGATAATAGAATCCCATTGCCGTTGGACTCTTTTCTTGAAACACTATGGTTGCTTTGACTTGCTAATAAAAACAACTGACATCCACTCACTCCCATCTGCATTCACAGCAAAACACATGGTGATATGGAACTTGTCCTGTTTTCATCCACTTATAGGACTAGATGCCAAGGTATGATCTGGGATGGCAAAGATGACAAGACCGGATTCATCAATATTTTATCTGTCCCACATCGTATATTTCACCATAATGCTGTGAAGATGCACATGTTCTTTTTCCACTGCCATTATATCCACTGAGCCTGCTTCTCCATGCCACTGAACCTCCTGAATCTTCCATGCCTTGCAGAATGATCTCAACCATCCCTCTCCTTTCAAACACTGATCCTCTGAAATATTCATCAGATTTTCAATCTGATTTCACTTCTCTATTAGCATTGCATCAGTCACAGTTTTATCTCAGAGCTGCATGTTCTGATACTAGGATGCAACAGCATGCTCCACATTAGGTCAGATGACAATATGAGACTTTTTAGATGATAGTGCATTAAAGTTCTCGTTTGCATGCTGTTCGATTTTTGTATGAGATGTCAGTTTCCATGAAAGAGTTGATTGGGTAAAGAGCAGTGCACCTTCCTTTCAGTTTGCAAAATGTGCCACAATGTCAGCATGTCGATGGGAAGAATGGTTATCAACATGTTTGAATACTATGAGCCAGTCTCCTGTTGTAAGGTGTGGGTGGGAGATCTGCTTTGGAGACTGAGCTGATGATATGTATATTGGGACTTTCTTCTTCTGTTTTGTATGCTCATATGGATTTCCAGGTTTAGCACATGGTTTTCATGTTGGTTCAGGAGGCATGTTTATAGAGATATAGGCTGTGTTACTTTACAATAATTTTTTTTATATTTGTCATAGTCCATACAAACAAATTACAGTTGACTATCTCACAATGCATGATGTCGAAATGCATAATTCTGACTTTGCATATGGATTGGGCTGGAACGCAGTTGGGGAGCAGGGAAATGGGCTAGAAATGCATATCGCATAATGCATATGGTTCTAGTTAGGAATATGCATTGTCAGATCGAAAATTATAGTAAGCCGATATGACATTATGCATATATTAGAACAATAAAGAACATAATTTGTTTGTATGGACTATGACAAACACAAAAAAAATTATTGTAAAGCGACGCAGCCTATATCTCTATAAACATACCTCCTGAACCAACACAAAAACCACGTGCTAAACCTGGAAATCCATATGAGCGTACAAAACAGAAGGAGAAAGTCCCAATGTACACATCATCAGCTCAGCCTCCAAAGCAGATCTCCCGCCCACACCTCACAACAGGAGACTGGCTCGTAGTATTCAAACACGTTGATAACCATCCTTCCCATCGACATGCTGACATTGTGGCACATTTCGCAAACTGAAAGGAAGGTGCACTGCTCTTTACCCAATCAACTCTTTCATGGAAACTGGCATCTCGTACAAAAATCGAACAGCGTGCAAACGAGAACCCTAATGCACTATCATCCAAAAAGTCTCGTATTGTCACCCGACCTGATGTGGAGCGTGCTGTTGCATCCTGGTATCAGAACATGCAGCTCCGAGATGAGACTGTGACTGGTGCAATGCTGATAGAGAAGCGAAATCGGATTGAAAATCTGATGAATATTCCAGAGGATCAGTGTTTGAAAGGAGAGGGATGGTTGAGGTCATTCTGCAAGGCATGGAAGATTCAGGAGGTTCGGCGACATGGAGAAGCAGGCTCAGTGGATATAATGGCAGTGAAAAAAGAACGTGTGCGTCTTCACAGCATTATGGCAAAATATGCGATGCGGGACAGATGGAATATTGATGAATCCGGTCTTGTCATCTTTGCCATCCCAGATCGTACCTTGGCATCTGGTCCTATGAGTGGACGAAAACAGGACAAGTTCCGCATCACCATGTGTTTTGCTGTGAATGCAGATGGGAGTGAGCGAATGCCAGTTGTTTTCATTGGCAAGTCAAAGCAACCACGGTGTTTCAAGAAAAAGAGTCCAACGGCAATGGGATTCTATTATTGGAATAACAAGAAGGCCTGGATGACGAGCGAAATATTTATGGAGTGGGTGAAGATGTTTGATTTAAAGATGAAGAGGGAGATGCGGCAGGTTCTGCTGACCTTGGACAACTTTCGAGGGCATTCCATCGCTTATACACCCCATAACACAAAGCTGGAGTTCTTCGAGCCCAATATGACTCCATATGTTCAGCCGCTAGATGCTGGTATTATCCGCTGCTTCAAGGCACATTATTGGAATGCCATGTGTATCCGTGCACTTGATCTCGATGATCTTGGAGAGTCTGAGATCTTCAAGCTTGATCTCCTTGAAGCTATGACTATCGCTCGTGATGCTTGGGCAAATGTCAGCAGTGAAACGATAGCAAACTGCTGGAAACACACCGGTATAATGCCTGACAATACACCCGAGTCACAGTCTACCACACCATCCAATGATTTCCAAGCTGCCTCACTCTTCAAGTCTGCATGGAACCTTGTTCATGACTTTGCCTCAACAGACAAATACACGCTTCCAGGGATCGAACAGGCATTGCAGGATCTGCTTGGAAACCAATATGCTGATGCTGACTGGCGTCCTGCTCTTATGGCTGTTATGAATGCAGAGAACGATGTTGGTAAAGCACTGGAGGCAGTCAATCAGTTGGCTTCTTCGTCACAGTCAAAAATGAACACACCTCCCACCCAAATTGCCCCCATTCAACAGCTCCAGACAGCAGAGATAATGTTGAAGGACCATCTTGTCGAATTGAAACAACGAAATCGCATGTTTGGTCCCATTCCAACCATTGAAGAGATGGTTAACTCTATTGCAGAAGAGTATACTGAAGATCTTGAGGCGATGCCAACAGATGAGGAGATTGTTGCTGCTGTCAAGCATGATATTGCAGTAGAAAATGGGGAAATAACTGTCATTGACAATGATGAGGAGGAAGAAGAGGAAGAGGAGGGTGAGGAAGAACAGACCTTGATAACTACAAGGGAAGGATTTGAGCTTATTCAAAAGCTGGAGGCATTTTGTGTTTCACAAGGTGACCAGGGTGGATTAGTACCACAGCTGAGAAAGTTGAGAGGGGCATTATTCAAGGAGATGCATGGAAAGCTGACCCAAAAGCCACTGACAGCATTTTGGGGAAATGACGACGTTGTCACATAAAGTCACCTGTCACATCACATGCTATTTTGGTTCTGCATAAATCTATAAATGCATATGGTTTTGGTGTCTCCCGACCATATGCATTGTGAGATAGTCAACTGTACATTCTTTATTGTTCTAATATATGCATAATGTCATATCAGCTTACTATAATTTTTGATCTGACAATGCATATTTCTAACTAGAACCATATGCATTTCTAGCCCATTTCACTGCTCCTCAACTGTGTTCCAGCCCAATCCATATGCAAAGTCAGAATTATGCATTTCGACATTATGCATTGTGAGATAGTCAACTGTATGTTGATTTCAAGTGCTGAATTGAATGTAAATTCCTCCAGTAGCAATGATTAGGCTCCAGTAAATTTGAACCAAGAGGACTTTTGGGCTTGAAATTTGAGGGTAAACATGCAATATATTTTGGGAACTGCTATTGATGGTTATAGAGATGCTTTGGTGTTGGGATTTGCTGGAAAGTTCTAGAAAGGACAATCCAGCATCATGCCAAGAGTTGATGAGTAAGCTCGAGAGAAAGAGAAAGTTGTAGTAAATTCTAGATATAAGTCTGGAGAGTATAAATACAAACTCTGTAGGAGCTGTAGAATAAGAAGTTGATACCTTCTGGCCTTACCAGCCTGGAGTCTACCCTGCGCAACACCGAGGATTTCCAACATTTGGAGAGGTGCCTTTGAAGCAAGAGTCAAGACGAGAGAAAACAGGATGGGCAAGGGAAAGCTGTTAGTCAACATGAGCAAACAAATGTCATTATTTGCTAATTTCGCAAGTACTCTGCCATCGTTCCGTGATTCAGTTCAAGTAGAACGACATTATCTCTCCACACCCCCTTTTAAAAAGCATGGACACTCCCGAAGAGGCTGGACCTACTGGACGTACTGTTGACATCGAACTTGGGAGCGGTCAAGAGGTCATCACTATCGATTTGGAGGACTTGGACCCGAATCCCAAGGATGTGTTGGATTTGCTGAATGAAGGGCATCCGAGTGTCTGGGTATGGACGAAGCTCGCTGCTGAATATTGGAGAAAAGGGTACCTGGAGGCAGCCGAGTTGATTGCGACCACAGCAATACAGGGTATGCCTTTGATGCAGAGTGTTCGAGAGAACTTGTGTTAACCCTTGTGTAGTCGTGACAGCCGATGGGTTTCCCGCTACCCTGCCACCCATATATGCACTTCTAGCCAACATTCAGGTGGCCAACGCTCGGACAGCGCCAAAGATAGTGTTACACAACGCCGGTGAGTGTATGCATCTTTTTTAGGATCTTTCCTGGACCCATGATGTGATTGTCAGAGCAGGACATATTGGCCAGTGCGAAAACGAAGGACGATTTTCACCGTGAAGCAGCTCACCATTTGAACAAGGGTGACCGGTTAAGTTATACAGAGGGGGGGTCTATGATTAGTGGAACACTTGCGTTTTTGACTCGAGGTATGGATTCTCTTGAAAAGCCCCAGCCTGTAGCTTAGGTCCTACAGGTATCCAGCAGCTAGCTACCCGCTCTATGGATGATGCCATGCGTTCGTTTGAAGGGGTTTTAGTGGAGAAACCGACCAATGTTGTTGCTCTACTCGGAAAGGTCAGAATACCGTCATCTTGTGTCTACAGTCATTGACGTCAGCAGGCCCGGATTCTGTATGCGCGTAGAAACTATCCTCTGGCGTTGCAGACATTCCAGAATGTTCTACGGATGAGTCCCCGCTGTCAACCAGATCCTCGCATTGGTATAGGTTTGTGTCTTTGGGCCTTAGATGACAAGGCGAAGGCGAAAGCCGCCTGGCAGAGAAGTTTGGAAGTGGTGAGTGCTTTCCTTTCTTGCCTGCTAACACCGAACTAATCTTCAAAAGAATCCTTCAGAGTGGGCAGCCCAGCTTCTTCTGGGTTTGGAGTCCATAAATGCAAGTAAGAGTGATCATCCCTCCGAATCAACACGTGTCCATCTGTTCACGATGGGAACAAAGTACATCGAGAAAGCCTTTCAGCAATCTACTCGAAATAATGCAGCAGCTGCTAATGCACTATGCGAATTCTTCCTTCAGAAAGGCGACGTGACGAGGGTACGTCCATAAGTGGCCAACATCATATCTATCTCATATATCATGACAGAGCCTGAAGCTAGCTGAACGTACCATTCAGTTCGCCGATACGTTAACAATTCTGACGGAGGGGTACATACGAGCTGGTCGTGTTGCACATGCCCAAGGATCTCTCGCCCAGGCTCACAAACATTATTCGGTTGCCCTTGAAGGGCAGCCCAAGAATATACTGGCAAGCATAGGATTAGCACAGATCCAGATCAGTAGTGGTTCGTAAGCGTCATCATTTTCCATTTTACACTATTGAATTTCGCGTAGATGAACTGGCGGCGGCTATCCACACGCTTGATACTCTTATCCAACGTCCCAACCCTCAGGATTCTCTGGAGGCTACGCTCATACTGGCATCTTTGCGTGCTTACCCTCGACCAGGCGTGTCGAGTTCAGATATCGCCCAGGAGAAAATGCGCGCTCGGGAACTCTTCGAACGCGTCAGTAAGCGGCTGGAAATGGACGAAACGAAAGCAAACGGACGGACTAGACCCAAGGTATCTCCTGTTATCAGCGAAGACATGGACATGTATGTTGAGATTGCAAGGCTATGGCAAGACGAGAACTTGGATAAAACTGTTGCTGCATTAGGAGAGGCGTTGAAGATCAGCAGCTTGTCGGCCAGTGTAGGCCAAGTCGATGTTCAGCTGTTAAACAACCTCGGTGTGCTGCGTCACCTTACGGAGCAGTTGCCGGATGCCAGAACATTATACGAGAATGCCCTTATCAAGGCGGCTGGGCTTGGTCCTGATATTGGCGAGGGCGTGTCAACATCCATTTTGTATAACCTTGCCAGAGTCTACGAGGACCAGGGAGAAGATGGGTTGGCGAAGGATGCCTATGAGAAGTTGCTTTCACGACATCCGGAGTATGTTGACGGTAAAATTCTCTCTGGCCTTTGTTTTCGCTACAAGTTTGACACAATTTCCTAGCCAAAATACGGCAGGCACAAATGCTCACTAATTTGCGACGCAATATCGACGCACATGACCTTCTGAAGCAGGCGCTAGCATCACAGAATAAGGACCTCAATGTCCGCGCATTCTATACCTATTTCCTAATTCAAAGTGGCTTGCCTAAGCTGGCGAAAGATTTCGTGTTCACGACTCTGAAGGATCACGACAAACACGATGTCTACTCTCTTTGTGCGGCCGGTTGGATTATGTATCAGCAATCTCGAGAAAGTCGAGATGCTACATCCAAGGGTACCGACGATCGGCGCCGTGGATTCCAGCGTTCTGCCGAATTCTATGAAAAAGCTCTGTCGCTGGATCCCCTTTGTGCATTCGCAGCTCAGGGTTTGGCCATCGTCACAGCAGAAGATGCTCTCGGTACTTTAAGTGGGGGACAACCTTTGTCGAATACGGATGAAGCTCTGAAACGACTGCATAACTCGCGTGAAGCTCTTGACGTCTTCGGAAAGATTCGAGAGTCACTGAACGATGGTAGTGTGTACTTCAACATGGGGCATTGCTATTATTCTCGTGATGAATATGACCGAGCGATTGAAAGTGTAAGTTTCGCTATCATCTACGAGGCGACGAGCTTATATTATCGGATCCAGTATGAAACAGCTTCTACACGTTTCTACCATGGCCAAAATGTGTCAGTGCTTCTGTGTCTCTGTCGTTCATGGTACGCCAAGGCAACAAAAGATCAGTCGTATAAGGCGATGACTACGGCACTACATTATGCTCAGAAAGTAAATATTCCCCCTATTATCTATTTTGTGGCTGGCTCATATGCTCATATAGGCCTTGCATATACAACCTAATGACAAAGCCATTCTTTACAATATTGCCATGATTCAACAGAAATCAGCTGAGATGCTCTTTGCCATTGATCCTTCAAAACGGACCTTGAAAGACTTGCGCCGCGTAATTAACCAGGCAGCTCACGCACAAAAGTTGGTGTATATGATGACCACGGATTGTCGTTCTTACACTTGTTCATAGAATCTTTGGCTCTCTTGCTTCGGACAAATCAGAAAATGTACCATATAGTCGCGACATTGCCGATCAAAGACGAAAGTACGGCGATAGCATGCTCCGGAAAGGCGATGAACATCTAGCCAACCAGAAGCTGTATGAAGATCGTGCACAAGCTAAACTGTCCGATGCACGGCAGAAACGGCAAGAGGAGAGGGATCGAATGGAAGCACAACAGGTTGTATCATCATTTTTTTAATAATATTTATACTGACTGCGAGTAGCGCGAGAGGGCCGAGCGAGAACGTTTAGCGGCGGAAGAGCTGGCAGGGAAAAGACGACTTGCACGTGAGCAAGCTCAAGCCTGGTCCAGGGATTTGGTACGTATGGACAGCGATGACGAGAAGGAGAAGCGACCGAAGAAGTCAAGAAAGGCTAGGGGCGAGGGGCCCGCAGCTAGTGGAGATGAGGCAGAGCCTAAGAAAAAACGGAGAGGAAAGCTTAGGAAAAACAACGAACAGGCTAATGGGGAAGGAGATGGGGATGAACCCATGGCCGCGTTTAGTGATGATGAGGAGGTAGAGAAACCCAAGAAACGTCCAGCAAAAAAACGAGTCGTGAGAGATGACGATGACGACGAGACGGCCGGTGGTCCTCGGAAAAAACAATTGTATGTTTCTTTTCTGTCCTATTAATTCTGTCAGACTGCTCATGGTTCGATCTCTTATAGTAAGAGCAAGGAGATGCTCTCAGATACTGACGAAGAGGAGATGGATGTGCCATGATTCTGCCTATGTTTATTCTGTTGTCTGTACGTTGCATGTATCATCTTACTTCCTATCCGCGCTCGAGCTATTGACTTCCGCTTTTTGGTACTGGTGCGGAGTCTACTTACTGAGTTACTCACCCTCAAAAGCGTAGGAGAGGTATTATTTAAAGGAATATAATTATTATAGTGCCGTTGTATGGCGGTCACGACATGTGGCGTCTAGTAAGCAACCACGTTGGGAACATGATCAAGTTGTCCTTGCCTTCTTACTCTAACGACCCCGCAGATGCTGCCGTTCATTGGCAAACGACTGTAACACGCCCTCTCTTCTTGTCTTCTAAATTTCGTTGGTGTGCGGCGGGTGATGTCTGATCAAGTATATCCTGGAGTAACGTCGAGCGTCGACTTGCATTCGATACACACGAATGCCGACGAGGGGCGAAGCAACACTGTACGGTCAGTAATGGCTCTTCGCAGCCCTACTAAACAAAACCGTAGCCCTATCCTTCGCCGGTTAACCTCACTGGGCTCCGGTATTATTCTCGACATCCGCGCCCGAGCACCCTATTTCGTGAGCGACTGGACCGATGCTTGGAATTATAGAGTAATCCCCGCTACGGCATTGATATTTTTTGCCAAGTGCGTATCCACTGCAGTCCGCCAATTGTGGAATGTTGACGGCTGTATAGCGTTCTTCCTGGAATTGCTTTCTCTCTAGACCTTATAGAGACCACTGGACAATACGGCGTCGCCGAAGTACTCATCTCGTCCTTCATGGCTGCATTCATCTTTTCTGTTTTCGGCGCTCAACCTCTCACGATTGCGGGCGTCACAGGTCCCATCACGGTGTTCAACAGGACTATTTATGACATTATAGAAAGACAGACCGACGCTCCTGTATACCTTCATTTCATCGGCTGGGTTTATCTGTGGGCAGCCATCATCCATTGGATCACTGCGATTTTAAATTGTATGTCAACAATCGACCCCCATAGAAGTTGCTAACGTCGAATAGGGTGCAACTTCCTCAAATACGTTACCCTGTTTTCCTGCGATACCTTTGGGTTTTATGTCTCTTGGGTGTACCTCCAATATGGCATACAGGTCATCACGAGACAGTTCAAAGATAGCACCTCGTCCTCTCTGCAAGGGACCTTCGTCTCTATCATCCTTGCTATTCTCATGCTCGTAGTATCTTTCTTGTTCCAGTCGCTTTCCGGAAAGACATTGTTTCATCGCCGCGTTCGACGTTTCTTGGCGGACTATGGCATGCCTATTTCTTTGGTTGCGACTTCTGCTATGGCATACTGGGGCAGGTTCAACTCTGCCAACCCGTTGACCCTCCCCGTCAATGGCGCGTTCGAAGCCGCCGGCGGGAGAGAGTGGCTCGTAAAATTCTGGCAGCTGGAGGGAAAATGGGTAGGCGTCGCGTTCCCATTTGGAATTGTACTTTGGGTCTTGTTCTTTTTTGACCACAATGTTTCGGTGCGACACATATCTTATTTCTCCTAGCCTGTAAGACGCATACATTGATTAGTCTCTCATGGCGCAAGGCTCCGAATTTCCCCTTCGCAAACCCCCTGGTTTTCACTATGATTTCTTCCTGCTCGGCGTCACGACGTTCATCGCTGGACTCATCGGTGTTCCAGCTCCGAATGGGTTGATACCTCAGGCTCCCATTCATACAACGTCGCTGATAGTGATGGGACTGCCGGTAAAGAGGGCCGATGAAGAGGAGCCTTACAACGAGAAGAATCAAGCATCTTCTAATGCGATTGAAGTGCCTGTCGCCGTTGTGGAGCAGCGAGTATCTAATCTTGCTCAAGGCACCTTGTGTCTTGTTATGCTCACAGGCCCGTTCCTTCATGTATTGAATCTCATTCCTCGAGGTGTTCTTGCCGGACTTTTGTGAGCCTTCGATTTTGTCGGTGCCATCACAATCCAGCTAATATGTGTAGCTGGTTCATGGGTGCAGACGCCCTTCGGGGAAATGGTATTACACAAAAGATCATCTACTTCCTCCGGGACAAGACGTTAACTTCTCAATCCGATCCTTTGTGCAAAGTTCGGAAATCCCGCATCCTCATGTTTATTGTCATCCAACTCGGTAGTTTTGGAGCAACGTTTGCGATAACGCAAACAGTAGGCGAGTCTAAACCACCGCTTGCTTGTCCTACGGTACTAATCTCTCTCAGCTGCCATCGGATTTCCGGTGATCATCATGCTGCTCATTCCACTGCGCACGCTGGTCATGTCGCGATTATCATTTACAAATGAAGAGCTAGCCATTTTAGATGGCTCGACGGCATCTCCGTTCGTAAGTCTTTTGTGGCTTTCACTCTCATTTTGTCTTAATTACATCGCAGACTATGGAATCTGTTGGGGGCTCGATCTGAAATCTGAATAGTGATATAGAACGCTATGCACCAGGACATTTACAATACATTACTCGCGTACAACTATTTTGAGTGCTTGGTGAGATCTCTCGCCGCAGGTCCTTTTGGATCTCGGCAATACGTTGCCTCTAGACTCTAGACTCGCTCCAGACTGTTCTGACGTCATTGTCTGATACTGGATTTCAATTTGCACAGTTTTTAACATATTTGATACAATTGCAAATGAGAATATTTGGTATGTATGTTGTGCTTGCGTTTCAAGTACGGTGCCAGGAGCTTCATGTTAAATACTTCTGCCACACAGCACACTGTCAACCATTTATACTTTGCTTAATGTCACTGCTTCTTTGATATCCACTCTGCTTTGTTCTTGTACTTATGCACTTATGATATCAGCATCTGTCTTGTTGTCTGCTTGTAAAAGTTTTGTTTGGGGTGCAGATGGTAGATTAAAGGAGAGATATAAAATAAATCCTAGATATGTGTAAGCAGGTCTGGTGATGAGTGCATATGTCTGGTATTGAGGTGAAGGCTGATAAGATCATATAAGTCTGCAACAGTGAGTATATTATGACAGAATGGCTGAGTAGTTATGGTGTGATCATCATAAATGTGGGTTCCATGAGTGTTGCATTGAGAGTCAGAGAGTTTAGTCAGTTGTATTAAATCTTAGCTTGAAACTGAGATTACAGAATATAATCTACTTGTGTTACAAACTGTCAGATAATGCCTCTACTCAATAAGTGCCAGCATGATAGCTAAGAGTTTTTTGTCATAGATCTTATAATTGCATTTGGTGGTGGTCAATGCCTTTGAGAGGAATGCAACAGGTCACTATTTTCTATTCTGCTCCTGTGAGAGGACTTCACCTATCATCTCCTCATTCAAGTTGGCCTCAACTCAGAATTTCTCTTCCTCTGTTGGTACTGCAAGTATTACATCTTTGGCTAATCACCTCTTTAAATCATTGAATGCAGATTACTGGGCTATCCCCCAGGTCCAGGGAGCATTCTCTGTGAGCTGGATCATGGAGTGGACAATCTTGCTGTAATCTCAGATAAATCAGTGGTAAAAGTTTGTAAATCCAAGGAAGAATTGTAATTCCTTCTTCTTGGTTGACTTTAGCCATTCTGTTATCTCTGCCATCTTGATGAGGTCCATTTAAATGCTTTCTTCACTGATAATTACTCTGAGATACTTAGTTTCTAGCACCTTGAATTTGCACTTCTCAGCTTTGAGAAATAGTTTGTGTTTCCTCATTAGTTCCAGTATCTGGCAGACTAGACATCAGTGTTCCTTTCAATCTTTTGACATGATTGGAATGTCATCTAGATAAATTGTGACCTTTCTCATGGTGATGAGATCTTTGAAAATATCATTTACCATCCATTGTAATGTCATAGGAGAATTGGTCAATCCAAAGAACATGACTATTGGCTTGAAGAGTCTATGATTGGTTTGAAAGACCACTTTCCACTCATTTCTCTCCTTAATCTGCACATTGTTGTATCCCCACTGAACATCAAGCTTGGTGTAGTATCAGACACTGCATAATTTGTCCATTAATTCAGAAATCAGTGGGAGAGGATAACAAAAATCCTACAGGATGAGATCTATGCCAAATATGGGATGCCTCAAATAGTCATTTTGGACAGAGAATCACAATTTGTATTCAAATTCTCAGACAATTTATATCACCTGCTTAACATCAAATGGAATGCATCCACTGCTTATTATCCTCAAATAGATAGATAAACAGAATGAGTGAACTAAGAGGTGAAGAAATACCTCTGCCTCTTTATCAACTATCAACAAGATGACTGAGTAGAATGGCTGGCACTTGCCACCTTCCAATGCAACAACAGGATCCACTTGGCCACTGGAAAGATCCCATTCTTTATTAACTATGAGTGACACCCCCATATTGCTCAAACTGAACATCACCAAACCACTACACTCACTTTAATGAATTTTACAGCTATGATAGCTAAAATCCATGCTGAGACCCAAACAGCTCTCAAGAAAGCGGTGGGAGCCATAAAGAAGCAATATAATAAACACCACAGATTAGCACACAAATATTCAGTTATTGACAAGATTTGGCTGGACACTACAAATCTGCACCTCTCATGCCCAAAGAGAAAACTGACTGACAAATAAACAAGATCATTTCTAATCCTAGCCAAAATTGGCCAGTCTGCCTACAAATTATGCCTGCCAACTAATTAAAAGGTACACAATATTTTCAATGAAACATTACTGTCACCCTATATCATATCAGCCTTTTCAAATCAAGAATGCCTGCTGCCTCTCCCACCAGACTTAATCAATGATAAAGAACATTATGAAGTTGACTAAATCTTAGAAAAATTAAAGCAAAAGATGGTGGAATGACAACAACAGTTGATTATCTTGTCAGCTGAAAGAGATATAGATCTGAATCCAACCAATGGATCAAGGAATGATATATGAATGCCAATGACATAATACATAACTACAAAGAGGCATTGAACTGATGTTTTATTAGTCAATGTCTTCATGAATCTTATGAGAAGAAGGGCAGGTTATCTGCTCTCAGACACCCACACTTATTCCTAAATTTAATCATCAGGACAATGGTCTTAAGGAGAGGGTAATGTTATGATTTTTCTGAGGAATTGACTTCTATTTTTGCTTAGTCAGAGTGCTTAGACCAGTGCTTAGGACTGTGAGACTGGACTTAGTCAGCACAACAATGCTCAGTCAGTCATTGTCCTTTGATGCAACAGTAACTGCTCAACAGCAGACAATACCCTTTTGTAGGTAGCTTAACAACACTGGACAAAATGCTCTATAATGCCAGGATGCACAATTAGATAGTTATATCTTTAGATGGACAATGACTAGTATATAAGTAGTGTAGCTCTCACTATAGTATCCCCAGCTTTGAGCTAAAGTTTATTTCTTCACCATCTTATCTTAAGCCAATATAAAGGCCTTGAGACACAGAGCCATATAGCATATCAAGTGAACTCTGACATCATTGTCTAAAGTGCAAGACAGTGTCAGTTTATTATGTGTTTAAGTCATGTGTCATTTGGGCTTAACACCTGTCTTCTAATTGATTAATGAGTTATGCTATATAAGCCAGTCATGATCAAGAAAGATCTCTTTGGATTCCAACTTGGTCACAGTCAAGTTGATCTGTTCCAAATGATTCTCAATCATTAACCAGAGCTTAACAAACTCTATGATTAAACCAGCTTAGTTTTTGATCCTATCAGCATTATAAACTGAGATTAGGCCAGCCATAGCTTAGGTCAGTAAATTATACTTGATGATAAAAGCATAATTGATGGAACTTCCAGTGCAGCCACTGTCAATTAGAGTGATGACTACATGCATGAATGAATTGGAGAGGGTCTTGATCTGTATCTTGGTGATTAGATCTTTCTCCACTGTCTTCTATCACTGAATATATTTTCTGAGTCCCTTTAGTTTGTTTAGCCATTCCAAGGCTTGGTTTTTTTCTGCTCTTCTCATTCCTTTAATCATCTCATTGATGATTTTCTCAGTCTGAGTCTTATATACCCACTTTTAAGTACAGCCTTTGCTTCAATCTCATTCTTGGCATTTTGAATGGCTTTAGCCAGTCATTAGAGGTCTCTTCTCTTGTTTGGCCTATAAGCAATTGAGTTCTGAGTTTTTGCAATTTCTTTAGTGTGTTTTAAAGAGCAGAGTCAGATATATTCAAATGCACATATATATAAGTACCTACAGAACTAGTATAAGTCTGACTGGCAGTATTCTAAGACACATCATTAGATTCTTTGGCCAACCAAGTGAAACTGCTCACTCATCAGCTTTATCTTTTACTTTCTTAATCTTTGTCTTCTTCCTATTATCTTCAAGTCTATCAGCCTCCTTCTATAATTCAGTGATTTGAGCCTATATGTCTTCATGAGTACACTTCTTCTTCAGACAGTTCTATAATAGATGACTCTTTTCTCTACAGTTAAAACACTTTCTCTCTCTCCTTAACTTGTCAATCTCCATGGGCTTCTCTTGTCTAATGTAAGTGGTTCTAGTCTTGGTCTTTTGAGCAGAATAGAAGAGTGTGAAAGTTGAAGGGATCATATTGGACTTGGCAGAAGCTGGCATATTAACCTTCCTCTGATTGCCAGTTCTTTGATTATCTTGCCAGTCAGCATTTTCTGCCTTCTGTCAGTGCCACTCTTTGTTTATTATAATGACACATACCTTCCACTCTTTATATTTCTTCAGGATGCTGAAACTGATATCAGTAATCATTGTAATATAGGAGCAGAGGACCCCATTCTTTAGATACTCTATTAGGCATCCATTATTCTCAGTGTGGTTGATGAGTCCAGCTAGTTTGGCAAGTTGTTCAAACTTGTCAAAGTACTCAGTGGCTATCTTATCCTCCATTCAAAGATTCTTTATCTTCTGCTTATAGACTTCTTAAATGGCCAGATCAATAAATTTGTTATATACTATTTATTTGAATATAGGCTAGAACAGCAGATAATAGTGTCTTCTAGTTATGGAATAAAGATCTTGACTCTTTAAGGTCCACCAGACTTTAGTCTTGTCCTTAAAATAGAATGTAGCAAAGGTGACCTAATAAATGTTGGTGGATAGGTAGATAGAATATACTTCAAAATATTGTTTGCAATCAATTAAGAAGTGATCAATATTATCAGATTGCCCTTTAAAGAGCTGAGGCTTTCATATGAGGTTTGGCTTACATTGTATAAGGATGAAGTCAGATGAGTGGCTTCATTGGATTTGAATAATCACCAAAAGGTAGTATCTTTTGGTGCAAAGTGAGAAAGGAGTGAAGGAAGTCATTGTAAGTGACTGAACTTCCAGATATTCCTTCTTCTGGTTTTCTGATGATTCTCTCATCAACAACTGTGAATCTCTGTTTTATAACCTCAGAGTTGTCTCTCTCAAGTTGGCCACTAATTTTGGCTTTATTGGCAGATAGCTGCCCTCCCATTAATCAGCTTCCTCTTGGCTTTCAGAGATATCTGGTCAGGTTCTCAGCTTATAGAGTTTGCAGTCACTAATGGCAGATAGAAGCTATAGTAGTAGTTCAAATGATTGATACTGAGTAGATAGTCTGTTTTGAGGGAATAGGCAGTGTATTTGGCATTGGTCAGATCTTGAACTAAGATTGATATTCCAGAAGTTTA